GCGGTTTTAGGGTGACCCCCCGTCCCGCGACTGTCCCGCATTAAGGGCTCGTGTCCCGCGAGAAATTCCCAAATCTTCAAAATGTCCTGCCCATTTCACTCTGTCGTAAAATTCACTCCGCAACTCACGGTGCTGCCTAGCAATCTAAGCGCGGAGGTCGCTGGTACGCCATTTTCTATCCAAGCATTGCGGGAAGCGACCGCCGTTCTTGTAGGAGAACGGACGCGCATGCGCCGTTGTGCCTCTCCTCTTGGTAGAAAACTATTGTAAAAAAATTGCTCGCCAAAAATTTAAATATAAAATATTGTAATTATTTCAAAATTGCTCTGTCAATGCGAAAGGGTCGCCGTGGATTTTTTTTAGTGAAGAGAGCGGTAAAATTCACTCCGCAACTCACGGTGCTGCCCAACGTTACTATTTAGTAACGTTGGTGCTGCCCACTGGTGCTGCCTAGAGCACTATATAGCTCCTACGGAGCAGAGTAGCGCAATCCTTTGAACCCCGTGTTTTGCCGACAACATGGCCGACAGAGCGGCTCGGCGCGAGTCACGTGGTACTCAGGGTTCCAGGAGGCGGCCCGCCCTATGGGAGAATACATGGAGTTCGACATAACACGGCTGATTAAAAAACTAACGGCGAGTTCACATTTTTCAAAACTAGCCTGTCGTGAAGTTAGTAAAGCGCTAAACACTTTATCAAAGTTTTAATAATATCGGATGCGTGTGCAAATTTTGAGAAGGCGATTTCCGAGGCAATGGCGTTTGAAGCAGACGATTTTTGCTCGCAGCGGAGATGGGCTTTTCGGGTTGGCCGGAGCGGGTCACGTGAATGGTGTGACGTCGCCGTGTCGTCTGCTGCATGATGCCGCTCAGGCAATTTTTTAAAAAAAGTTACGTCCTTGTATGGCACAAAACTTATCGCATATTATTCTAAAATGTTTCATTATTATGTCAAAAATGATTTCCATTCCGCACATCCCCACAAAACTGAAGAAACAACGATTTTCTCACGTTCCCCATGCATTTCTGACCGCAGTTGGAACCCCCGGGCGTTCGCCGCTAGTCGCCGAGAGACGGCGTTCTAGATTGCGCTACTCTGCTCCGAAGGAGCTATATAGTGCTCTAGTGCTGCCTAACAACGGGGCACGGGTAAGTGTGGAGGTCGCTGACAATCGTGTAAATCGAAATGGTACGCCATTTTCTATCCAAGCATTGCGGGAAGCGACCGCCGTTCTTGCAAGAGACCCGACGCGCATGCGCCGTTGTGCCTCTCCTTTTGGTGAAAAACTATTGTAAAAAAAATTGCCCGCCATAAATTTAAATATAAAATATTGTAATTATTTTAAAATTGCTCTGTCAATGCAAAAAGGTCGCCGTGGATTTCTTTTTTTTTTTTTTGTGAAGTGAGCCACATTTGCAAAAGTCGAAAAAGAACATAATGTGAAAAATTTGTGTAGGACCATGTTGATAAAAGTAAGCGTTGACAGGAAACAAAAACCCGAAAAAGATTTACTGTTTCTTATTTCCACTTGATGCATTAAGTTCCGATACAGTCGATTTTTGTTTTCAACTTCGACACATTTAATAACATGCCTGGCATTGAAAAAAAATATATCACTGGGAGGGGAAATTATTCGAGCTCAATTGCTGCAATAAAATCAGGTGTATAAACAGTACAGGATAATAAATGTGCTAATGTAGCCTCGGTTCGTTGTGAGCCTATTAATAAATTTCCTCTACTCCCCTCCTCGTCGTTGTTCATTTCGTTTCAGAGAACTTTCGTTTCCTCTCAACATGATTTGTGAAGAAACAATCACAATCACGCTAGTGTACATTCAAAAGGCTGTATAGGCATAACAATTTCTATAGTTTGCTTATCTTTGGTGGCATAGTAAGGCAAAGTGCAAAGTCAAACTCATTGTTTTTTGTTTTAGTTTGAAACGCAGATGAAAGACATTTATGTTGTGCTTTACGACTGGAGTGGCATCGTTTCCTTGCTTGCACTTTTCTACCATGCTCGTGGAATCCATACGTTTCCTTTTATCCAGATAAAAAATTTCCAAACGCAGGACTTTTTTTTTTTTTTTTTTTTTTTTAACAACGGTTTAGGGATTTTGCAGTTTGCTTGTTTCTTTTAATTTAACTTAGAAGATCAACGAGTACCTTTTTTGTTATGAACAATTTCGAATGTGTGGCACACGACTGCCCAGCCACGACCAAAGCCCGAAAAAAAGTTTGTTCAAGCCCGAGCTTGGCTTTGGCTTGAAAAAGGCGTGCTACCCAGCCCAAGTCCGGCCCGCGGGCCGGGCTCGGGCTGGCCCGGGCCCGTGCAGTGCTCTAGACGAAAGTACATGAAAAAAGGTCTACATCGGGGAAAAACTTAGCTGCAATGTCCACATATATTGCTAACTTTCATCCCAAGAACATGGCTTTCACATATATTTCTTACAGAAATACCAAATTATATGAACCGGACTGTCATTGTATGATCTGACGGGGAAACACCCAGCAACAAAATGTCAACTGTTCTTCTTGGAATAAAGTGTTAAAACTATAGTACGCTGCAACCTAAGAACGAAGGGCTAGGGTAGGACGGGTAGGGGAGGAGGAAGCAGACGGAACGCAACCTAAGAACGAAGGGCGAGGGTAGGACGGGTCGGGGAGGAGGAAGCAGACGGAACGCTAAAGAGAGAAGGAGGCTTCCCTCTCTTCTCCAGCGTTCCGTCTGCTTCCCCCTCCCCGACCCGTCTTACCCTCGTTCTTCGTTCTTAGGTTGCACCGGACTATTAGCCCCGAGAGCGAACACAAGCGTCGCTGCGGTCGCGGCGCCCTGATTGGGTGAGGTGTACCGTGACGTCAGGGGGAGTACTCCGCTCCGCGATCTCGCATCGGCTCGCTTCCCAGCACCGGTTTCCTGGTTTGGCCGTTGTGTGCCGCAAGCTCTTCAAGGAGCTCGACTTCGTTAACCTGGTGTACAAAACGTTGAGTTAGGCTGATATTGACGTGCTTCCGTACATTTTATGAGCCTGCTCGTCCCTTTTACCTTTAAAATTGGGTTCCAAATCTCGAAAGCTATCGGCGGAGGCAATTCCGCCGATGAACCTCCTCGTCCGTCCAGACATACGGCAATCTTGCGAGGGGTCGGTGAAGCGGTGGCGCAAGTGTTTCAGACGCTGGAATTCTGTTCCTTGCATGCTCATGATTTAGGACGATATTACATCCCGCTTTCAAGGCATTTGAAGTGGCATTTATATCATGGGCCTTTGGGTGGGCGGCAAATTAGCTCGCGACCCCGACTCTGCGCTGCCACTCTGTATGCGCTGGTTCGCAGATGTTTTAAAGGCCCTGCGTGTGATGATCTTTGAAGTGCTCGTGGAACAGGGTTGTTTTACATAAATGTAGCTTCTTCGTGAATTAATTATATAGTTTATACACGTATGCAGGCATATTTCTTAGAAGATGCACAATTACTGGAAATTAGTTGGTATGGTAGCAGCAAAAACGGCTGAATTGCCCCCAGTTGCCTGTATGATATGTATTGAACTGCCAAAAATATGCACAGCAATAGTGACGTAATTTGGAATGGTTATACTTTTTCCTGACATTCTTTGGTATTCGGAAAATACAGCGTTGAGTCTGAGTTGTCATTTCCAATTAAAAGAGACACTGCTGCGGGTCCCCAAAAGCTTCCTCAGCCTCCGCACTCCCTACAGCTGGACTCTCTGACAACAGAGGAAAACAGGAGTAAAAGCAAGCATTAGAACGGCTGTCCAGTGGTAGGTGCAGCACTAGTAGCAGAAAATGTGGAACCTGTGAAGGGCGACAGTCTGCATGAGAAAAGCTTCTGATATTTTAGCTTCAGGACAATTTGATTTAAGTAAAATCTCAATTTTAGGGCTTAAGGGACTAATAACAAGCTAGACACCTTCGCTTACTTTTGTTACACATTACTCAAGGGTTGATATAAACAAGTTTACAGATACCACCCATGTAGTCCATTGAAATACTATCCGAATCCAACCAAGGTCAAATGCGGGCAATCTATATTATAAATGTTTCTTGTTTATCTACTGTGCCCCCCCAATTGGGCTGTCGTACTTGTGATTCTCTCCCCATGGCACAGACTGTATTTAGTATGTTGCTCGAACAACATGCAGCTTTTCTGTTTCGGACATCTTGTTTAAAAACGGAGATACAAAAAAAAAATAGTATACATAACCTGCTAATTTATTCAGACAATCATCAGCATGTATTGTGCAAAATGTAAATCTATAGTAATGCTCCTGCAATTGTGGCTATATTTCTTCATTTTCAGATACCAGCTGCGATTCATGCGTTGCCTGCCCTGTCAACCATGCTTCAAATGTTGGTTGAAGTTTCGCCTGTAGCTACAGGTCATACCTCATTAAAGGCACATATAAAAATTTACACTTCCTACGAAAAACAAGCCAAAAAAAGATTAAATAGAAACGAACGCGCCCACAGCTAGCGTCGTCACAGCCTCCACAGGGCGACCGGGGCGAGTCGGGGAAAAATTCTCTCCTCGCCGTGACGTCACCCCGGTTCGCCGTAAGGGGGCGCCACGCGAACTTCTCGGGGCTAATAGTTTCTCATTCTTCTTTTTGCATTGGTTGAAATGGAAAAGGAAGGGCAAAGGATACTTCACAATGGGCATAAAAGTGACATTCTGGGGCTCAATATATGTCACTGCAAGTCAACAGAATCTAGGTTAGTTTCCGAGGTCTAAATCTAGTGCCCGGGTTTCTACCAACTCTTTGTTTCCTGGAAAACATTTTCGGAGCAGAGTAATTTGGAAAAAGATAAAAATCAATTTCGAAATTCAGAAAAAAAAAAAAAAAGAGGTTTAGCCCGATTTTAAAACATGTTTAGGGTGTAAATATCTTGAAATATCGGGTTTTCACCGAAGGCTAAGGACCCTAACTATAAGCAGCAAACAAGGCTTGACGAGGATGTCTACAACTGTCAAATCAAACTAGCATACACATAGTCTCTTCTTTATTTCAGTAAAAATCCGACACATGGCCCAAGGCGCGCTGCCACACAAACAACCAACAGTTCTTGGATGCAATGCTGTCTCGAAACAAACTAAAAGCTCGACAATGACATAAAAAAGTTGTATTTAAGCTTTATAAATACCAGCTTCTTGCCGTCTTGTTACTGTCCATTCAAAGTGAAACAAATGGATGCAACTGGTGCACCCCAAAAGCTTAGTCTGCATCGTATATGTAATTAGAGGAATTAGAAACATCAAGGGATCTCCCCATAGCATACAACCGTCTTCGCTTACTGGCATCACCCGTCAGGGTGATTGAACTTGTGCCAGACGACCTCTGTACACGTTAGAACTGCATAAAAATGTGCTTGAGTCTACATTCACCTCCTTCACATAGTCACAAAGTATGATCTATGACAAACTTGCATGAAAGCAACAGTGATGTGGTGAAAGTGGAAACTAAACTGACATGGTGATCTAAAGAAAGTTATGTCCATCCCTTTACGAAGCACAAACACTTTTCACTGCATAGATCTTGCGTTTGAGGCATTAATTTATGCCACATACAAAAGCAAACTTATTTTAAGCTCCACTTCGCAATTACCCTTCAGACAAAAATGTCCTCATATGTCAGCGGAAAAAATCAAATTGTAAGTTTGACACAAAGAAAGCACTTTCGTGTTAACGTCATAAGAGTGAACTTTCATAAGCAAGAGATCAGCAAACACATTGTTTCATCTCACACAACTGCATTAAGGTTTTAATTATATTATTATAGATGTTTCGGTAAAGATAGATTCACAAGGGGTGTCCCACCTCAATTCAAGCAAAACCTAGCTTTAGGAAACAAAAAAAAAAAAACACACAAAAAAAAAACACTTATTTGCACCCCAACCCTGTAGACCTTTCGAAGCAGAGCCTTTTTTATGCATCGAAGACCAAAGGGGTACAGTAGCAAATCAACTAAACACAAAATCAATATCTCTTTTAAGGCAAATCCATAGTAAACTCGCCCCAAAATAAAATCCATTGGCAACTTGCAAACTGCCGTCGACAACCCCAAGTTTCCTTTACGCTGAACGACACTCAAAAGCAGATCGGGAAGAAAACAACGGATCGGTTGATGAACGTCGAGAAAAAGCAACGAAGAGAAATAGTAGTGCACTTTGTGAACTTTACTGCGCTTTAAACGAACCCTCATCTCGCACGGCCTCCACAGCCGCGCGCGTTTCGGAGCCAACGGAAAGCAGCAAGGACTGCCTCGCCTGCACCGTCCTTGCGCCTTGGGCTAATGCCCGGGGAGAGGGGCGACACCCGTCTTCGCTTCGGAGGGAGGGCGGCCGTTTTGACTGGAACCGTCCGTTCGCATGGACGCACGATCTGCAGCCACTGAGTTCATGCATCCAGGTCGTGCACAAAGAGGGTCTCTGTCTTCCCCAGGCCAAGTTCCGCAAAGCTGGGCGGCTCGGGGCACTCTTGCGTCGGCTCGCAGGGTAACGTCCGCCGGGGGAAGTTGGTGATGATCTCGAAGCTGTCCGGAGCCTCCGTTTGGCAGAACACGTAGAAATATAAATACTGCGCGGGGGACAAACGTGACGACGGGTCAGTAAGCACGTGGGCGCGAGTTACCTCTTGACGGCATCGCACAGAACTGGGACCCAGTTTGTGAGCCAGCACATGCACAGACACCAACGTTACGAGATTACTTAAGTTGTGGAACTCCCGCGGAAGGGGGTACCCCCCCAGACTCACTTCAGTCTGCCTCCCATTGTTCAAAGCGCCATCTAAATCTTTGTTTACGAACTGTGTGTTCCATAGGGTACGGAGAAGCGCAGTCTAGAAGCTGCGCTTCAAAATATATGTATCCCATAGAATACACTGCAGTTACCAAAGCAGCCGTCTGGCGCATCGAACGATGGGAGGCGAGTCGTGGTGAGTGAGGGGGGTACTGCTCGTCTAAGCAGGGTCTATGAGCAGTTCCGTAACTCAGCTAATCTAATAACGTTAACAGACAACGACAAAAACAAAAGTGAGACCCACACTGATAGTTGGCCTTGGTGTGCTTGTGCAAACAATATACAAAAAAAAAGTTCTTCCTACAATTACATTTGAACCGCACCAGTAGAATGCGGCTGTACTATACCAGTACTGTGGCTCACCAAAACATGTTCTTAGTACAATAAGTACACATTTTAAGTATATACATGTTTGTTGCAAATGCAATGAGTTAATTTGTCAAAATATAAATTTCCGCAATCGTAGAACTGCTTTCCCCATGTAGCAGGACTGGTGGTTTACGATGGGTAAATTTGTCCGTCTTCTGAATCAGGAGGTAGTGTGCACTGCCCCATGACATCCGGAGAAAGCTACATATTGAGCAAGTCTAAAATTTGGAGACTCAGTCCAGTTTTGGTGTCGGTTAGTTGCATTTTTTTACTTTATTAAAAATATATGTGACACTGTAGCAAAATACAAATTGGATAGTCTTTTAACACCAGAATAAATCGCCTGGAAAATTTTTTTTTTTTTTTAGGGGGAGCTAGTGTTTTTTTAAGAAAGGTTTGCCATTTCCAGAGCACAGTTCATACTGTCCCTCATTGATAGTGGAATACTGCTAGTAATAGGCGCCAACTATGAGGGGAGGGGGGGGGGGGGAAACGGGGCCCAAGCCTTTCCTCCCCACCCCACTTTCCCGGGAAAGGCCAAGCTCTCTCTCTCTCTACCCCTACCCCCTACCCTACCCTACCGCTACACCCCCCCTCCCCCTTCCCCACCACCAGGAGTTCTTCAAAAAACCAAGTACCCTTACCTCTCGGTCTTTTGAGGGTACCCCTGCTTCATAAACTATGTATATAATGAAGAGGGGACTAAAGTCCAACTTCTGCCAGTGAGTATTGAATAATAAACAAATAGTTTGTTTTCCTTTTTTCAAATAAACGCATGTTTAATTTGAAGCATGTTGCTGTCCCCGTGAGCTTCAAATTACTGAGAGTCGACCGTGCAAACTTCTCCACGCCAAGCAGCCTGTCTGCATTTGTCAAAAATAACAAAGACCCCCAAGGAAGAGGGCTTGCCCGAAAAGACGCAAGTAGCCTTCCCCCAGGCGACGCACCTTAAGCGACTGAGATCTCCGAAACCTCCTCTCGAGGCGGGTTCCAGCGGGGAGCTTGATGACCAGGCGGATGCTGTGCGGGTCCGAATCGGGAGGCTCCTCAGGGATCTGGTCCACCAGCTCCATCTTCATCCTCTGGATCTCCTGGTGAATACAGCATCCACGGGAAATTCCTAAGAGCAGCCTAGGTAGCCTTCCACACTCCTCAAAGGTCGGCTACATTGTTTCATGGCCTACAGTTGCGGCAAACTCGAGCGTACTGAAGCAATGTCTGCGTCATACCCGGTGTTTTGCCGGACATGGGCCAAACATTGTCCGGACATGGTCTGAACATTTTCTGGACGTGGTCCGAACATTTTCTGGACATGGGCCAAATATTGTCCGGATATGGTCGAAACAGTGTCCGGACATGGTCCGCACAACAAGTTGCTGTTGTGCCATTCACCACAGAAGGGTCAATTTAATGTGGTGAGTAGCATATCGGATAACCAATTCCTTAATAGGTCTTGTACAATTAATGTTTTAATGACTAAAAATAGATACATGGTTCGAATAAGAAACTTGCCCATCATCAAAAACCACTAAATCAGTATATTTCAGAAAGATTGGAGCATGTGGGAAGCCCGGGAGTGAGCGAAAGCTGCCACAAGTGCTACATGCGCAAGGCTGGCACAGCAAAAATGCGGGTGATAAAAAAAGGGGAAAAATATGTGTGCGTGTCAAGGTAGGATGCATTTTCGGGAGCCAGAAAAACGAAGCCCACACTTCAAATCTTGTTGACATCGATTAATTCAGAGGTTCCCGATGATGCCCGGTAAGTCTCTAATCAAAGGTATATGCTAATTTCTAATAAATAAAAATCTAACTACTATGCAAAACTGAGTCTAGATATCCTGAATGCTATGCACCTCAATATACAGACCCCCCAACAGTGACTAATAGGAAACGAATCATGTTTTTCTGCAATGCAAAGTTATTATGGAGCAATTTTGGCCGACATTCAGCGAAACATCACGCATTTTCGTAGTTCGTTATCGTTACAAATAAACTAGCATTTTCGTGTGTGCCGAGACTTACTCATAATTTGACAATTTGTTTATATGCTTGCCATAAGCGTATTGAGCACCCCAATAGGAAACAAAGTAAAAAAAGACAGCAGCCACTCGGTACAAGCCAGAGCACAGGACTGACCATGTCCATCTCAGCCTCGTAGTTGTAAATATTATCGTGAAAGGGTTTTACGGAAGCAAAAATTAGCCATCCGGGATTTGGTACAAATCTTATTTCCCTGCGTTTTGCAGTTTGTAGACGGAAATTTTGACCGACGTTCAGTGAAACATTATGTATGTAGTATGTTACAAATAAACTAGCATTTATGTGTGTGGCAAGCAGCAGAGATTCGCAGGCTAGCTTTGCCTCAGAGCCACCCCTGTTGTAGATAATGAGTTTCCTCCCAGGAAGCTTGGCTTTTTCACTTTATTAATAATTTTTCAGACTTCCCTGGAACAGCTTCCAAACCAACAAAGAATATATACTATACTGAAAAATCTAAAGAATGAAGAAGAAACAGCAATAAAGACTAAGATACACTAGAAAGAAGAGAACCCAAACAACCACAAGTTAAGGGGGGAGGCTGGTCTTTAACTTCGCGTTTTTTGTCTTTCAATTATCATGCTGAAATTTACTATACTGATGTATTTCTCAGTGGTGATTTCAAATATGCAATTAGTTTTCAAATAGCTTTACTATATCCTGAGTTATTAATAAATTAGTCATTTCAATTAGGTCCTCTTTACGGGTCGTTCATTACACGGGGTAAAATTTTTTGAATTTAAACACTTCATGCAAATGTCATATTAGGTGCCAATGTGACACGGCAAGGTACTGTGGCACGACTCCAGTGATGGAGGCGCACCCACAACTGGTCGGGGGCGCGCCACAATAACCATGCTTTATAAATTGCAAACCTTTTTAAAGCGCTTTCTGGGTGCCTTTTGGCGAAGGAAAAGCGCCCTACGAAGCACACTCGGCACGAAAAGCAACACGACCGTTCTTAGGCGATATATATTGCTAGTATCCGGCGGGCACGCTCAGGTATAATCCGCGGGTACGCATCTAAGAACTCGGACGAAGTCCAACCACCGAAGCCCGCTCGCATGGATCAAGTTTCGTTCACGGATGGAGACAAGAACTCCTACGAAGTCAAACCGCCAACCCCCGAAGCCCATTGCATGGATCAAGTTTTGTTCACGGAGAGGCTACCAGACACTCTCAGCGTGCACCTTGCTACGCCATTCTGTTGGAGATTAAATAAACACATTTACCCTGAGTATGTGAAATTAGGCCTAACCACTTTCACGATTTCCCTGTCCAAAATCGGACCACAGACGATGGCTTGTTTGTTGACATCAATGTATCTAACAGGCAAAGAATGTCAGCGGCTCGGCAATTCCTCGACCCAAGTATTGTCCACTGTGTGCGACACTCGGTTTCACGGTTGATCACTTCCGAAACTACTGCAACTACGCACTTGCGGCCATTACGAGAGCAGCCTGGCTTGGCTTGACTTGGCCTGACTGCTTGGCGGTAAAAGAAAACTGGCTTGGTGGCTTGCTAAGTTGGACGCAATTCGAGACTCGCAGATCCGAAAATTGGAGGTGCGTCGATTGCAGGAGGGAAAAAAAAAAGTCAAAATATTGATACCCGTTGTGGGGAGTGCGTTTATTATGAGAGTGCATTTATTATGCAAGTAAATACGGTATCGTTTGAAAAAAAGACAAAAAAAAACAGCCTAGCAAAAAGCGCAGCCCCCCTACAGTGTCATGGCATCAGCATAAACAAGCATGGCGGCCCCCACGAAACAGCAGACGCTGGCCTATACAGTCGAACCTCATTAAACCAAACTAACATCACAAGCAGAAATTTGTTCGCTATATGCGATATTCTTTATAAAAGTACACACAAAAATTTACGCAAACGTTCCCGCAATCGAGCCCGTGCAAGAACGTTCACAACACTAAGATATAAGAACGAGCAATCGCGGACCACGAGATCCTTAGCTGTCACTAAGCAGCATTATAAAAATAGATCGTAACATGAGGATATTAATTTGCAACACGAAAAAATATGTTAGCTTGATCCATTATTTAATTTATTTGAGGAAAAACGTGATTTTGGGCTGGTGCCTCTTCCCCTGGAGCCAAAGTGCTGGAGCCAACCACTGCTCGCGCTGAAATCATCATACCCTAACAGCCACGCAAGACTGATTGCTTTCGTTTGAAAAAGCTGACCAGACACCGGCAAATTTCGCGCCGTTATGCCCTTAAACCGTGAGAACAAAGCCTCTTCCACGTCCGGGTCAAGGCAAGGCCGAAGACTCTTTCGATCAGTCTTGATGGTGTTGTTTGCATAGCAGTCTTCGAGCTTCTTCCTTGCACTTAGGATGGTAGGTATCGTGCTTGGTGCAAGCTTGAAGTTCGCAGTGATGTCTTTTTTCTTCCTACCGCTTTCCACCGCCCTCAAAACCTTCCCTTTTGTCTCTGGAGAGACGGATTTCCACCTTGTTGCCATTGCGGTCTGCTACGAGTGGCGTGGTTGGCGGTTGGCTTTAGTCGGCACTGGTTCTTGATGCCTCGCATAGAGGCCAGCAACGGCACCCCCGCCATTATCTGCTCGATTCATAGGTGGCACTACCTCCTGAAACGCACATTTTTGCGCATCGGGCAATCTAAACTTTCTGAATTTTTCGTTTTGAAATTACTTTTTGTACTTTTTTTTTTCTCTACGTTCTAATAACTTTCATAGTATTTCGTGACGCAAGAAGAGCAGGAATTCCTTCGCTATAACCGATAGCGCATCAGACCTCACATTTTCGGTTTCGTCGTATAACTAGAACTTTCATCCAAATAAAGCATGACCAACCAAACTTTGCGATTAGTTTGCTACAGTTTAGACCACATATAACATATGTCACGGGAGTCGCGAAAATCCGCACTATAAGCGGTACCGCGCAATAACCAAAACATCAATTTTTCAGGCCAAAATACATGCCATGAGACAACTTACCTTTGTAAAACAATTCATGTTATGTTAGATAAAAAATAAAGCTTACTCACACGAAAGTCCTTATTTCACCAGACTAGTACACTTCTCTCTCAAGTGTGTCACACATTTTGAAAGAAATGAGTGACTTTTGCCTGGCGCAGCCTTTAAACGGCGTTGCGGACGGACATCGCGAGCGTTCAGGATTGCTAACCCTGACCCCATTTCTCCGATGATGAAAACGCGTGAAAATTCACAACCTTTATATGGTCCGCGCCAGTAATACCCTGAACTTGAGCACATGCATGAAATGCTCCAGAAAAGAAATCCGGGCGATGTTTGAAAACACAAATGCTTAGAAAGCACCACTGTAGTCGAAGTGAACAAACACGACAACACGGGAGTTTCAGCTGTCTTGAGAGTGCCGCCATGACATCGCCGCACGAGTGGGTGGATCTTCCCTTCTAGTATGCGCTGCGTTACCATAGCGACACATGACTAAAATTCACAGTCAAGGATAGCACTTTTACGCGGAACGATGAGCTTCCACCACGCCGTCCACGTCGACGATCACTACCGACGCCATGTTTGCAGATAGAAGAAGCCGGCCCGCGACCGGCATGCAACGCCCACGACCAGTTCTCCTAGACCTTTGATTGGTCTGTCATTGCGGTTGTTTCCAACGCAGCGGGGGAAAGTTGGGCTCCCTAATTTCACTTCAATGCTTACAACATCGCCCCAACTCCTTGCGTCGTGAACAACACGTGCGTGCGTCCCTCCGTCGCTATGGCAACTGAAGCCTCTATCTTTGCTTCTCCACGCTTCTTCGAGCAACTTCCTTGCTACCCTTGCCCCCACGAATGCCGCTTGCAACTAGCGCCGTTATCTAGTGTCGCACAGGGAAGCATGCTCGCTGCGCCGGTCGGTCGGCGGGCTGTTCCAGAAACCGCACTATAACCGGTATTTCCCTTCGCGCGCCTGCATTTTAAGCGGTATGTAACTACATGGAGTTGTGTGGGAGGTGAACCGGTGGTTGAAAAAAGCCGCGTTATACCCGGTCCTACACTATAAGTGGTTACGTTGTAAGTGGTCTATACTGCATATCCGATAATATGCCATATCAGTGCCTGTTACAAAGAGGCTCAGCTGTACATAAAAAACACAGAGCCCCCACAGCCCTCTGGAATTGGCCCTGAGGGCCCACGTATGGGTGCGACACCCACCTGCTTGCGCTGCACTTCCACGAGGTCCCGCTCCCGCTGGCGGCTCTGCTCCTCCTCGAGCACCCGTAGCTGCTCCTGCCGCCGGCGCTCCTTCTCCTGGTCTGCCAGCAGGGACGCCTGGTAGGCCTCGTCCTGCTGCTGCCGGATCGACTGCGTCAGCGACCGCTCGTCCCTGGGAACGGCACAGCACCAGTGAGGGACCCAAAGGAAAAGGCTCGCCACCACTTGGTGCACCGTCGCAACGCCGAAAAAGAAACGGCAGTCGCGATGCTCGCAACCACCGGGTTGCGATGCTCACAACGGCGGCATTGCAATGTCGCACTGCCATTAGGGGTGTTGCTTCCTCGCGTTGCACTGTTCTGCGGGAGAAGCACATGCAACAAAACTAGACTGGTCGGTTGCGACTTTTGAAAACATTGAAGTTATTAGAATGTATGCCAAATATGCCAGCTACCATTTGAATCGGAGGTAAAAAAATACTAGAGCGACGAGCTATGTGGTGAACGAATGTTCGGTCGCAATTACGCATTAACTCTAAGGGGTCAGCACGATCCTACAAAGAAGACCGAAAAATTACGAGTTTCTGTTCGGCGTCTGAAAAATTTGTCAACAACTTTAAAGGCCGACAAACAATCGGAAAGGAGGAAACTCTCCTACAGAGCTAGGCAGAGCTAGTACTAAACCTATTTGGGAATACAAATGCTCAGATACTACATGTATTTTAAGGCCCAAAATACAGATACTGAGATACATTTGTCTTTTATGCAATGGTATATCCCTAAGATGCTTCCGCAAAAAACGTCGAAAAAATATTCCGGAATACTGATACATATATAAATACATTTGATCCCGAACATTACTACGTGGCGAGTGTGTAGTTCGGTGTGAATGCAAATGATAATTTATGCTTGTGCTTCTCGTTCTGTGTCATTTTATGCGCTTTCCGTTACCTCCAACTTTTTATTTATCATTAATGCCACTAAGAAACATGTCACCCCCGATGAACCACATAGTTACTGAAAGGTAAAGACTGCGTGCCATGCTTGACAAAAGGCGTCTGCCCAAAATTAACCCTGTTTTGCCGTGAGGGTGCATCTCAAACTGTCCGCTTATATTTTTCTGAATCATCCTTAATGTTAGGAAATTTGATGACAGAGCCGTTCCTTTTTGTGCACTCAACTCCTTTACAGTGTCCGCTCTGCTAAAGTGGAAAGAGTAGAGGGCTTTGTGAGAGGAGCTAATTTTGTTATTATTGGAGGTAACCTTCCTTAAACCACAGTAGTTTCTTTCTTTTTTTTTTTTTTATGATGGTGACTGTCATGGATTATGTTACAGGGCGGGTTCATACTATAAATTCTGAAGCACCTTGCACCAAACAGATGTTTTTATCTTTTAAATTTATCGTAACAACGGCAACAAATGTAATGAGATAACTAAGCCTGGCGAAGTATCGCAATACAAGTGATACACTGTAAATGCATTTCACTACTGAGATACAAATACATTTTTTAGATGTATGTCGATACACAGATACAGATACTCCAAAGAATCTCCAAGATATTATGGCGATACGTTTGTATCGTGATATTACGCAGCCCTGCTCTCCCTCCAATTCCTCCTTTCTATTCGAGAAGGAGGAAGACCCTCCCACTTTCTGCGGGGATTAATTCGGAGACCCACTCTCTGGGGAGAAGAAAAGAGAAAAGTGCGAGAGAGAATGGAGAGAAGGAAACTGGGAACCGGCTTTCTGCCCAGTAGGAATCGATTCTGCAGGTCAGTCTTTTAAGCCCTACTAATTACGGGCATCACTGGTGCCCTGCCATCCGACCTGCGAGTCTGGCTGGTGTTTCGCAGTTTCGGAGTTTGCTTAGTGGGCTCTCTGGCAAATGGCAGCTCTAGCACTATCTGTATGCCTCCTTCGGGTCGTCTGTTTCAAAATTCCGCCGAGCGAGAAGAGCGCCATGTCCCCGGCGCATAGGTCTGCTTTAAAACGAAGAAATACGTAAACTTTTACTTGAAAGTGGCAAATGCTATACCATTACTGACCACGGCTCGTGCCACCACTCCGACGATCCACAAACTTAATTTAAAGTCGGTGATTTGCACGAAAATTAAAAAAAAAACATTCGCTTTGCCTCCAAATGTTGTTTGCTGCTCTTCACCCTCCCGAACATGTCCGACAGCACCACGCAGACGAGAACTACTAAACGGACGCATTGTATGGTCAGGAATTAGCGGTGAGAGCAGCGAGCAACGTTTGGAGGCCACATGAAAGTTTCCTTTAATTTTTTGTGCAAATTGCCAACTTTAAATAAAGTTTTGTGGCATGTTTTATGAAAACACAGTCTGTGTGCAACGGGTCAATGAACCGGTCCTTGCTTAAATTAAACCATTTGCGTCAGTAGTGTAGCCAGGATTTTGTTTGTTTTTTTCGGGAGAAGGAGGGGGGGGGGGGGGGGGGGGGGGGGGCAAAATGCATCTATGTTATAGGGTCGGTTGGATTTCAGAGGGGGGGGGAAGCTGAAGCCCCATAAGCTCCCCCCCCCTCCTCTCCCCTCTCCTGGCTACACCCCTGGCTTCCGTGACTGGATGAAAACGTGAGGCTCACCTCTCCATGCGTGCCGTGACGAGCGAGGCCTCGTTGTCGGCCATGACCTGCTGCAGCCGGAGCAGCACCACGTCGGGCCGCATGAGCCCCTCGAAGCGCCCCACGACCGTCATGCGGTGCTCGCGCAGCACTATCACCGCCAGGAACGGGTAGGTGTTCTCCCGCAGGGCCTGCGACACTGAACGGCCAGACGGTCGCGTGTCAGGGGTTTTTTAGGGCGTGGATTCTCAGACCAGGCTCCCGGGTGTTCTCCGGAGTACCTCTGTAGGTTCCCCGTGCCCTCTGGTTTCTGCGGCTATCCCAGCCCCCCAGTTGTGCATTTGCCGTTTAAGCATTATTTTAGCAGATCTGAGCTGTTCACCGATATAAATAGGGTCACCCAAGTCACCACACTCTATCTAAAATGGACCGCAAAAATCGATGCCTGCACGTAGCCGCCTAAACTTTCCGTCAAAGGCGTATTTCACAGGTTGGTTTTTTTTCTTGTAAAATTACAAAGCGTAGCTCTCTTTCTGTAAAAGATGGGGCAAAGAAACTTGCCAGGGTCTACGGCGGGCGGCGACGCAGATGACACCGTCCAGTAGCAGTGTATGTTTGGCATTTGTATTGATAGATGGCGTCAGGAGCAGCGACTGAAGGTGCAGCCGACCAGCAAGGAAAGCAGACGACAAGGAGACGAAATCCTTTGGCAGCAAAAGCGCAGTCGTTATGCAAACGCGTTTTTTTTTTACTTAAAGTTTTGTTTTTATTGTCTGCATTTATTTTTTAACAAAAGGCACATTTCAAAAAGATTATGTTCATTTTAATAAACCACAGTGGTCGCGCTAAACACACCCCGCTACTGGTCTTGGTCGTCTGCGTCGCCGCCCGCCATAGACCCTGGCAAGTTTCTTGGCCCCATTTTTTACAGAAAGAGAGCTACGCTTTGTAATTTTACCAGAAAAAAAAGACCCGTGAAATACACCTTTGACGAAAAGTTTACATTACTATATGCAGGAGCCGATTTTTACAGTCCATTTTAAATCGAGCCTGGTGACTTGGGTTGCCCTCTACATACCGTAAAGTTCCGAAAGAATGCCCACCCAAAACGAAGAGATAAATGGTGAAAAACATGGGATGGGCTATCTTTGAAGACGCCACAGCAAAACTTTATCAAAAATTAATGATAAACACCCTGGCACCGGCCACAAGCCATGTGACGCGGGAACTGATAAGGCAGATCGCGGACACCGCAAATTCACGTTTCACAATGCGATAAGCACGCGGGAATTCGCTACAAACTCCTGTGTCACGGGAAAGGATACCGCAGGCTGTGGATGCAGCAGATTCGCGTTTCACGGTTCGAAGGACGCGCAAAAACCCACCGAGAACTCGCCTCTCACAGGAACGAACACCAAAAATCGCAGACGCAGAAAATTAAAGTTTTAGGATGAAAAGAAACATGCGGGAACCACTACAAACTTGGCTGCCACGGGAACCGATATCGCGCACGCAGTTTGCGGACAAAAACGGAGGAATCCATCACAAACTTGTATGTTACGGGAAAAAAAACGCAGATTGCAAATGCAGCAGAATCGTATTTCACGATGCAATACACACACGAGACCAACTCTCGTGAAATCGAGATCACGCGCGCAGATCGTGGACAAAAACGCGGGAACTCGGGGCCGCGGGGGGTGCCTCGAGATCGAAGGGTCTGAGAACCCTTGTCCCAGAGCTGAGTTTTCTCGAGCACGATCTCCCTTGGTAAAGCATTTTACAAATTTGAGCAGAATTTAACGTGTATACCGTAAAATTTCAAACACACATCCACACCCAGTGAAGAGACGAAGGGTGAAATATATGGGATGGAGCAATAAACATAAAAGTGCCTCCTCTGAATTTGCATGACACAGGAACTAATACCTTAGAATTCTGAACAAGAACTGTGGTACCAGTATTTGCGATCAAAGGGTCGCATTTTTTTCATTTCTGGTAGTGCAGCTCTTGTCCCGTCACAACATTTGTTTGCGTGTGTCACCGACCAATATTAGAAACAGTTCAAAACCAAACTATGCGAATTGAGCCCTATTACAACGAAGAATTACTGAAATTTCTAGAGCTTTAACCACTATTTCCATCCCAAAAAGGATGATGAAAATAATCCCTGGAGAAGGGGAACAAGAGGGACAAAGGACAAACATAAATCTCCAAACACAGCTAGGTGACTGGTGAGCGACCGAAAAAATCCGCCTGGTCCGGGTATCGAACCCGGGACCTCTCCACCAGTCACCTAGATGTGTTTGGAGACTTATGTTTGTCCTTTGTCCCTCTTGTTCCCGTTCTCCAGGGATTATTTTCATCATTCTTGTACAGCTCGCTTGCACCTTTGCATTTAATTGCATTATATTCCAAAAAGGATGTCGTGAAAAGTGGTCCAAGCATCAACTTAAAAAAAAAAAAAAAAAAGAAAAAAAAAAAAACACTGAATAAAAAAAATTTTGTAAGCAGCATAAAATCTGCAAAATCACAAAAATATATATTTGTGTTTGTAAAATTAGTTACAGCGCTAGACTTGTTTTTGTTAACGGCTTTCAAACGCGTTCACCAAAATGGGTACATAACGTCGCCACACGTGCACGACAAGGGCAGCGTTTTCATTGACTACTTCTCTTCAGCGCTCCTCCTTTCCACTTTTCTCTCCCGCACGTGATTTTGCTAAGCAGAGGAGAGGCAAGGAGAGGACGAGAATGCTGCACTTGGTGCGTACATCTGGTGACGTTACATACCCGTTTTTAGTGCACGCGCTTGGAAGGTAAAACAACCCTATACTCCGTCTCACTAAAACTGTGCAGTACAGCCAAAGCTACAGGGGAGAGACCATATGCCAACCTGTTCAAGAAGAGGAACTGCAGGGAAGGGCTGGGATTCTCCCATTCCTCCTTTCCCTCCTCTTGAACAGATCAAGATTCTCTCTCTCCCGTAGATTCGACTGTACTGCACGGTTTGAGTGAGACGGAGTATAGCATTGTAAATAATTTTACAAAAAAAATATTTTTTGTTAAAAATTTATTTTGTAATATTTGTAATTTTTCCAGGCTGTTTAAACTTTTTTTTTTCCTCTTTAGTGTTTTTTTTTTTACTTTTTCCTGGCCACAGGAAGAGTAGCTACTTTCAAAGGATCCGTGCAAACGCTTGCTCTCTATGCAAACTAATTTGCATAGAGAGCAATATGACATATCAAAAGTTGTTCTTCCAAAAGAAACAGAGGTTGGCATAATGTGGAAAAAAGGTTTTTAAAAAAATTTTTTTTCTTGAAAATGCAGTGTATGTGCGGAAGGCATATAAATGCCGAAACTTCTACAACTAAGTTAAATGACAAAATAAAAAAATACAGCATATACAGAATGTGTTCCACACCCACTTCTAAAAGTCTAAGCTTGTTATAACAGACCTTGATTTTGACCAAGATTTTGGTCTGTTGGAGAAGGAGTAGTTGAGTCATTGGCGCATAGAGGAGGACCAATCATACTTCACAAATCGGTATGTTATATCCAAATGTCTGTTGTAACGAGATCTGTTATAATGAGCTTATACCCTAGTTACACGGGCGCTTTCAACTGCCATTGAGTCAACGACAGTTGACTCAATCGCGATCGGCCGGAGTTACACGGCGGCGCCAACTGTCATCGAGCCGCTAATGACAGTTGAGTTCAACTGAGCTCCCCTACCTCAGTTCAACTGAACGGACTTCCCCAACTGAGGTAAAATGGCGCCTGTCCGCGGGGCTGCTGCCGCCAACCATCGTTTCCGAGGCACTTACTGTTTCGGAATGCAGGGGGAGGCGTCTAAAAGGAATCGTAGCAGCAAAATATCCGGGAAGGAATGACTTTAGGCGTCCGAACTGCCGCTAAAACGATCCCGGCTAGCCGGCAAGCCACCAAACGAGCGAAGATGGCGGCGGGACCAGCTGTGTGAATGGAGAGATAGTAAAGGGTGCACCCATCGTAGCGGGTGGTAGCTAGCCCCACCTAGCCTAAAATATGGGCAACTTAGCCCTGAATCTGCTTTGGTACTGATGTAAACGCCGCTAAAAAGCAACAAGGTATTGAACATAATGTACGATATACTTATAGTAAATAAAATATGTTTCTCCGAGTAGATTACTTTAACAAATAGACTGATCCCGAGGCACAATAACTAGCTTCGTTTTAGCTTCAACTGGGTTCTAGAGAGCCGTGTAGCACCATCTCAGTTCAGTTCAGTTCAATCACAGTTGGGGCCGATAACTGTGATTGAACTCAACGACAGTTCAAAGCGCCCGTGTAACTAGGGTATTAGACTAGTTCATTCTAACTGACGTCTGTTTTTGGTTTGTCAAAGTTAGCCTCCGTAACACCCGTGTTTTTTAACGAAAAAATGCTCATGTTAACGAAACACAGATAGCACACCTCACATCCCCAGCAGAATACTTTCTTTGTATTCTACCTTGGTTTTGTCACTGCCTCAATTGCAGTTCCTTAGTATTTAGCATTTTCGTCCGCCTTGTTGGGAACATGAAATGTCCACACCAGCTCGGGGTAGCGTTGTAAATTATAGTGACGCTTACCGACAACCGCCTGTTAAGCGATGCCAATATTATCATTTAAAGTGTCCCCGGAGCTCTTGAGGCATTAAAAAATATGCCACGATACAGTTGAATGATGTAAATATTTTCATCTTTGTTACGAAGACTGATGCAAGCAGTTAGCCCTGTTAGACAAGTGCAACCCCCGTTCCCAGGACTATTCTTGACAGCCCACCAGCTAGTGATAAAGCTCAAACCTACACTGAAACCAAAACTACACTTCTTCAACTAGCCAGATTGTGAAACGTAATAATTCTCCGCACTAAATTTAATTTCTTGACGGCACCTGAAAACCATTCGTCACCGGTGATCGATGGCCTATGGACACGGTTAGGAAAGAGTGATGTCAAACACTTACCCCGGTAACCTTCTGGGTAGTTGACAGAGCAAGCCCAGAAGAGCATGTGGCCGTTGATGAACTCGACGAGATCTCTGTTGCTCAGCGTGTCCCTAATGAAAACGCAAACAAATGTTAAACACCCGAGCAAAAACGAAACATGAAAGCAAACATTTTTTTTCTGCTCTAACATTCAAAAATGTACTGAATAGTTTTGGTATTCGATCTGCTGCACTTTTATAATCCAGATTACAGTACAATTGTGCTAACTGAGCCTCGAATTCTTTTTTCCTGTAAATTCAGTCAAAATCAAAAGTACCAGCGGGCGTCTCCAACACTTTCATAACAAAAAAGATTTGTTCATTCGCTAACGCGTGCAGGTGCATGTTTTCAATTAGGAACTCGCTGGGCAACATGAAAAATGACTAAATCAACTAGTTCTAGAAAGGCACAGGGACGGACAAAATTTCATGAAATTCCCGAACAATGCTCCATTTGGAGACATTCTGTTTGTTCGTCCCTTCTCGTCCCAGTCCCGGGGTTTTTAGTCAAATGTATAAACACCACCAGCTCGTTTGCGCTTTTGTTCCAATATGGATGCATTTTTCGGTTTTGGTTTCCTATCAGAGTAGGTCGTTGCACCAGCAGTCACTGGTGCAAAGATGTGCTCCAATATAAACTCAAAACTAGAAACATGTGCAAATTGTGAATTTTTTTTCGAAAGGCAGCGACTATTTTATTGCCCAATGCCAAAATTACATAAAAAATTATTTTGACAACAGCGACGTTGCTTTTGTTAAACACGAAAACAGTTAATGAAATAATTTGATGTCCATCAATAAAATGATTACCTTGTTATTACGACATCATCCATCAAAATAGTACAATTATTATATTGACATCTCCTGTCAATGTAGGCGTCCCAGTGGTAGCTGTTTCAGTCTATTTGGTTGTGGGCGGTGTTGTTGTGTTGGCCGAGTTACGTGTCATGTCGGAAAAAGCTTCGGTCCTACTTGACACCGGAAATGTTGCATTCAGCGAGTGTGTGCCTGTGTGCTCGACAGTCGAACGATTCATTTCGGTGACGATAGCCCAATGGAGATGCTGCGCTCTCGCAAATCTTTCCGGCGGGCATTCTTGCGTAAAATTTTTAACTCGCAACAAAGGCGAGCTGGATATCCCTTTATCTTTTGTCTGCACGTCACAACTATAAGCGCATATACCACGTACCAGCAAGAATTTCTAATGATTTTTGTACCTCCACGCCTCTACAACCGTGCGAGCGCGTCTTCAAACAATTGACAAGCCTTGCCAGTCTCACTTTGCATCTAGCTGGTTTGTGGGCTTGTCGTTCGTTGAGATTTTCTTTTTGTTCGTGTGTGAAGGGTGTAGCACGGCTACTGGTTGATCAGGGCATTTAGTAAAGTGTTGCAGATGCAAACATTGTCTCCTTCATGCTTTTCTGACCAGTACAAATAAACAACAGAGCTTCCAAAGCAACGACATCAGCGTCACGATTCAACACACATTTTTCGACACCAAAAATATTGTGCCATTGATGGCAATTTTTGATCACTCAATTTTTAAAAAGATTCGTAACATTTTTCATTTTTTATGAATAATGTAAAATAAATCGTGCGTTCAATAACGTTTGGCACAATACTATTAAGCAAACGCTACACGTTGCCTGATAGCCGAGTATTTTAATGTTTTCTTGGACTCCCGATCACTTAAAAATTTGGTTATGAATACTGCAGTCGATTGCATGGCACCCGTTGTCGGAAAGACGCGTGACACCAACTGCAAACAAGGCAATCGATGGGGGATTGCCGCTTTCGATCCCCTTCCAGTCCGAAGCTCCCAAGTTCAAACTTTGCTCAGTCGCTTGGGACGTAAAGTTTGACAAGGGATATCCCCAATAATGCAATAAATATTTTTGTGTCTTTAGGCATCACAGGCAGTCGTCAAACCCTCGCGGTGTTTGCATACTTCTCGTCGTTTCTCACATCATTCTTTCCTTCTCGTTTCCGAAAAACTTGTGACAATGTTATGAACGATCATTTCTCGTAGAAGACAGAACGTACGTCCGACCTCGCAAATACCGCAAAACCTACGTTACAGTGAAATGGAGCTCCAGGGTCACCTCAAAGATGGCGCCAGCGAACAAGTGTGTTCTCGTCCCGAGAGATTTTCAAAAGCTTTTAAGGCTCAAGGTCCTAAGGAGACGAGAGCGTGTGGACGGGTCTTTGTCTTTACGCCCAAGGTGGCATAAACTACCAACAGCTTTGCAACGACGGGTAGCTGATGCAGCCATCTTGTTTTCTCTTTGTGCTCGTCGCTCGTAGAGCTAGCTGCATTTGTCTCCACTGCACTCGTCGGACGTGTTCGAATGCGAGAGCCAAATTCTGGACTGCCAGCTGGACCAGCAGCCTTTGCTAGACTGGTAGCGAAGGCTGCTAGCTTTATGTCTACCCACTAATCACTCCAATCGGAGCTCGGCGTTCTGACGTCTCCTCTCGCTCCCATCTCCTCCTCTCTTCGTTTCTCGATGCACAAAAGTGAGTTTGATTTGGCCGGTCACATGCCCTTTTCTGCGATATTAGGATGATTAATTAATCCTAATCTCGAGGACTTCTTAAGTCAAATTAATGCAGTTACATTATTCTAATTACTGTAAAATCCTGTAAGGACACCGAGCCAGGATGAACAGATAAATGGTGAAAAACGTGGGGTGGACTATGTTTCGAGATGCCACAGCAAAACTTTAGCGAAAATTAATGATGAGCGCAGGGGCACCTGCTACAAACCACGTGACCTGGGAACCGATATCGTGGACACGGCGAATTCGCGTTTCACGATGCGATAAAACACGCGGGAATTCGCTACGAACTCCTGTGTCACAGGAAAGGATACCGCAACTGGCCAACGCAGCAGATTAGCATTTCACGGTGCGAAGGACTCGCGGAAACCCGCCGAAAAACTCGCATCTCACGGGAACGAATACCGCAGATCGCGGACGCAAGTTTCGTGGTGCAATAAAAACGTGGGAACCCGCTACAATCTTGCCTGTCATGGAAACCGATATCGCGCATGCAGGTTGCGACAAAAACACGGGAATACGCTACAAACTCGCATGTCGCATAGACAAATACCGCAGATCGCGGACGCAACAGAATCGCATTTCAAGATGCAATATACACGCGGGAACAACTAGCGTGTCACGCGAGCCAATATCGCGCACAGATCGCAGACAAAAACGCGGGAAAACGCTATGAACTCGCTTCTCGGACACACCGGTACCGCCGATTGCGCCGTTGATGCGCGATTCCCGTCGGAAATCGCTTGACGTCCAACGGGAATCGGGGGGTGGGCGATACTTTGGATTTTTTTTGTTACAGATGTTTAGCCAGAAAAACGAGATGGGCGATTTCTCGGGGGAGGGCGCCCTTACGGGATTTTACGTTATATTTGAAAGGAATTCCACAGGAGCAAGGCATCGATCACAGCCATACGCAATAAACCAGAAAACCATGCGAGACACTTTTCATTCTTGATGAGTGCAATTTTTCTGGGTATGTGTTCAGCATGCGGTGCAGCAATACTGACAGTCATTAAGCAATTGCAATATTTCTCTTTTGTAGGCATAAGGAGCTACATGTACAAAACAGTGGTGCTCGTCGCGTTAATAAAGGCGCTTGTTAACCTCGACAACCTATACAGATATACATGACAAGCTTGCACAAACTACTATAAACAGGGTAATGTATGAAAAGTTTGTAGGAACCACTATAAACACGACAAAGAGAATATAGGCTAGTGCACGAGAGCTTTGGTTGGAAGACCGCAGACTGCAGGTTTTGACTTGAGCTCGAAAGTGGCACCGACGCACAGCATTTCCATATGTAGCTGCTGGGAAAGACGCATGCTCATTAAAGGCACATTAACAGTGGACTAGACGACCTAACCAGACGGAATTTAGAGCAAAATTTAAAAGGCTCATTAGCACCCATTCATCCACCCTACACTCACTCACTCCATAACTGTGCAGTTATTTAGAGACAGAGACCGACCTGCAGAAGGCACCAGTATCCTGGTGGTCGTCCCCATGGAGGTATATGAGAAGGAATTTGAGTTCCCGCTTGGCGTCGTTCAGCGCCTGAAACAACAGAAACGGCAAAGAACCCTCCAGTCAGAATTTTGTTCTCTCTCGCCCCATTATGCCCTCGCTGGAAACAATATTTTGAAATACAACTTCCAAAAAAAGACAAAAATATTTTTTACCTTACAAAAAAAGCTACCTAGTTTTGTGCATTGTTCACACACTGCACAAAGTACTTACGAGATTTGGTTGTCGCAGGAAGAAGCGATGCTTTCCACAATTGAAACATGTTTGTTTGATAAGATTACATCTATCTAATCTAAAATTCACGGACATATGTCTTCATTATCCACATAAAAGGGGAAATTAGTATCCACAAAGAGCCAGACTTTTTTTTACTATGGTCCTTGAAGTGAACATGAGTATAGTGTTGTTTACGTGCCACCAGCACTGTTGCTAAAGGAGAAAGTTAAACTTGCTCACTCACAATGCACTCAAATTTATGGAATGTTTTTTTTTTTTTTTTAGAAAAGCAGTAAAACAATCTTTTGATGACAAGGAGTCATGAGTGTGCTGAATTTCCTCCCAACTTGCGTAATGAACCTCATATACACCAACGCGCGGCTCCGACGCCACCCAGCTGCGGCGGCACTGTTGTCGAAGAGGCGCATTTGCAGACCCATCCCTTGACGCGGATCTGGTTTCTGCACACACAGTCCCCAGCAAACGTAGACTTGTTTTTCAACAGTGTTGGCGTACAAAACCTTTATTTGATGAGGGTATTTCTAAACTGGGCTTCCTGAATCAAGAACAGCTAAAGTTTCACAAACGGGAAACAGCCAAAGAAAACAAACAAAAACGGAACCAACAACAGCTAGCACAAGTCGAAGGAAGTCTTTCTCGAACCCTTGAAGGTTCAATTCACTTTTTTGGATGTTGCCGCACGGGGGGGGGGGGGGGGGGGATTTGAAAGGAAGTTAGTCGGAGCACCTGCATGCCTCCCCCCGCACCCGACTACAGAATCCCGAAAGTACTAAATCGTCCGACTCATAGATCTGTGGCCACTAGAGACTCGGAGAAATCAGTTCATGTCCCTTACCTGGCTGTAGGTTCCCTGGTAGAACACGGGATGGTTGGACCCGTACCTGGTCTCGTAGCCTTCGATGAAGTTCATCACATCCGCCAGGGGATCTGTCACAACTGTGTACAGAGTAGCTATGTTAACCAGAAGTCTTGATCTCGGCAAAGAATGTGGCGCAAGCTTGTGCTCTTTTTGTGCACAGAATGGCTGCGATCAAATCGCAAGAGAATGCATAACAGACAGACCAAAAGAAAGAAAGCAAGGACAGCTGACAGCAGAACGACAGCAGAACCAAGTTTGTTGTGCACGACAAAGAAGAGAGAGTTGGGAAAGACAATTGCAAAAAAGGCTCCTGTGAGCTGCCATATTGTGGTGGGCTAGGGCCATGTTATTGGGAAGCGCGAGGACAAGAAGCAGCATCGCCGATGGCCAGTGTTAGCAATGTACTTACTTCTTCAGAACGCAGGGAAAGGTATCCACACACAATCGTAGCGTCAAATATTTTAAGAGGGGGCAAGTTTAAGGGTTGAAACTGACTTTCTAACGATCGCAGCCTGTTCCAGCACGTCGTGGAAGCCAGCCGTGCGGCTCTTGACGTCCTTCCCGTTTGCATTCTTTGGATGCGTTTCTATTTTGTTTTTGGGTTTAAGTGGGATGAAAACAGCCACATAGTGCGTGCTAAAAACGTTTTAAGATATATGTTTTTCCTTTGCAAGAGATGCCTGGCAACATTGTACGACAAGCAGCAAACGTCCTGGCTGGAGAGTAGGTCTGCCTCACCTCGGCGCACCGTTCGAGGTTAAGCTGGGATCCCACTGGCAAAGGTGTATAAGGAAACATTAAGCTTAAAACTTTTCAGAAATGCCTACGTTTACCTCATTATTGTTTCCGGCATAATAAATATTGAAAATTTGAATGCATCAGCCGGTTAGTTGGCAGAACAACCACTGTAGGGCTACCAGTTAATAAATTACTCTGGAAACAAGCTTATTCTTAGGCCTAAAGCTCCGCGACAGAGCACGCAAATGGCCAAGGAGGAAAAACAGAATAAGTTGACAGGTCCCGAAATGCAAGTAAATATGCATGTATGAGGGAATAGATGGAAATACACGGAAGCAAATATGAACTCACTTCTCCTTGCATCAGGGCGTACTAAGCTCCCTGGAAAGAAAAAGAAAAGTAATTAGTTTCAAGGACCCTGGTTTCTCTCCATCATGGCGTAGGCTTCTGCTTTATGCTTCACGAAGCAGCTACACAGGCTTTGTTCATAAGCAGGGCATTCGTTGCTAGAGAAAGTATTGGACTCTAATACAGTAGATTAATTAATCTAAATTTGATGGGACCAGTCAATTCAGTTTGAATTAACCGAAAACTAAGAACCAAACATTAGATAACATTAGATAAGCAAGCTCCGCATGGGAACAGCAGTACAGACCCCTTTAGTCATACAATTGAGTGAGAAGATCTGACACAAACAAGTTGTGAATTGTTGTAGTTCTCAGTTATTTGAAATCCAGGTGAATGAATTGCTCAGTTAGATTGTTTGAGTGCAAGACAATATTTTGTGATGTATACCCTTATTTTTCCCTCCTGCATACACTGCAAGGTTTGCAGTATTTCAAATAAAATAAAGTAGGAATTAAAATCTGCCCTCTTGCCAGACTATTCTAGCGGTGTACCGGCAACGCTGAATTTATTGTAAGGTGCTTTGCGGTGACGCGCAGGAACCTGTTACGCGTCTTATGCCTCGATGGCACAATTATCGCCGTGCGTAGCGTCTCTGAAAGGAAGTCCTGCCAGAGCTAGTGCTCCGTAGAGAGTGGAATGCAAAGTTTGCATATCTTGCGGTCGCACACCCCAGCTTACAACTGGCTATTTCGAGTTTCCCACTTGCTTCCAAACCACATGCTTCCCATCCCGTGCCAACGCACATTTAAAAAAAAAGTGCTGCGCCAACCAAATGCTGACGTAGCACTATTGTGATGCCCACGTTAGCAGAAACTGCTAGGAGCCTGCTACATAACACATTCTGCAGTTAATATGTAGATAAACAAGCCGCATTAATTCACACATCTATATTCTATAACAGGACTAGAAATATGTTTCGACTGTTGGGTTCTTACTCAGCACGCCAGAATTACAAACGAGTTTAGAGAGTCGTGTGGCATTCTTGATCGCTATTCCGTGTTCGCAACACCAACAGTGTAAACGCTGGCTCACACAGCCAAATCTTACGTTTTCTTAACAGACTGGTAAGTTACCAAAACATTAGTGTCTCCAATGTTGCGTGCCAGACCATCTCTTTGAACTGGCAGCCACGCCTAATATGAAGCAGAGATGTTCATGTGACTTGCACGCCAGCTTTCGTAACATAAGATAACAAAAGAAAACGGGACTTTGTGAACCGGGTTTAACCCTTGAAGGTCGTCGCCGAACGTGTACGGTGGCAATTACACGCTTGAAAATGCCCATCTAAACACAAAACCATGCGCACCATGCAAGGTGTTGCTCTAACATTAAATTCGCAGTGTTTCGCTTTGCTGGGGCTATTTATACTTCTGAAATTAGACGCCATGTGCACCGCCATACGCGAGAGACGGTCGCTTTGCATGTCGGCTACTCTCGTGGCAGCAGCAACTGGAGCAATTCAGACTCCAATTCAGACTTTTAACGTTTCTCAGAACTGAATTTGGAGGGTGAGAGCTTATCATCCAATGGAGAAGCTCAGTAAAGTACCTCCAGTTTGAACCTTGAGACCGCTGGAATGTCACGGAAGCAGACGCACCGAAACAAAACCGAATGGAAGATAGGTGACAACTTTTTTTCCTTCAATTTTTACATTCGATGCTTCTAAACCTAAACAACTTGCAAGCCCTGTAGCTACTCAAGCTAGATAATTAAGAAAAAAAACCTGGGCATGGACCCTTATTTATGCTATTCTTTTTGGAACAAAACCCGGCCACTAAAATAATTTTTTGGGAAATAACCTCGACCGTTAAAGGGTTAAGGGGGCACTCAAGTGGAATCTGAGATTGTCTATTTATGGCGATAATTTAAGGCTCGTTCACATTCTCTTGCAACCGGGTACGACCGAGAGAGACGAGACTTGTTAAAACCTGTTAAAATTTCTTAGGGCCAGTGAACACACTGGCACGCTGGCGCCATCTATGCGGTGACCCTGGAACTGCATTTCACAAGAGCGAAGGTTTAGCGGGATTTCCGAGGTCAAATGTGCGTAATACCTATAAGAAAGGCTCGTTTATAACGTTGAAAAAAGTTTTTCGAGCAAAGAAAGAAAAAATATTGCGCGAGAGAAATAGAAAATATGCTGGACCGCCAAGTATACACTGCTACCCAATAGATGGTGCCAGTGTGTCCTCTCGTTGTAAGAGGTTTCAAGAAACCCAGTTTTAAGAGGTCACAACAGTGTGAACGGGCCTTCAATCTACGGGCTCTAAGCATCCTAACGAACCCGAAATTGCATTCATGGGGAGCCAATTTCCCTATTTACCGTTTAATCAAAGATTGTGGCAAGCCCCCCTTTTGCACCTTGGAATCGACACCAGGGGGTGCTGACGGACGGTGTTTTCAAACAATAATTGACGTATTATATCTCCTACGCCCAAAGATTCAACATTTTTGTCAAAATACAATGCACAATGCGCGTAAAAAAAAGCAATAACAGTAATGTTCAAAATCTCCACGCCTTCAACGGTCAAATTTTAGGGAGGTGGTGGGGACCTGATGACGGCACACCCAGGAGTAAATAGTGCCCGTGCATTTCTATCGCTGAGAGTTCACTAGGACGTCGCGCCCTCTGGAACTGGTCAGTTTTATTGACTGAAGCCCAACAAATGGCACGCGATCAAAAACAAGCTTCTACTAAAAGTACTCGAGTACACCTTTAAGTCTGATCGGTCCGATTCGCTTAATAATGCCGCGTGCATAACCGAGAAGGAACGCTTCCCAGTACATCTAGAAGATTCGTGTTTACTCTAATACTCTTACACCGAGAGAAAAAGAAAGCCGGAGTGACTCTGCCCTGTCAGTCTCGCCTTAGCTCATTCCCCAACATTCTAGGTCGAATGTTTGAGATGATGAGCTTAGTAAATCAGGAGCCAAGCGCGGCGTTGCCGATTCATTTTCACTGATTCATTCTGGCAATAGCCAGCTGTGACACCGACGCACAGTCGCTTCTGCTGCCGTCTCGATGTGCGTTCTTCCTTTTTTTGTAACCGGCACAAGTTTGTTTTCAGTTCATTATTTGTCGCCTCGTCGCCTTCAACTGTGACAATACTGGATATGAAATAAGCAACATGCAAATGCATTGAAACAGTAGGTAATCAGTCAAGGAGTTAGGATACGGTTCAATGGTGGGAGAGTTGCGTTCAGACCTAGATGGATTGCACGCAACTGCTCGGCCAGGACTGGGGTCTGTCCACTGGGGTTCGCAGATCCTTCCCTCTCTAAAGAGACGAGCCCCCAAAACGCTTGGGAGCCACTCACATGCAAACTTGATGATGCCGAGGAGCGAGTTGTAGAGGAAAGAGAGTGGAAATGTGATGATGAATTTGCCCCATCCCAACAGGCCATTGGGTCTCCAGCTCTGCACGGAGTAGAAAAACCTAGAAAATACCATAAAAAGGACAGGAAGTCAGCATAAATATGCTTCAAAAAAGAAATTCCTATTTTATATAGGCCCAAGATTTAAAGGAAAACTGAAGCAGTTCTACATTTGAGAAAAAAAACACTCAAATCATTTTCATGTGGCATCCAGGACCACAAATATCGAGATTATTTTTTTATTTGGTGCATGGAGGCTGCAGAAAATCATTTTCAAAGTACCGCTGAAGCCCCTCCTTTCCAGAGCGTGACGTCCCATCAGGAGCTTTAGGAATCTCCGCTTTCGCGCATCTTCAGCGCTTATCAAACCTAGACAAGCGCACTCTTGCTATTTTAAAAAGGTGAAAAAAAAGACGCCACGACTGGTGTCAGTGCGGGGGAATATAGACCAATACGCGGCTTTGACGTCACATCTCTGCGGTAGCGCTGTTGTCACCACCGCGCATGCGCAGAAGCTTCACCTCACGCGGATCTGGTTCATGCGCTTGCACAGTGCCCACACCTGGTGTGGGCAAACGCAGGCTTGTTTGTAAACAGCGTGTTGGTCCATACCTGACAAGCTCGCAATCACACGCGCTGCCCACATGAGCAACACGTGCTTGGCGGCCGAAAGATCCTAGTACAACGTAACGACTGGCCAGAGATTTTTTGTTTTCTCACGTTTGGTTACATCTGCGGGGAAAACGAATCTGATACTTAGCTTACCGGGATAAAAATACTCTGGAATTCACCTCTAACTTGTTTTTTTGAAGACAACCTTCAGCTTCCCTTTACGTGTTAGACCTAAGAAAAATAGGCATAAAAATAATGTTTAGCTTCCAAATCTCTGAGAGCTGCTGGCACCCAATCTATAATGGTGAATTCCGCTTGCAGATTTGGAGCGCACATCTTCCGCGGGCATATCCGGCTCAAGATGGTCGCCTTCCACTAGCAGATTCGTGACAGTACCAGCTCCGTGGAGTGCTCCCGACTACGCCGCGACCACCCCAGCAACATCAACAGATCTCCCCGGAAGTCGACAGCAGCCCACCACTGCGCATGCGCATCGCGGGCCGAGTATGTCAAATCTGGTCCAGTTGGTCAGTCGGTTGTTTACGCAGGTGGTGACGGGCAGTATGTGCGGCGTGTGCATTGCGTCTCGTATACTGCTGCCATTTCATTTTCACTCCATTTATTACCCTTAGGGAATAAAGCATTACAGAGGGGGAGTGGGCAAACAATGAGTTGCTAGTGAAAAACTCACGTGGGAAAATCGATAAACATTACGATTAACAAAATCAAGTAAAGAGACCAATCAACACCTTTTTGAAAAGAGCACCATCAACAGTTGATACAATGGGGGCAGGAAGGTGGTTCCATTCATGGGATGTGCACGGTAGAAAAAAAAAAAGGTAAAAAGCATTTCAATTTGAATAAGGGATGCCAACTTTATGTTGATGATCGACTCCTGATGAAACATAGAAAGGAAGTACAAAAAGCCTTTCTCACAGTCTAACGTTAGTGTAATAAATTTTGGGAAATAGGCTTAAACGAGCGATTTTTCTGCGTACTAAGAGATGTGGAAGTGAAAGGTGAGCCTTGATTAATGATACACTCGCAGTTCAATGACAGAGCAAATGAAACGTACCAATCTGTTCTGTATAGCTTCAAGTGATGCAATTACTGAAGGTTGACCAGGGTTCCAAATGGATGACGCATACTCTAGCTTTGGTTGTACTAGTGTTTTGTACAGTATCACCTTTAATGATTGGGTGCCAATGAGAAATTTCTCTTCAAGTATCCCAACATGCAATTTGCATTGTTCGTTACGTTAGATATGTGATGTTTCCATGTTAGATCAGACGTGATATGAACACCAAGGTACTTATACTCTGAGACCGACTGTAATGCAATTCCTTTAATATTATAATATGCAGATACTGTTGTACATCTAATTATGTGCATAGATTTACATTTAGCTGAGTTTAATTGCACCAACCATAATTCGCACCAAAGCGACACTGCATTAACATCATTTTGTAACTGTCTTGATTCAAGGTTATTGGTTACTTCGCTGTATAGGACACAGTCATCAGCAAATAGTGAAATTCAGGGGATGCAGAGGGAGGACTGGAGCGTGGCAAATCGTAAGCACCGACATCTGCAATCCCAAGAAGAGCGAGAAAGGGAAAGACAACCGATAATCTGAAGGAATCAGACGCAAAGTTAGGCATGTCCATTTTGCCTGAACTGATTGATACACTGCATGCCACCCGTGTTTCCTTGTGCAGTGAAGCGACAGACTTGTCAATGACCGAGCAAGTGATAGTCTTATTAGCAATCGGAGCTCCACAACTAGCGACCACTGTGCGTGTCCCGCCGCCGTTCCAGGGCGGTTGAAATGTTTGGCAAGGTGGCGAAGGCGGACCTATAAACGTGGACTTCATGGTTTGCATGATGCGCTCGACCGGTGTCGCACGTTTCTTCTGCCGGTGGACAGTGATAGTAGCAATTCGCTGTCGGAGATTTCAGTCGGCTTAAGTTTGAGCAAGCTCAAGCAGCTTCCATTTTGAAAAACAGGCAGTCTCCGGCAGGTAGCTCAAAAGATGCCACTCCATTATCCGCTTGTCGATTTGGAACGGGTGTCACGTAGCGGCTGTTCTCCTCCCTCCCAGATCTTAGAAACCAATCCGAATTTACCACTGAAATTCACCATAATTATGCAAATATCTCATCACACACATAAAACAAAAATAGCTTAAAATTTTTTTTTTTTTTTTTTTTTTCAGTTAAATGTGACCAGTAGGCATATAAAAAAATGATGTCCCCTCAGCTTGTACAAAGTAAAGGCCATGAATTATAGAGTGTGCTGTTAGTAACATAAAATATTTACAAAAAATTTTAAATTTTTTATGTAACTGATAAAAGTATTAAGAGAAGAGGACAACACTATAAGTACATTTGCATGCTATGTTTTTTTTTATAAAACTAAATTTTTTTTTCATACAACTGAATATTTTTTTTTTTTTTTTTTTTTTGGGGGGGGGGGGGGGGGGGGGGGGGAGGAGGATTTACTACTTTTTATATTCATTCGAGATATTAGAGATGTATAATGAGGTGTCAGCACCCCTTCAAGCTGGCTCTTAGAAATTATGAAAAAGCACCAATAACAGTGGCACATGGCACCACTGCAATTAACTCTTTCGATACCTTTGCCTCGGCAGCCATATCTGCTGCACTATCCAAGTAGCATCCACGTTGCAGTTCACAGTCGCTACCACCGACCTCCTTTATCTCAACCGGCACTTCCCATGCCTTGTTTCCTAGCCTAAGTCAAGCTGTGAAGCCATCACCTTACCAGTACAGATGCAACACAAGGACGACACTAAGAGATTAGCACAAACAAGCGATTTTTGGGCTGACAAAAGGGCAACACGTGGCATTGCAGTCATGCCAACACGAGATTTCCTGGTATGTGCCATCTTTGTGGCACGGGGAGAGTTGACAGACAGCAGCTGTCGTAGAAGTGTGATTTCGGAATGCCGCTGCTCTGCCCAGAGGTTTTCGCCAACCATACACAACTGTGCGAATGGAATCTCTTTGTGCTCACTCGTTGACAGCGGTGATATCTTATTTTACACTCACCGTCTTAGCGTCACTAGAGGTTTTTAAGGCGCTGAACTAACAGGGATCATAGATGGCAGCCTCGATGTTGTAAAAAGAATGACAATGACCACCTGACCAAGCACACCCGGAACTGAAAGCTGGGAACGGCTCAACCGCTCTCGTTGGTCTATCAGGGGTGAGACAGGTCAAACAAGTTTTGCAGCAATTTTTGGAGCACAAAAATCTGGATTTTGAAGCAGCCCAGGAGCACAAAATTCTCGTTTTGGAGCAGCAATTTATGCATTTTGGAGCAACTTCCAAGCACAAAAGTCCACAGTTTGGAGCAGATTAGGAGCAAAAAATGTTAGAGCAGCTTATCAGCAATTTAAATCATAAAAATCTGATATAAATCACACAAGTCAGATTTTTATTTTTTAATAATTATTTTTGTCCGCCCTTGTTCTAATAAGTCATCAGTGCCGATATGCACCGAAATAAAATATGAAAGAAAAACAACAACTGAGAAGGCAAACGCGAGTTTTAAGCGCATAGATGAGGACAAGAAACACAGGCTTGCTGCAAAGTTAGGTGGGCACCAGGTACCTCAAGCTTATACAAACTGGTGCCAAAGCGCAATTGTAGTGTAAAACTTTTTAAACCGGTGATTCGAGAGCATGAACAGAGCATGAACCAGACATCGATCGGACGCTCGTAGAAAGCACGTGCAGATAGAAAAAAACTCCCCACCAAAGCGAGTCACAAGGTAAATAACGAAGTGGTAGAAAAACTATGAGCACCACATGCACGCTAAATACGGGTGTGTGACCGATTCACTCGATTGCTCACGCACTGGAAGCACGTGTGTGATAACCGAAAGTACTCACGGCGACGGCACCGTGCATTTTGACGAGATTACGGACACGAATGAGCAATTATACAATGGAGGCGCTCAATAGCACTTTTAAGAAAAGGCTTACTCTCAAAATGAAAGAAGTACTTAGGTTTGCTCATCTTGATAGCCTGTGCGTCATACCTCCCGTGGAAAGACAGCGAGACCGTGTGACAGCGCACCTTTAGCATGCAGTCACAAATGACAGCGGAAAGTAGTACGAAAATCGGGAAAGGACCACGTATCATAAGTATAGAAGGGTACTACAGCTGAAATCTTCAAATCTGGCGGTTGCTTGCACCACCCTGAACCCGTGCCGTGTACATTACTATGACGAGATTGAACGTTGCCAACCAAGTTCTTGTTTTCCGCTAAATCTAGTGTCGCCACAAACTTTATTTTTAGTTTTTGAGTTACTTTGGCGCAGTGGCGCAATTTTGACTAATTTCGCGTTTTTGGCCCAACTAGGCGCAGAAAATTGGGTTTGCATCAAAATGGCGCAATTGGTCAGATGTCACACCCTGGTCTATTCGCGACAATGCGTGGTCAATTCGCGACAACGCGGCGCAACGTGCGATGATTTCACCGTTCCGGCCGTCAATCACTCGTGCCAATTTCTTCGAGTGGTGACTTTACCAGATGGGCCACAGCGTTATGGCACCACAAAGGTACCGAGCAAAGCCTCCATCCCAATCCACCGTCAAAGCCGCAGTTTTTGTACGGGTCAGTGTGGTGACTAAGCAATTTCCACTAGCCTAGTTGCCACCCTGGTCGTTCATACCTCTGGTCGGCGTGATCCACCACGACGGGCGGTTGTCGACTAGACGGCGGTCTGTACACGGATGGAGAACCTTCCTGAATGTTCAGCGTATCTTGGACCGCAACCTGAAAGGGTTTAAGCGGCGCACTAAATCCAGCGAAACGACACCCTGGCAGATCGCCTCGCGCGTCGCGTGCAGGCGGCGTCACCTACCTCCAAATCCCAGTTGTGTCGGTTCAATATTTCGCGACACCTATCCAGGTCCTCTATCCGCGTCAAGTCCTGCAACGAAACGGGGTGAGTCACGGTTTGAAATATCGAAAGGGTCAGTTCAACGAGCTTACGGATAAGGGAGCACAATTTCAAAAGACCGAAAGTTCGTGGCTGAAGTAGATCCGGCTGCTATCTTGTTTACAGTAGGCCCCATGCGCTAGCGTCACTTAAAAGTGTGCCACGAGTCGAAAAGCGTGGGTGGGACTCTAAGCTGTCTTTATTTCAGCTCAGACGCTGACATGTGTGCTCGTGAACCAAAAGACCGTTTTCAAATCGGAACGTTTGTCCGCATAAATGCGTATACTTTGAGGAGGGCGGACGGAAGCAACAGTGCCCGTTTCGCACGAAAGGCAACTTATTTCGGCAAAACAATTTGAGACTTCGATACGTCGTGATCTGCGCGTTAACTTTGTGACCTGTCAAAGAGAAAACGGTACTAATTTACCTGAAACTGAAGTAGTTTTTCTGTCTGAGAGGCTGACAAGTCATTGCTTTCCGCCATTTTGTGCTTCTGAATCCGACTGGTGCGAAACCTAGCGGTTGCGAGCAGGAGCTGGCAGGAGCAGTGGCGAATATTTGATTACACCAACGAAAATAATTGACTCTAGCTCTTTTATACTGTGTTTGAGAAACGTGCAGTGTTATTAGTGACTCTACGGATGAATATAAATAATATATATTTAAATCTTTGTATAAAGTGATGAAAGCCCAAATGCGCGAGCGGAAGGCGCGCACACACTGTGCGTAAGCCTAGAGCTCCTACGGAGTAGAGCACTATATAGCTCCTTCGGAGCAGAGTAGCGCAATCTAGAACGCCGTCTCTCGGCGACTGGCGGCGAACGCCCGGAGGTTCCAACTGTGGTCAGAAATGCATGGAGAACGTGAGAAAATCGTCGTTTCTTCAGTTTTGTGGGGATGTGCGGAATGGAAATAATTTTTGACATAATAATGAAACATTTTAGAATAATATGCGATAACTTTTGTGCCATACAAGGACGTAACTTTTTTAAAAAAATTGCCTGAGCGGCATCATGCAGCAGACGACACGGCGACGTCATACCATTCACGTGACCCGCTCCGGCCAACCCGAAACGCCCATCTCCGCTGCGAGCAACAATCGTCTGCTTCAAACGCCATTGCCTTGGAAATTGCGTTCTCAAAATTTGCACACGCATCCGATATTATTAAAACTTTGATAAAGTGTTTAGCGCTTTACTAACTTCACGACAGGCTAGTTTTGAAAAATGTGGACTCGCCGTTAGTTTTTTAATCAGCCGTGTTATGTCGATCTCCATGTATTCTCCCATAGGGCGGGCCGCCTCCTGGAACCCTGAGTACCACGTGACTCGCGCCGAGCCGCTCTGTCGGCCATGTTGTCGGCAAAACACGGGGTTCAAAGGATTGCGCTACTCTGCTCCGTAGGAGCTATATAGTGCTCTACTACGGAGCAGAGTAGCGCAATCCTTTGAACTCCGTGTTTTGCCGACAACATGGCCGACAGAGCGGATCGGCGCGAGTCACGTGGTACTAAGGGTTCCAGGAGGCGGCCAGCCCTATGGGAGAATACATGGAGATCGACTCAACATGGCTGATTAAAAAATGAACGCCGAGTTCACACTTTTCAAAACTAGTCTGTCGTGAATTTAGTAAAGCACTAAACATTTTATCAAAGTTTTAATAATATCGGATGCGTGTGCAAATTTTGAGAAGGCTATTTTCAAGTCAATGGCGTTTGAAGCAGACGATTTTTGCTCGCAGCGGAGATGGGCTTTTCGGGTTGGCCGGAGCGGGTCACGTGAATGGTGTGACGTCGCTGTGTCGTCTGCTGCATGATGCCGCTCGGGGAATTTTTAAAAAAAAGTCACGTCCTTGCGGGGCACAAAACTTAGCGAAAATTATTCCAAAATGTTCCATTATTATGTCAAAAACGATTGCCATTCCGTACATCCCCACAATACTGAAGAAACAACGATTTTCTCACGTTCTCCATGCATTTCTGACCGCAGTTGGAACCTCCGGGCGTTCGCCACTACTCGCCGAGAGGCGGCGTTCTAGATTGCGCTACTCTGCTCCGAAGGAGCTATATAGTGCTCTACGTAAGCCTGCCAACAACCGTGATCCATCGAATCTCCAAACAAAAAATGGCGATGTCGAAGCGGCGAAAGCAGCTCTCCAACGAGGAAGAAAGCGAAGGATCCGACCACTCAAACAACAACAGTGACTCGGAGGAAGATGAATTCATTGACACCGAAGTGAACGTCGACTTCGAGGCTCGCACTCCGGACGACTCGGACTTCCACGGCATCAAGCGCCTCATGCAGCAGTTGTTCCTCAAGGCACGTGTCAACCTCACCGATCTCACCAACCTCATCTTGGAGCAAAACTTCGTGTCGAGCGTCATCAAACAATGCGACGACGAGATGGAGGACGAAGAAGAAAGCATGGAAGACACAGAGGACGGCGTCTTCGGCGTCATGAGCGTCGTGAACGTCACCGAGATGAAGCAGCGCGAATGCGTCGGACAGATCGTTTCCATGCTGCGCGACCACTGCCGCACTTCGGCCAGCGGGCTGCTGTCCAAGTTTGACGAGTACTTCGCGGCCGATAAGTGCCAGCTCGGCCTGATCTTGAGTGAGCGCTTTGTAAATATCCCGCCGCGGATCGCGGTCCCGCTGTACGACTCGCTAACGCGCGACGTCGAGTCCGCAAAGGGCGCCGGCAAAAAGTTCGACTTCTCGCACCTCTTGCTCATCTGTAAACAGTATCGGCCCTCGGGGAACGAGCAAGGCGCGATCTTCGCCAACGCCGAAGAAGAGCTGTTCGAGGAAGAGGCCGAGTTGCAGTTCGAGTACAGCGTGACGACAGAGACGGACACTGCGGTCGCGGGCGACTGGAAAGAGGACGACGCCGAAATGACGCAGATTCGCAAGATCCTGGTCATTCCCACCAGCAAGTGGGGCCGGATAATGGACAAGCTGAAGTCCGCGCTTCAATAAATTACTACTTACGGGTTACGAGCGCCTTTCTTCCTTGGCCGCCGACGACGGTAAGGGGAACCCCGCTTTGGGGTGGCGCGCTTATGTCTGGTCGTGGCTGGGTGGTACGAGATTCGGAACAGGGAACCCGGTCTGTTTAGATTCCCAAGCAAGGTGCAGACAAAATGATATCTTTATTTGCACGTTGCTTGGTCATCTTCGATGGGTTTCTCACAGTGCAACTAGATTTCTTGCTTGAATTTCTTGCTTGATAGGCAATATTTTGGGGCATTGACATGGCCACTCCTCGATATGATGAGGGTGGGGGACTGTATTTTGTGGTAGTGGTACTAAAAAGAGTGCACCAGACAGTGACTCTAGTAGGCAACGACAGACTGGTGCAGAGGTTTGCTGAAAGCATTGCATGGCTCGCATCGACGTCGCGTCGGCAGCCATAGTGGTGGCCCTGCGGCTGGGCGCGCACTTTCCATGGCACGCATTTGTTTTGCACCACCGAATAGTTTTATTTTGTCATAAGCTCGTAATGAGCCCACAATGTCGCGTGCGATCCATCTACGGTGCGTATTCAGAGGCACTGCTATTGTCTTTCCCAGAGCTTTCTTTTTCGTAGTCGCCGACAGATTGAGACCGGCAGAGATGTCCTTCGGTCGTCCCACCTCCAGCGCGAGCTTCCTGCCTTTGATAATGCATCGGCATTTTGCAAGGCCCAGGCGCGCAAGCACGGGCTAAGCACGGTGGAAGTCAACAGGTGTGTCCTGGAGGCCGTGCGTTTGAAAAACACCCTGCCATTCTCATTCTGTAGGTGATTATAGTTTGTTACAAGTTGCAGATCGTGGGACAAGCAGGTGCACAGCAACTTCCGGTGGTTCATGTGCCCTTAGTTGTTCAGTCGAGCGTAAATCGGACGTTTTCATTTCGTAAGTTTATTGGCGAGTCTACTATTTACAGTGTGGACAGTACAGACGGTCATACACGCAATCGTTTCTGAGTGGGAACGGCTCGGCGAAATGGCACTTGGTGACATTAGGGTGCACACGCACTGGCTACGCACGCCACAAGAAGTTGGGGGACACAGGTTAAGGAGTCCTTCAAACAGTGTCAATGATGAGCCATGTGGTTGATCGAACACAAACAAACAAACCTGGAAGCATTGGGGCAGGAGCACCGAATGTTTGAGACCTTGTATGAACAAGATAGTAAGTTAAACAAACAATTCACATTTATTAGTTAAGTTGCTTCTTGTCGTTGCTCCCTGTTTGTTGGTGCAGCTTCTACCCGTAACTGATAAAGGAGAAGTTTTGGAATGCGTTAGACAGCATATTTTCAAAAAACCTCGAGAACACTAAGCGAGCTCAAGCGACTGCTGTGCCTCGCATGGAAAGCGGGGAAATCAAAACGTGCTCGGGCATTCCTAAACTGTTGGTGGTACTGGATTAAAACCACTCAAATAAATAAAGTAGTTCAGATGCCGCGCTTTATTGCTGATATTCAACGCTGCGTGGGAAACGTGCAACACGACCACAACATCCTACACTGTACAAAAAGACCTATGTGCACCCTGATGATGAACCTTTCGAGAAAAAAAAAAACATGGCTATTCTTCGCTTTCAATTTGACTTCCTTGTACATATAACTGACCGCTACAGACGACGGCGCACAAGATTCAACTGCAACATGGAAGACGTACGCTGGTCAAAACACGGAAGCCAACCCAAACGCACTTCGGCAGCACTAACGAAGTGACATGCTGTTAAAGTGTAAATCGTGTCAGTTTGAATAATATGCAATGCATACTGTCCGATAATGACAATGAAATGTGCTCATTACACTATCAAGCTATGTAAGCTCGAGGCGAAGACGGCACAGAGCCTTTCACGATTGTTTTGCTCGTTGATCATTCTAGGATGGGTGATGCCACATTGCTGCATGATCGCACATCCTGATGGCAATGATAGTCTGCACACCGCAGTACAGCAGTGAGAGCCAGCAAAACTGGATTGCAGCTGATTGTTCCTACTGCTTTCCCATATTCCTTCTTATATGCCTACATTATTGCGTGACACCAAACCCTTTGAACAACTCTTTGGGAATAAGCTTTGAACTCTGCGATAGTGATTCACACCGACTGGAGAGATGTGCCTTTCCCAAACATCTCTGTTGAGTGGCGAGTCTGGGACACGTATAGATGGATAGAGATCACGTGCAGCTCGGGTGAACGTGAGGAAGAAAAAACAGATATCTGCACTCGAGGCTGTTCGACGCCCACCAAAGCTAAGCGATTGTCACACTTGTCAGTAGACAGCTTCCCCTCAAAGTTCCTTCTTGTTTGTTTTAGACATTAGTACTGCTCGTTGATTGTGCAGATGTTGAAAGAACAATAGATGCAGCAGTTGTAACAAAAATCAGGGTTTCCAGGATGATTGGCATCTCTGAAAAAGGCGAAACAGACATGGCAAGACGGGACAGCAGTTGAAAATATTCTAACATGAATCGAGATGCAACCTAATCAGCTGAGGCAGTGAGGACATTAACTAACCAGACCAGTAAAGTGTCCCACAATTGTATTTTGTCCACAAAGGGGTCTAAGACGAAAAGGAGGTAAAACCACTGGATAATGGGTAAAACATTGAGTTGAAAACATACTAGTCACAAGCAAGATGATAAAGATGACATACAAGATAATGACTAGGGGGCACATTATACAAATGTGGATGTTGGATGAAGACAGAAAGCATCGGAGGTAGTACAGATACAAGTCAGCTAATTCTTCTAAACAATATTGTTCAGAAAACTAAGACCTTTTTTACAAGATCTATCAGAAATGTCTGCGTTAAAAGAAAAAGTAAACAGCTTGCAACGCCGTGTGTGACTGTCGAACTTGGCCGTTTCTGGGAAGAGTGAGACAACTGAACATTTGCCATTTCTTAGCAGAAGAAATCCCACAGAAATCATAAAACCTATGTTTTCATTCCAGCATAAATATGACCAGCAAGAGCTCAGCCCCAAGGTTCCAGCTAAGAGTTGCACTTTGCCACAACTACTACTTGATGCCGCAAGCAGTCCGAACCAAAATGTCTACAAAAATGACGTAAGAGATGCCTACTTTTAAGTATGAAACACAGGATTGGAACTTGAGAAAGTTTCGCTAGTCCGCGACGCTCATGGTCGCTTGTTTCAAAGGGCAGACAGCTAGTTGACACTGCACACCTCAAACCATTAGCTACACGCTAGCATCACTTTCTTGTAACTAAGACCAACAGATCCCTGCGTGGCTTCGTGAAACGGGAACAGTAAGTGACATTGTAGACGAGCCTAGACAACGCACTGGTGTGACCTAATTGTAAAAGCTTTTCTTACAGTACTCGCGGGGTGCTGAAAAAATGACCGATACAACGCAGAGGCATGGAGTGGTGCTACTACCGTTGTTCCGTTCTCCCGAGAACGGGCTCGATCCGACCGGCCGTAGCAGCAGTTGAGCCGGTGCAATCAATCTCGTTCCCGATGAGATGAAGCGGCAATTCTGCTCAAAAGATTGCGCCATTCTAACTTCCGTCACGTTGCGTCGGTTATTTTTTATGCCCGACCGTACCAACGTCGTCGTCGTCCCATTTCTAACCGTGTCGTGGATGCCCCGACTAGGCTGGGTGGAATGCATCTCTGACGGGTCGTGCTGTTAGATGCGTGATCCCGACAGTCAGTCGCGGAAGTTTGAGTAAAAAGTGCGAGCGAATACCGGCATCGCCATCGCAACTTCAAACTCCTGGCTGCCGAAGATTCCATGGACAGTCAGGCCGGAGAGCGACTTGCGGCAGAACGGGCATCTGCTGCACCCACCTCCGCTGCCGTTCCGCTGCCTGGATCGTGGCAGGCGACAGTGCGACACCTCTACGACGCCACCGGGCAGAAATATGAGGGACCTCATTCGAGGAAGCGCAAGACACGCTGGTTCGAGATGCGCTCAGGGCACCGTACCCTAACCACTGTCCGTCGTAACAACTCTACGTGCCGCGTTTCCTCCCCCCCTAAACAACGTCCCTGAAGTAGTGTGCGCACCGAGAACTGCCCTCTCAGATGAACTTGAAGCACTTCTGCTTGTCGTGCGGAAGCCGCGTCTTGAACAGCACGGAGTCCAGCCGGAACTGTGTGTACAGCAGGGGCATGTAGCCGTACACGCGCACAAAGAAGTTCATGCACGTGTGGCGCTCCTGGAAGTGGGAGTCGTCTTCGGACAGGGACACCGCGCAGCCGGGGCACCTGAAGGTCCACCGGGAGGTGACCTGCACGCGAACATGGTTGCCGTAAGCACGGCCCTTAGGTTACCTGGTCTGGAATCTTTTCATCACGCTATGGGAAAGTCTCGCCTAGGGACAAACCGAGGCACCAGAGGTGCACTGCCGAAAATAGAAGTCAGCTAATTGGATCGCTAAGAGAACCTAACACGTGGATGTGGGTTCGGAGAAGCCACCGTGGAGAAAGTCGCTGGATGCATATACTCTTTCATAAAATGCTACGGGCCCATTGAAAAAATGGGTGATTGGAAACGCCATCTATGCGAAGCGCAAGTTCATATGTCTTTTTTGCAGGGGTTGTGGTGACGTCAAAATGCCGAGCTCTAATTGGCTCTGACTGAAGGATAGTGGGTAGACCTCAAAGCAAGCTGCCTTGAGGCAGCCTTGCTTTGAAGTCCTTCCTATCCTTCAATTGAAGCCAATCAGAGCTCAGGGTTTTGACGTCATCACAACCCCTGCAAAAGAAGCAGACAAATTTGTGCTCTGCATACTCGAGACACCTAGAGGTCCTATTACAGTCAAACCCACTTATAACGATCCCACATATAACAACCTATTGGTTATAACGACCAGGTTTCAGGAAATGTATGAATTCAAGGACTTACCCATTGAAATTAGTCCAAATAAAACAACCGCTTTTCAAAGCATCATACTGTTACAATGAACACTTAAAGTCTGCTTTCGTAAGAAAGAAAAAAAAAAACTTCTGCGAGTGGAAAGAAAAAACAAAAAGATCAAGAGAGCTACATTTTGGGCGTGACGCTCAAGGTAATTTCCACGGCCGTCCGGCGTACTTCCTTGGGGAGGAAACAAAACTACAAAAGCAAAAACGCCCTCCCGAGTCGTGTAGTCTGCCGATTCACTACACTGTTTGCATGATTCTAACGCACACTTTTTTTTCGCCAAAATGGGTGCCCAAAAATACATGCACGTTACAATCGAAACCCAAAACCGAAACTCAAGAAAAACTCAATGCTCGGTATAAGCTGGCTAGCGCCATTGCCATCGTGACCGTTTGTTTACGTTGGTGACTCTCTCGCCGGGGGGGGAAGAGGCGACTCCCTCGCTGGGGGAAGAGGCAGGGGGATGATGTTTTTAGTTTTTTTTGCCTGATCCTCGAAGGTCATCCTGGTGATATCTTAGTTAGGGGGAGAAAATTGGTCTTAAAAGGGTGGGAGAAATCACGTTTTGTCTTTTTAGACTTGGGCTAGGTGACGCAAGCTACCGCCCATTACAAAGGGTTTAGCCATTAATATCCATCCATTGCCATTTTGGTATCCATATCATGCATGTTCCACTGATCTCTGTTGTAGTAGGCTAAATCGCGGACCGCGGCCTCGGTAGCTGGGGCCGAGTGTCGCCACCGGTGGCCACTGATTGACACCACCAAATGCATGGGACTCTACGGGGAAGACAAGAAAAAGTACCGTTTCCCCCTTTTCTAAGCTGTTGTCGGCACTGAAACTTCTTGGCTGTTTTTCGATAAGCCCGTCAAATAGCTTGCGTACAGATATTAAAACTAACAACCCTCGCAGTTCTTATAAATAAATATTTTGTGCTTGAGAGTGACTCCGCTGGGCGAAAAATGAAGTGCAGCTCATTGAGGCGAGAGTTACCTAGAGTTACCGCGGAGTCGGTGGTAGTTTTTTTGAGTTGGGTTTAGCAGACGACAAGCTCGAAGGCTTTGCTAGACAGAATTCGCTCACTCCCGGAAAGCCGCTGTCGGGATGGAACTTCCTTGTCATTCACCAACTTCTGGGCTTACCTGAGGACGGTCTCATTGACGGCAAGTTCCTTAGTTTACTCCACTACGCCAGCAAGTTTGCCAGCTCAGCCGTAGGTGCTCCGGTACATTTGATTCTTTTAATCGGCGTTCGAATGTTTGGCAAATACCGATTCAATCTCCAAACACCCGACATAAGGATCGCAGCACACTGTAAAATACCCGCCTCCAAACACAGCGTACATGCTTAATATTCTTACTTTTGTGCGTTTCTCCCATAGACTTGCGTGTATGGCCTGGCGTCAAGCTTCTTTAAATAAAGAGCTGGTTAAATGAAACTACCAATACCAGCTTCATTTATAACATGTTTTAAAGCTAAGTCCAGATATAACGAACCACTGATTAAACAACCATTTTTCGCGGAACTATCACGTTCGTTATAAGTGGGTTTGACTGTATTTTGAAATCATTGAGATGCCACGTAAAGGGTGCCCCATCTGCTTTAAAACCTTCAGAGACTAGAAAGGGATCCTCGCTATCAGCCGAGAGGGATGGGTGTTCTTCGAGATAGGAAAGTTAGAGAATCTCTGCTCTGGAGTAACAATCAGGCTAGCGAACCATGCAAGCTCAACTGGGTTCCCTAACAAGCATTATGCTCTAGTGACCGTACAAATGTACACCCGCGAATGCCAGCCCATTTCACACACCCCGGTTTTTTATCTGATCGGGCAGAGAAGTGAATGATGTGTAGCTTTGCGTGGAAATCGGACACCTTAAGTTACACACATCTAATATTAAAATAAAGAAAGGTGCAACCCTCACCTTGAGGGGTGGCTTGCGAGTGATGTGGGAGACTAGAAAGTTCATGGCAATATCCTCGCAATTCATGTATTCGTCCACTTTGTCCCGAATGGCTTGGGGCATCACATAGGTGTACAGGTATGAGTAGTACTGAAACGGCAAAGGACAGGCAACCGTTCAATCCAGTGAGCGGACAGATACGAGACTGCGACGAGCCAATTCTGTTGAAGGGTTGGTGCGTAGTAACTAATAAGCGAGGTTTGGAGGCAGAGGCAAGGAATGTGCACATAACTGTTTTGCCTGCTGTATGTTAGGCAGAGTATCGGCGAGAATGTAAGGCAACAGGTTGAGAGCTTTTGTAGATCTTAAACCCATGATGTCATTATTGTGTTGAAGCAAATGCCAAGTCCACCATGGATTAAGGGAGAAAGAGTTGTCAGACCAGCGATTGAACGAGGGATGTGGGTGATGAACAGTGTGCTAACTGCACTGCAGGCAATGTAAAAAAAAATAATCAAAATTAACAAAAAAAAACTCAGGTAAATCAGATTTATTTGTTTTAAATCAGATTAATTTGATTTAAGCCACTTTAGCTTTGAAATAATGATTTCTTGCCACTAGATGCATTTTAAAACATGATATATTGAATGAGACTGATTGATCAAATCGTACAATCACTGATAACAATGAAAAAGAAAGAATTACTGTAAATTTAAAGTATATCTTATAATTAACAACCTTTTATTGATATAGTACGTATTGTATTAGAACAAAAAATGGCTTTATGTTTTTAGTTAGTTAAAAGCTTTTTTGCATTTTGATTTTCTTGCATTAGGAAATTACGCAAGTTTAACAAAATGGAAGGCAGAAATCAAGCTCAACATTCCCATTTGCTTGCAAGGGTTCTTCCTTTTGATTGTGCTCAGCCTTATACAAATTTTTCTTGCTTGATGATTTTTGTTTTCTTTAAATACAAAACAAGTGCACATCGAAAGCATAAAATGATAGTCAAACGGTAAGAAAAGAAAGTATTTTAGGGATTATTTTTGTGGAAAAACTTTGATATAAATCATCATAGTAAAACTGGTCTTATTTAGATCACGATCTTAAATTATACTAACTTTTATTATCCAGCCTGGCAGTAAGACATAGAGCACTGGTGCACTGCTGTGTGATCACAAAACTCAAGTAGTCAAATGTGTGATTGTTTCCGAAAGGAGCAGACTAGAAAGAAAGATTTGCTTTTTTTTGGAAACCTCTCTGCACTTATTAGATGGTCCTAGATTTATGTGAACAAGGTAGCAATGTTTATTTATTTAACAAATCGGTGGCCAAGGTTGTTTACTTGTACAGACTGATTTGTGGACTGTACAAGTAAACAATGCAATTATGCAAAACAAATAAACAAGACATTATGCAGAACTCGCAGTAATTTAAACATTCTAACCATAGAAGCCTCTAGTGCGTGACATGAGCAAAGAATGCTGTTAGCTTGCAGGCAGCAAAAAATGTCAATATACTGCATGAAGTACAGCCAACGAATTCCAAGTCGGATTTGCTTAGGCAAATCCGACCCGTGTCATTTTTCCAGTTGTGTGCCCAGGCTTTAGGGACAGCGTTTTCCTTGCTTTTCTCGTTTGGTTACTTAGTTACACCTCCTTTCACAACATGAATTTCCCGTTGCTTAGACGGTCCCTTTGGCCCACCTTGTGGAAGAAGGCTGCTCCTGTGAGCACCATGGACAGCTCGCAGGAATAGTTGGAGTTGTACAGCCAGGAGTGATGGTTCAGGTCCCAGGAGTGGAAGCGCCCAGGGAAGCCCACTATCCGGTCTCGCGCTTCCCTCCAGACCCTGCACAGATGTTGCAGCAACACATGGCCATGCGGCAAGTGATCGGGTCAAGCGCGGACCAAAATGAAAGAACACGCTCAAAAAACTGATTCACCACATAGTACATTAATTAATTCCTTAACCCTCAAAATCTCCAACAGAGGCCAATAAAGGAGGACATTATAGGGGGAAAAAATACATGTGAAACATTGGCATACACGCATAAATCAAACATAAAAAAAAATTGAGAAAGAAAAAGGCATTTTTACAAATCAAACGCAACCAGGGTTGTAAAAGTTACTTCAAAAATGTACCTAAAATACAGTTACTCATACGAAAAGGTACCTAGATACATACATAGGTACTCGCTTAAAAATGTACCTAGGTACAGGTACAGTTACTTCAAAGATGCTTTATTTATTTTCCCCAAATTTGTCAGACTATATGGGAAGTAAAGCTTTTTATACTAAGGATAAACACCAAAAATTGTAGAGTCCTTCCACTTCATGTGAAAATGGAGGACCAGCGAAGCTGTTATTTTTAGTGTCTAGGACAATGCCTAGAGGACGACGTCTAGGACAGCCTTGAGGACAACTTTTAGGACAACCTTGAGGACAATGTTTAGGACGACCTCTAGGACGACACCTGGAGGACGTCCTCAAGAACAACTTCTAGGACAACCTCGAGGACGACGCCTAGGGCAACCTCTCGGACGACCTCTCTGACGATTTCTAGGATGACCTCGAGGACGACTTCTAGGACATTGCCTAGGGGATGAGCTCTCAGATAACCTCAAGGACGGTTTCTAGGACAACTTTTAGGACGACCTCAAGGACGACTTCTAGGACGTTGCCTAGGACGACTTCTAGGACAACCTCGAGGATGATGTCTAGAGATGATAACAAGGGACCAGGACCTCACTATCTAACAATGCCAAGGAAGACTGACTCACATTGGTTGCCCCCTCTTTTTATTTTTATTTATTCATACTTGCCGCGACCAATGGGGAGTTTTACGTCAACATCTGCGGACACATTCTTTCCCAGATACTAGCGCATAACAGCTTTGCTGTAAAACGAGTTTAATAAATGTACTTTATTGGTGTCAATGCGATGTCCACATCAGAGATAAGTCCTCACGTGCCTTATCCCCACGCTCCAAATGGTTCATCGAGGCCACAGCTTCCGCTGTTTACCATGTCACGCCGAAACTCGCTTGTTGACATTCTTGCCCTCAGAGCCAGTGCTGACATAGAAGGGCCCAGAAGACATCGGTCGCATGAAGAAACTCATGAGTCGAGTGCACATGCACCTAACCCTCGCGACGACAAGCGAAAGGCTTCAAGCTTCCTCATTTTTTTTTCTTTCCTTTCGTTAGTCGGAAGAAAAATAAGCTTTTTTTCCTTTCTGAACTTTTTCAGTTTTGATAACTGCAAAATTTATTGAGTGGGAACTGTATTATGTACAAAAAGTTACGTAGCATTATGTCTGTAATCAGGGATGGGCAGTATTTCAAATACAAGTATTTGAAATACGTAATTCAAATACAAGTATTTGAAATACGTAATTCAAATACTTTGTGTATTTTGTATTTGTATTTAATTGCAAATTGGGTAATGTATTTGACTTGTGTATTTAAATACTAAAATGTGGGTATTTCAAATACAATTGTAATTAAATACAATTTTGTGGGTGAAAATACAACTCTCAAATTTATTGTCACTGTCCAGAGCAGGAAGAAAACTATGTTCTGCACCGAATGCAGTGTCCCTCAATCAAGTACAACCGTTTAGTGACTTTGTGATTACGGTGCTATACTCTGTTTCACCTTGTGTTGTACCGCAGGAAAGGCTACACGCGCGAGCTCCTTGCTCTAGGGCACATCTCAGCAGCACAAGCTCTCGTGCTCCAAGGGCAGCTGCCAACGCTATGAGCTCGCACTTCTAGCCTTTGCTGCGGTACAACATAAGGTGAAACGGAGTATAGTCCAGGGCAAGAATAGTGACGAAATCGACGTTCATAGGCAGACTGGCTAAATAAGTGCCTGTGACAACTTGTGATGCTTTCCAGCCTGATTTCCATAAATATTTTTGCCTGGAACATTCTAAATGCGCAGGTCGTCCAGATTTTCGTAGCTGGTGCGAGTTGCAACAATAAACAATTCTCTAGCTAGTGCTGCGCGTCTTGCTCGTTTCGGTTCTTTGTTAGTGTATACCAAAAGGTAATCGACAAAAAAAGCTGCTTGAAGCTCTGTACTTTTTTCACCTATTACGTCCACGCTGATTACATTTTTTTGTGATTATATTTCTATTACGCTACTATCGCACACTAACTCCCGAGTTAAACGTAAACCTTTCGGTGGACATCCACCTGTTTAGGAATGACAATGAATGAAAGGAAAACTCTAACCAAAAATTGATACGGAGCCCGACGTTTCAAGGCCAGTTCGGCCCCTTCATCACGGGTGACTGTTTTTGTCCTTGTCGTCGTCTTGCAAATTGCCCAGTGTTGTTGGCTTCTTTAAAACGGCCGTTGTATCTGCACGCGCTTTATGGTTCGTAGCGCCTCACGTGACGCACCGCAAACCGGACACGTAGGCGCTTGGCAGTGTCCCAGCTGACCGGTTGACGTTATTTTTGGTGTTCTGGATGTACCAGGACTCTAATAAAAGGCGTCTTCGCCAGTTTCTTTCCGTGCCAAGAATAGAGCAATTATTGAATCCAATCGCGTGACCCTCTTTTTGGACGTATTCTGCCAGAGGACTGCCCTGCACGTTATCAAACACGACCAAAAACGGAATGGCGATCCTCCCAGGTTTTTGAACAACGTGTACAAAAAACTTAGATGGAATGAAACAGAAGACACCCCTCCTCCCCCCAACCGCGTATGCGTCCCGTGCATCAAGGGCACAAGCGAGACTCTCGCGCGCGTTTTACGAAAATACGGCGTCAGTGTGACACATAAACCGGTGTCCACCATTGGACGCCTCTTCTCGCTTCCAAAGGATCGTCCCCCTAAAAAAGAAGGCTCAGGGACTCGTCTACAGGATCCCCTGTGGTGACTGCGCCGCCTCCTACGTTGGGAAAACTAAAAACTTCCCGGAACGTCTACGCCAGAATCAGTATGACGTTAAAAAGAATAACGTCCAGGGCAGTGCGCTGGCAGAACACGTCCAAAAAGACGGTAACACGATTGGATTCAATAATTGCTCTATTCTTGGCTCGGAAAGAAACTGGCGAAGACGCCTTTTATTAGAGTCCTGGTACATCCAGAACACCAAAAATAATGTCAACCGGTCACTTGGGACACTGCCAAGCACCTACGTGTCCGGTTTGCAGTGCGTCACGCGAGGCGCTACGAACCATAAAGCGCGTGCAGATAGAATGGCCATTTTAAAGAAGCCAACAACACCGGGCAATTTGCAAGACGACGACAAGGACAAAAACAGTCACCCGTGATCAAGGGGCCGAACTGGCCTTGAAACGTCAGGCTCCGTATCAATTTCTGGTTAGAGTTTTCCTTTCATTCCTTAACTCAAAATTAAAAAGAGATACCCAGAAACCCATGTCAGGGGCCCTGAAGTTGCTGACGCAAATTTTGAGGAATGTATTTGGAAAAGTATTTGGAGGAGACCAAATACATTTGGTTGTATTTGTATCTTGTACTTAAATGCTTTTTTTGGAAATGTAATTAGATTTGTAATTAAATACATTTTGATGAAGTATTTTGTATTTGTATTTCAATACATATTTGCATGTATTTTGCCCATTCCTGACTGTAATTATAGTTTATTATCAATTATATTTTATATTGAATTTATTGCAGAAAAGAGCCCCCACCGGGACAAGATACAGGCAACAGAAACTGTGCACATCTTTCAAGTTATCTCCTCCCTTCAAACATGCAATGAAGTCGCTTTCGGTTTGAGACGAAGGAAGCAGGTTGCTATATTCCCTAAACGGAGCTCCGAAGCAATGCAATAAATTGGTGTCACTAGAAAGGCATCGCTGATCCATTGTTTCTCTCAAATAAACACCACCATTCGCTAAAGTGTCGTTCAATGAAACATCATGGACAAGGCTTCGTTCACTAAAACGTTGTTCGATCAAGTCAGCGCCTCCAAGATCATACCCAACTCAACGGTAATCATGGCACATGGTAGTGCGTTAATACTTCAAGATTTATAGTTTCTGCCAATCTGACAAAGTGAGTAGAAAAGTACCTGTAAAACATAACTTCACTTAGTTACAAGTTACTGGCATATGTACCTAAGATACAGATACCGAGAAATGAAAGTGCCTAGGTTTGTACCTCAGGTACAATAAAAGTACCTAGATACCAATTTGCAGTTACTTGTACCTAGGTACTTTACAATCCTCAACACAACTATACTCAGTGCCACCTCATGAAAAAAAAAAATCAAGTTCTGCACATACCGTAAAATACCGAGCCCATTCCATATAAAATGCCCACCCCCAAATTCTGCAACATCGGAAAGAATATGCACAGTACATATATAGGTAAAATTGATGACCTAACAAGCACCCATTCCCATATTTTTACAATTATCTCTATATTTTGAGTGGGCGCTTGCTCGGTATTTTACGATAGTTCATATGCTGCAGAAAGTAGTTCTTACAAGCTTCACTGACTGTGTGCTCGAATGTACTAATAAAGGGAATTCATTGATTCTTTCTCAATACCCAAGCTACCGAAGCACCCTTCCTTAAATCTCAGATTTGAGCAAAACAAACACGACTTGTGAGGATGTCACAGTCGATTAAAGAGCCTAACCACGGTTTCATTTTGTTGACCTTACTGCAAGGCAGTTGTCCCAGGGGCATTGATAAAGTTCTATTTTTTCTTTTTAGAGCGCAGCTCTTAGGCGCCCGTTTCCGGCTTGAGCGGCATCGCCGTCGCCGTAACCAAGGTCACCCCAAGGTCACGTGACCCCTCTCAAGGTCACGTCACCCCCCAAGGTGACCCCCCCCCCCCCCCAAGGTCACGTGGCCCCCTCCCCGAGGTCACGTGACCCCCCTTCCCCCCACCCAAACTCACGTGAACCCCTCCCCCCGAAGCATATTAAAGAATGAGGGGAGGAGGAGGAGGGGTCTACCCTCCCCTCAGTACCCTTCCCTCCTCCTCCTCAAGGGCTGCGCTCCAATTCGGCGTTACAGGGAGTTGTAAACGGCTTTCACTTTTTTGTTTCAAACACTTGATACCGATGGGATTGTTTGCCTTGGCCACTTTATCTTCTTCCTTCAAGCGAGTCACTATGGCGATAAGTCATACCATCGCATTGGACCATCATAGTCACAAGGCTTTGAAACCTTGCTACAAGCTTCATCATAGAGAAACCTGGAGGCCATGTTATGAATGAATGTGAGAGATTCAGTCAACATTGTGACCACAAAACTACAAATAAATTATATGGGCTGCATCGTGCTGACAGAGACCAGGGACCACAGTCCGTGTCAGGTTTGAGCTAGATTTTCCGTTCTTTTAATTATCTTTTTTTTTAATTTATTTATTTTACCTTTCTATTAATTTTTTATTTTAATTTATTATTTTTTGCTTCTTTGTGTTTTAGCTTTAATTTTATTTTATTTGTTTTATTCATTATTTTCATCCAAAACCTGCTGCTTTCACTGGCACGCTTGCATTCAAATAAAAGGATTTAATCTTTCAGACCAGCTGTGCAGCTCAGTGGCTATAGTAATGGACTGCAACCCCACCAACCTGGGTTCGAGCTCCTCAGCGGCTCAAACTTTATACATAATCTTTATAACCTATAGGCCTGTAGCGCTTTCAGCGTGTCACTCATTCGTGTCACTTGTTCATGATGCTCGTTCATGACAATTTCCTCATAATAAAACGACTCATTAAACACATTCGGTGTTAAAAGGGCCCTGGTTGGCCATGCGACTCACCGGAACCCAAAAATGATCTCGTCATGACGCAGGTGTGCGTCGTCGTCCACTGACAGCACAGCTTCTGTCTCGATGAGGGAGAAGGGCAGGAAGCGATTGTTCAGGCTGTTCTTTTTGGCACGCACCACCTGAGGAATGGATGCCTCTTGCTACACTTTGGACTCAATTTTCGAATCAGCAGCATTAACAAAAAAGCAGCAGCATTTTCCACACTGAAGGGTTACTAGCTACACTTCATTCTTTCTCCAGACAGCTCAGTCTCCATCAACGATGTAGTAAGCTTAGAATCTACAGCCTCACACTCTTAAAGCATTTCATATATATACCCACTCAATCTGCAAAGCTTGGAGATTAGCGCCAGCTATCATCAATAACATGCATGTCCACATCTGATCTGGGATGCACGAAATCTTTAATAACTGCCGCCGTCCACTGGTTTCTTTGAGGGAATCCAAAGAAAACCCGGACGTGTGTGGAACTTTACCAACATGGCCCAAGAAATTTTCAGCCAACATAAATACACAACAAATTCAACTACTATCCATAATAGAGAGGGTTTGGCATTTGGACTGTATAAAGGTTGCCCCTTTGTGTTGGTGGTGGCTGATTGGAGGGTTTGGCGTTTGGACTGGTTAGAGGTTACCCCATGTGTTGGTGGTGGCTGATTGTGTGGGCTATATAAGGAGGCAGACTAAATAAACCTGGTGTAGATGAGTTTGAGACGTCGTCATGTCCTTTCCTGTTCCTTCAACTTATGCGTTCATTTCTGCCCCAGTCACAGGTTTATTCTACATGGCTACAATCCACCATTTTCATTTCCTTGTTTCCTTCAACCTATGCGTTCATTTCTGCCCCGGTCTCAGGTTTATTCAACATCGTTACTATCCATCATTTTCATTTCCTTGTTGCGTAATTAATTTTTTTCCTATTTTGGTTTTAATCCATTCTATTCTCAATCAACGGGGACCAGGATTGACTTACTTGAAAACATAAAACTGGTAGGAATAATTTGCAAGGAAGCTTCTTGAAGCTTTAAAGTAAAAAATGACATTTCACCAAGGAACTTGGTGAAAACGATGAAGCAAAGTCGTTTAGCAAAAACTACAAATTGCGCAATTAGAAAATAAATTTTAAAAAAGCTTAAAGGGAAACTGAAGGAGTTTTGTATTTGAGAAAGCAAGACTTGAATCGTCTTCATTAGGCCTCTAGGATCGCGAATATCAAAATTATATACCAGATTGATGTGCCAAGTAGCCGCAAAAGCACTTTCATAATAGCGCTGAAACCCTTCCTTTCCGGCATGTTCGGTAGGAGGAGAGAATTGTGACGTATTCTACCGATATCTCAACATTTCCATACCTTCCGCAAGCCTTACCTAAGCAATCAAAAACGCTGCACGCGTTCCCTCACAAGCAGCAAGTGTAAAGCAGTTGAAACCTCTGGGTGTGACGTCAAACCCAGCAGTTGATTTTTCAGTTTTTCTACTGCTACGTTCGGATCAAATCCTTGCGATATTCAAATTCATGGGATAAAAAAGTCGGAGCTCTAATCCAAGCTGTGGAGTTAATTGACCAGCGAAGCTGTGGTTATCACCTTCAACGATTGCCCACTGCTCTATGGACCCCTTTTATGGCAAACGCAACCAGGTGGTGCTCCAGTTTTGGCGTCCCAGAGAACTTCCAGTTTATAAAAAAAAATAAACAAAGGCCACCTTAACACCGCCGCTTGAAGTGTAGTTAAAAGATTTAACCACCGATTCTCCAGGTGAATGCCAAAAGAACGAAGGGGTGCGAGATCTGTTGAAATGTTTAAAGTATTATTGTAAACCAGCTTGCCTCCTTTAAGATGCAATATTGTACAGCCGAAGGCCCTCATTAAATCTCCAACGTTGTTGTTCGTGTAGCATTTATGCACTCTAGCACTGGTGACATAAGCAAGCTCAACAGGCTCGCAAAGACGGTGCAACCAGAAGTCGCTTGGGACGCAAGCGGCGGTTCATGTTTGTAAACAGCAAAAGGGTCTATACAGAGTGATTGACGAAAGAAAAGTGAATGCACTGCCCCAAACTTTTTATATATGAAAGGCTAGTGACGTCACTCCCTAAATTGCAAGCTGCCATCGCCGCAGCAGCTTGTGCAACAGTAATCTTTACCAGCAAACACATACAGTGAGCCCTACATGCTTCGCATTGTTATCAGAAGTGCCTCATCGTCGATTATGTTGTTTGGATGCTTATTCTTTATTGAAACAAATGCTGTGCTCTATGTCGTATGCGTGATATGCACTTTTCGCTTCAAACACTGAAGGTCTTTTTTCCGTGAGGACACCGATGCAAAGAAATCCGACCAACGAGTCATATACAGCTTCGCTGTAAAATACGCCACCGTACACCTCTAACTTGTTTTCTTCGAGAACCTCTAGAGCTTCCCTTTAAGTAACCTAGCCCTCTCACTTCAGTGGTTATGGCATGTTGCCTAAAAAGATTTTGTTTGAATAAAAGCGGAGATGCTTGCCTCAATTGGGACGCCAATCTCCGGCCAGCGCAGTTCAGGCGACGGGGCCTTCTGGCTGTTCCAGACCACAATCACTTTGTTGAGGTGTGGCAGGCTACGTAGCCTTTGTAGAGAGTCGATCAGGACAGCTTCCCTCTCGTACGTCAGCATCACCACTGGTGACGAGAAGGTCAGAACAAAGAAACATGCTGCAAATTATAACTGGCGCAATGCCCGTGCATCGGGTTTACACTCTTCTCAAAGACCCTGTTGTGTACACAGTACGCTGCATTAAATCGCGATCAAACTTCCTGCAAAAAAACTGTGCATCACAGAGAAATGAGATTGGTACCGTACTAGTAGTCACTGTCGATGTGCATATTTACTAATGAAAAATATTGTCTAGGATAATACATTTTTTAATTGGATTTGCATAATTAGGTTTCTTAATTGTTTAGAAACAAACATACAGTTTTAATGCGAAGTATGCTGGAAATAATTGAAAAATCACTAAATCAGGTAATTTTAGATGTGGAGTGCATGCTTCGTTTAGTTCCAAAAATGCTTGCAAGTTTGATGCACCCTCGCTGCATTTAATTTCTTAAAATCAACATAAATGCTATGCCAGACAACTGTCTATAGCATAAACAGTAACATTTGTACATTGCCATGCTTCCTACATGCTTAGTCTTTCTAAAATTTACCCTTTTAGTGCTTTCCAATGACACTAAGCAAGTTTCTAACTCAAACCAAGTGCTTATTTTCACTAATCAGAACATTAATTGTGCAAAACTAATTAAGTACTTCATTATTCAAAATGCTATGTACCTCACAAAAAACTGTCCTTTTAGCAAATGACTAATATGGCACCAATTTGTTTTTTGCTGCGTAGTATAGTTTTCATGGGACAATGGCTGACATTCGGTGAAACATCCAGTAGTATAAGCGTATGTTTAATAACTAAGCTTGAAATATCAACTATCATTGGGAATTTCATTACTTATGCTGTGTAATAGTCCGTTTAAATTTGCTGAACAAAATTATAAGAGAAACATTGATGACAATACTTTTTTTTATTGGAAGGTGTAGCTGGTTCAAAAGTTGGACCGACATTCCGTTTCGAGGATAGCATTTATGCAAGAGTTTGTTTTTGTACAATGTTGTCAACTTGGGGGGGGGGGGGGGGAAGGGGGGTACTTATTTTTGCTTGTAAGCTTTGCCTCACATTGGACTAGTTTAGCCCCTGTTTTGCGTGTCACATGAACTTATATAGGGCAAACCATCATATTTGCACATTCAACACCTCGATTTTCTTGCTCACAGAACTTCCTGGTGATATAACTTCCAATAACCAACTTTTAGAGCGCAGCTCTTAGGGGCCCGTTCCCGGCTTGAGCGGCGTCGCCGTCGGCGTAACCACGGTCACCCCAGGGTCACGCGACCCCCAAGGTCACGTGACCCCCCCCCCTGAAGTCACGTGACACGCCCCCCCTTCCCCCCGGGGTACCGTGACCACCCCCAGGGTCACGTGACCCCCCCATGACGTCATCATCACTGATGACGTCACCGGCATCCGCATCGTCATCATCACTGGTGACGTCACCGGCATCCGCATCGTCATCATCACTGGTGACGTCACTGATTACCTCACCGGCATCCGCATCGTCATCGTCATCGTCATCGATGACGTCATCAGTGACGTCACTGATGACGTCATCAGTGACTTCACTGATTACCTCACCGGCATCCGCATCGTCATCATCGCTGATGACGTCATCAGTGACATCACTGATGACGTCACCCGCATCCGCATCGTCATCGTCGACGTCATCGGAGTCCGCATCGTCATCGTCACTGATGATGTCATCAGTGACGTCACTGATGACATCATCGGCATCGTCACGTGACCCCCAAGGTCACGTGACCCCCCCCCCAGGTCACTTCACCCCCCCAGTACCCTTCCCTCCTCCTCCTCCTCAAGAGCTGCGCTCTAATTCGGTGTTACAGGGAGTTGTAAATGGATTTCACTTTTATATTTAATTCATATTTAAAACTGTTTTCTCAATCCCTTACTTTTTTCAACTGGCATATGTCATGACCAGTCAAGGAACAGCAGAACCTGGTGTTGTCTTGTGTCAACATAATATTTTACAAACTCGTGAGACACCTTTACAAAAACCTGACAAATTTCGCTGTTGTAAAAGACCTTACTCGTCCTCTCATCAGAACTGATATGCTGTGAGCGATTATTAGCATCAACTAGATTAGCATTAAAGTTTTAGGGTATATTCTGTTGCTCTTTGACTTATCCTTCGCGCAGGACGATACAGCTGCCACTTCTATTGGAAGACTGACATGTCAGCCTAAACCCTTCCTTTTTGTTCTGTTTGGTGATGTGCGATATTCAAAATTTAGAATAATTCGAGAATAGTGTTTGCGATTCAATTCAAAGCACACTTTTCGAAGGTCTTAAGTATTCAAGTTTCTCGAATACAGTCATGTCTTATTAATAGAACCTCATTAATATGGATACCCCACTATATGGACACCATTTTAGGGGACAAACTGGGAAAGTACATGCATTTTTGTCTCGTTAATATGGACAACTCACATTATGGACAATTTTTCGGGAGAACGGAGGGGTCCATATTAATGAGACATCACTGTATTAACAAGATTACAAGCATCTTCAGAATTCTTTAATGCCTACTGCTATGTGCCAGTGTTCTGTTGTCAGGCTTCACCACTTGAATCAGCGCGCACGGGTTAAGCTTCACTGCTCTGCAGCAGCATGCTAGGAGAAACGGCTCCCATGTTGCAGCATCTCGGTCAGCTTTTTTCTGTTATAATTGTTGTTCGACAACTGATTTTAAAGGAAAGTGCCGGGAAAGGAACCTCGAGCTATATTCAAATAAATAGGGTAGTTACTGCTTTACTTGCCATGTGACATTATGTTTTACTCAACTCTTACCAGAACCTTTTTCTCCTTAATTTCATACCGCTAGTGCGTAAAACATTTTTTTACGTGATAAAACTGTTCCTTTCAATAGGTATGTTCCCTCTAAAAGATTTTCAGCCATGAATTTTTAAAGTATCCGTGCTCAACTCACATTAAATGCAAAACATTCAGAATATAAAATATTCTAATTGGATTGGCCAGTGAAATTTACATATTCATACTTGATTCACAATAAACAGTTTGATATTTGCACAACCCTAACTACATTCCATTAAACCATCTCACCCACAAGAAATGCAGAATGAAACCTAGTGGATTCACAAAATATGACAGGGTCCCTTTTTGTGAAAGAAATGAAATCTATAGATTGGAATGAAAAAAAACCTATGGAAATGAAATGAAATCTAGTGGATTCATAAAAATGAGAAGGTCATTGAGTCGGTTGAGCCTTTGCATGCCGCTTTGAAATATACTTCTGAGCGAAGAAGGCTACATACAGACATCTACTCAGTACCATCTGGAGGTGTGTTTGTACACAAGGTAAGTGTGCACAGAGTTGCGACGCAGTTGATACACTGACCTGTGAACTGCTCCCTCGGCACATTGCCCCCCAACACTTCACTGAACTCTTTGCCAGTTCCTCCGACTCCTTGGCCAATCGGTCTGAAACCAAAGCTTGAACCTGAAAGGAAGCCACCACATTGCAGTAATGATGCCAATGGCGTTATCTACTACACTGAGTAACGTAAGGACTGTCTTTTAACTAAGTACGACAGAAGGTTGCCAAGCACAATAATCACATACATCTGCGTACAATCAAAAGACGTCTTGCAAAATCGGAGCGATGCTAGCGGCGTAGTGCCGTGTAAAGCGTCTTGGGAACCTATTGGCCTCTAAGTTTCGGATTCAATTTGCCAACCTCACTTGATGACATCCCGTCATAACCAAATATGGCGCTTGCATTTCCAAATATGTGACCTTTCTAAAAACTTATAATATCATGGCCGTTGTCTACCAATGCAGCTAGAACGCTGGGACACGGTTTCTAGGGCTCCCGACGTGCCAGAGTTTATGCGCAGGTAGACACGGGACTATGAGAGCGATAGCGCGTGGAAGAAGTACACTGGGCCAGTCATTCTGTTCCGTCGTTTCCCCAATGTCCTAGGCTCCTTAAATTATCCGTAATCCGTGAGGGTCGTGCTGCGCTGTCTAAGCAGGTCCTTAGGCTGCTGGAGGTCCGTGTTTTAATGGGGGCTCTCACGAAGACGAATGGGTGTAATGCAAGCGAGCACCGAATTTGTTTTACGGCAGCGACGAGATGCACCACTTTGTCAATGGGGCGATAGAAGCCGAAACCATGACACTTCTCTCCGTGGCCAACTAGGTCCCATAATGCAATGCACACAGTGTTCCGTGCAGGGACTTTTGGAAGTAGTAGTCTCTTCCGAAACTGGTCCCATTTTTCTGTCAGTCAAGCGAAGCTGACGTGATATAATTTTAGAAAGCCTCTCCTGAAAAACTCTCTGCTCGCCACAATTGGTTGTGTCCTCCTCTCTGCAAGCCTCCCTTCCAGCGTTCGCTCTGCTAAAGTGGAAAGAAAGGAGGACTTTGCGAGAGGAGCTTGTAGTGCTGCTATTCTTAATTTGCAACAGACTATAGCAACAGTATGCATACTTCCCAGAACAAACTTCCAAAACAGAAACCTAAGTTGTATAAAAAAAAAATGAACTGGGAAGACGAAGTGTGAATTTCAAATGGCACTCACCCATAAACTTGGCCTCGGAGGGCAGCACGGGCTCTTCCGTCCCAAACGGATACAGGGTGTGAGGATCAAACGCCTCATTCCAGACCCTTGTCTGCTCGTTGAGGGCAATGCTGAAGTTCCGCTGGTACGGCAGGGACGGAAACGGAGGCTCGATGGGACCCAGACTTTCTTCCAGTTCGGTGTTGGGGGGCACCTCCATCGTCACTGGCCGAAAGGTGGCGTTGAAGATGCTCGGCGATGGCTCCTCATGCACGGGAGGCGCCGGGATCCCCAGCCTGGAGCGGACGAGCGAGAGCGCCGTCGCTACGAGACGAGGCGTCGTGGACAGGTAGTGCTCCCAAAGCAGACGCCCCCTCCGACGCAGCTCGACGATGTCGGCATCAAGGTACGTCTTTAGCACGAAGTGTAGCTCCGTCACACGTGCGAGCGGAAGCAGCAGGGATGCTCGGGTCCAGTCGATGAAGTCGCCAAATGGAAGTTCGACACGATCACCTCCGAGCACGACGGGAACGGCGCCCGCCCGGAGACTTTCCCAAAAGCGGGTCAGGAAAGTGTGCGACGACACACGGCCCCCGGACGGTGCGAGGAGAAGCGAGAATGTGGAGTCCCGGAGGAGCTCGGCACGCGTGGCTGCGCTTCCGCAGAGAGACCAGTCGTCGGACGGAGCGGCGGAGTCTTCTTCCGCATGGGCACAGGCGAACATGAACCGCAGCTGACTTTCGTAGCCTGCCGACATTTTCCGGAGGGCACCGACGACCACATTGTTTTCGCGAGCGGCCAGGGTAACGTTAGATCCCCCTCGCAGCTGTCCCTCGAAACTGATCAGGTACTTCCGTCTGGCAGGCGTGACGAGAGCAGTCGTGCTCCAGGGTGGCTCGGCCTCGCCGTTTGGCGGCGGCGGCGGCAGGACTAGGTCGAAGCCACGCCTGAAGTCGGCGGCCTCGAAGTTGACTTGTGCTACAAGAGCCCGCTGCGTGTCGGTTTCTCGCAGCTCTGCGCTCTTACCCAGGTTCAAGATGACATGGTTACGCCCGTCTCCATTCCAATGAGGCAGACGACGGAGGTAGTCCTGTGCTGCATCGGCCCTGAGGCCGCCTCCGATCACGACGACGTGGATGCACGCGGCACTGGGGTCGAACGTGACGTGGATGTTGGTGCTCGAAATCTCCCCGACGGATGCCCCGACGTTCGGGTCTAGCCTTGAGTCATCCGGAGGGTAGAAGAAGATGGGGAAGCCCGAGGTCAGGGAGCAGCGGGAGTAGTCGAAACAGGAGTGCATCCGGCAACCGTGGGCACGCAACTGCGCCTGCAAACCTGACGGAGCGTCGTCTGCCACCACGGAGAGTGTCAGGGGCGGCCTGAGAAGTGGCACGTTTCGATGTTCTAATTCCGCCTGGGCGTAGGCGGCTTGCTTGAGGGACAGCTCGATGCGGTCGAGCTGAAGCCGGTTTTGAGTGTACTTGCGCTTGGAGTCCTCGACGCTTTGCACCAGGCCGGTGATCTCGGCCTGGGGATCGAAAATGCAGCTTGAGATGTGAAACAGGCCGACAAAAAGAGGCCAGATTTGGTCTACAAAAATTTGAAAGTCAGATTAAGGACACTTGCCTGCAGTTCCTGCCTCCGCCTCTCGAGATCTCGAAGCTCGGTGCTCACCGACGTTTTAATCCGCAGAAACTCCTCAATCCTTAGCTTGAGATCTTTCACTTCTAATACGTGAATGTCGTCCAACTGGATGCGCTTGTGTATGTCTTCTGACGAGTCCGCGTTGCCGAGGTACTACAAAGGAAAAGAGGCGACCGTACTGCAGCAGTCACCAAACAGTCCGCCGCGCAGCGGTTTACGCAGGTGCTCTGGTTTCTTCCACTATGGTTTGTAAACTCTAGTTTGAGGTGCTAAACTTGACTTTCTAAATAAACGTAATTTTTCAAGTTCGAGAGGAATGTTCACTTACCCCAAATATGTAGTAATTAATCAATAGCGGCACGGAAAGAACCAACAAAAGTAGACCGAGGAGCATTGACATCTTGACTTCGGCCAAGCGCCGGCAAAACGACTTGTATCCGACGGGCCTTGGCAATCCAGAGTCGTATCTTGACATTTCTAGAAGCGGGGAGCTTAGATCTGAAAGAAAGGGTCGAATAAAAGACATTGAAACGAAAATACGCTTCTTCGTCAACTCGACATTCGTTAGATTGAAATGACAAAGTAAATACCAGTGCAACGGGCCGGAGCTGTTTCCTACGTCAAACCAGGAAGCGAGTACAACTTCATCTTGCGTCGCTTGAATCCAGCTCGTTGAAAAGGAAGACGCGAAATCTTCAAGCACCGCATCCGGACCACGACCTATCCGGACATCCTTTTCTCTTTCGAACCTCTCAAGCACACACTGCACTGTTTACTGCAGCACTGCTGCATGGGGGCGGCCATCTTGAATTTCGCGTTCTCTCGCGAGAAGGCGTGAGATTAGAGGGGGAGGAGGGGTCTGTCATATGATGGTTAGGTGTGCGGAAAGTTTGTAATTATGGTATCGTCCTTTTTCTAGAGCGATTCTCAAGCAGAAAAATTCATCTTTGGTTCCCAACCGAGATTCGGGAACGTGTGAACGTTGTGTCGGAACATCGCCCGCATCGTGACAATGGTTAGACGGTCCGCAAACGTGTCTGGGAGGGCTCCGTTAGCGACACGCAGTCTGCAACAACGATGTGGTCTTGTTTTTGTGTCGCCCAATTCCGATTGTAGGCGTTGTAGTAACTTCTTCCAAGTGTCCGCGCGTGCAGTAGAATACCAGGCGTCGCGTATCTGGCCATTCAGCGTGCACGCGAGTGTCCGTTGCCTCGGCGAAGCTCCCTCGATCTCGGGAGGCGTTTATCGGCCAAGTTCAAAAGCTAGTGATTCCGCCGTGTGGCCCCGCACTTGTGACGTTTGAATCGTGAGAGGCAACGTCTGTCGTCTAGAAATAGTGTAGCTACAGTCTGGGAAAGGTGCCGCCGGCTTCAGTATGTAGCTATACGCGCTGTGCTTTCGATCTTTCTTTTTTCAGTCATTTGCCGAAGACGAGGATGGCTATTCGTCGAACTATCACGTCGGATCTTTGCCTCGTGACTATGCGTATGGATCTGACGAAGCCGAGGGAGAGCAGCCACATGATACACAGTGCGGCAGGAAACGCAAGATCCTACTTATGGGTTCCAAAGGGTAAGCTGTTCAGGCATCGTCCTAGTTCCTGGCTTAGACTTACCCCAGTTGCTTACACCCCCCACCCAAACCTCGGGTCATCACTGTCGTTAATGATCAGTGAGCAGTGCGTGTTTTATTAATCGTGTGTGGGAACCAAGTATCCCGAGAACACATTGTCTCCCAGTGCCCATATGTCGTGCAGTCAGAACTGCATGTTGCTATCCCGGTTTTGCAGTGATTGCCCAAATAATAGACTGGTATGTTTTAAGCCAGTCTGATCCCTCATAGTATAATTTCCCTTTGTCTAAACAATTTATACCTTTTAAAGGAGCAATGCAACAATTTTTGTACTTTGCGCAAATACCGCTTAAAACGGATCCCTGACGTTAATGACCTATAAAACACGCGTTCGTTTTTCACCCCACGCAATAGAAGACTCAGAAAAAAATTAAAGAAAAATGAGCAGCGTTCACCCCCTCAACTCGCAGCCAGAACAAGCGGCCACGTGATCTGGAGCCGATTATATGCCGCCAGTGTTGATCATAGCCACGCGCTGGGGTTGGCAAAGCGCAGGACACGCGCTGAGTTCCAGACATTGTTATGGCTCGGCTGTTGTCGCCGTTGCAGCGATTGGACACGGGTCACAACCCGAATGCTTCTCGAGCTAGCAATTGTCACGAGCACAAGTCGAGTGCCCACGCAATGGTCGGGTCCAATCTATGAACCGCATTCAAATATCGTCACTTGGGTGTACTGCAATCCCCGAGTTACGTCATCAAATTTTGCAAAGGAGAGATTGAATGAAAATGATCGCTTTTGTCCTTGCAATTACACCGCAGCAAAGGAGTTTCTTGGCCAATGGCGTTGCGTGTGAGTATCCTTGAGTCCCTGGTGTGCCAGTAAGCTCGTGTACAGAAAAAAACATTCCAAATGAATATCGTTGCACAGCTCCTTTAACTATCCCTTTGTGTACTAAAATATTAAGGTGGGCTAGTTGGATATGTATCTCAGAAACAAATAGCGCGAAGGTAAAGTACAAACTGACGAAACAAGCGCTAACTCACAACTGTCGTTTGAATATTCACACTGAAGACAGTTGTGAGTTAGCGCTTGTTCTGTCAGTTTGTACTTGACCTTTCCACTATTTATTTCTAAGATATCACTTTGTCCCTGTGCAAAGCGTGTTACGGATCCCCATTTTCCAATGGTCACGCTTTTTCAGCGGGGGTAAACAGGTACCGACTATGAAGGGGTGCCAACCTCACCCCATGTAAACATTGTTGTACAATGCTTTCTATGGCTTTCGAGCGACTTAATGTAAATGCTGTTAAGTAAATACTCTTCAAAATCTTGACTCTTGTAGCATTCAGATAGCAAGGTCTTGTATACCAAGGTCAAGGACACTGTTTGGTTATTTTATGCTCGCTCGGCATTGACGTCCCTTGCTAATATCTGCGACGGTGTAGCTGTTATTGTTTCTGACGAGCATTGAAGGTGGATAATTTGTGCTGCACTCAAGTAGAGCAAATAGGACATTGTATACAAGGTATGTATATATCTAGCTCTTACATGCTTGCATTGTCTACTTAAGGTATCTGCTGATATGCAGCTTGCACGGTATTTGGCGATGCAAATCACACTATCATAGCTTTGGTTAATCGATGGTCGGACTGCGTCCTCGGGCTGATCATGAGCAAAGTTCTCCCTTCACGTTACCATGCAATGATGATCTTGATATGTCTCATGTAATCACAGGCACGTCTTCATTCTCTTTTGCAGGAGTGGCAAGTCTTCTATAGAAAAAGTGGTTTTCCACAAGATGTCCCCCAACGAGACTTTGTTCCTGGAAAGCACAAACAAAATTGTGCGAAATGGTATTGCTGATAGTATCTTTTTCGCTTTTGTGCATGTGCTTGTGTGTCTGAGACTGAAGCACAGTTCTCCCAAATGGCACTTAACAACTGTGCCTGCGTGTGCAGTGCTTGGATCACAGTTAGTTCACAATTCCAAACATCTCAAACACTACTACTGGCATGGCTAGCGTTCTGATGGAATTGCCACCTAAATTCCTGTGAAACTAAATTTAAGTGGTAACATTTGCCACTTGATCATGGCTTGTGCAAGTAAAATGCAAATATGCACTGATCTTGCATTCAAGGTGAATGCAGTGAGGATTACAACTTGTTTCCCAACATTCCACAAGCTTCATTTGTCTGTATCCTGTGCAGCTCAGTAAAACCTCCGCTACTGTTGTGCCAATAATTTGCAAACATCACCATGCTTGTATTTTGTTCAAGGGTTTACAAAAACTTTGAGCATGAGCTATTAACTCTGAAGAAAGGCTTTGCTGAATGTACATGTTCAACTGAGCATGTACAGTGCTCAGCAAACTTATCTGGAACACATACTAATCCTATCCTTGCCTTCTTTTATTTTATTTATTTCTATGTGTGCCTGAATAGCTGGTGCTAACACTAAGCTATTTCTCTAAGTGTCTCACTATGTGCGAAACATGCCTTCAGTTTACATAAATATGCGCAGTTCTCTAATATTTTGTCTCTTTTCTGCATTCAATATTCCACAAGTGTTCCGTTCGAGTTTGACTAGCACTGTACATTTGATAGGTCAAAGAGCAAAGATTAAAAGAATATGCCTTAAAGCTTTAATGCTAAGATAGTTGATGCTAATAATTGTTCGCAGCATATCAGTTCTGATAAGAGGAATGAGTAAGGTCTTTTCCGGCAGCGAAACTTGTCAGGTTTTCTGAATTTTACAAACTCACGAGTTTGTAAAATATGCTAGAGAATGAAGAGTCACCTTTTCTACTGCTACTGGAAAACTTTACAGGATAGGCGTCAGTTTCATTTAAAGGGTATCAAAGCGTATTCTTTTCAATCAAAGCTGGAGTCCCCCAGGGCTCTGTCTTATATAATCTTTATGTTAATGACCTCTCCATTGTGGTACCAATTTCAATATGCTGACAATACTATTATTTTATCTAGAGCAGGGGTGGCCAAACCGCGGCTCGCGAGCCGCATGCGGCTCTTTGCTGGTCCAAGTGCGGCTCGCGGATCCCTCGTAAGGGAACCCCCCCCCCCCCCCCCCTTCTTTCGACCCTTTCCGCGTTTCCCCAGAAAAAAAAAGAAGAAAGGATTTCAGAATAAAGCACACTGCAGCTTGCAGTTTGGGCAGACTCTGAACAAAGGTTAAGTTTGCCCCCCTCCCCGCGGCTCTTAGAAGTCCCTTGGTTTTGTTTGCGGCTCTTAGGCCAGGCCAGACTGGCCACCCCTGATCTAGAGTATCCAATTATTTAGATGCCTTTTTGTCTTTACAAACTGCAGCAATTAAAACTATGTACTGGTTTCAAGCTAATTTAATTAAAGTCAATGCATCCAAAATGCAACTTATATGTTCCCACAACCCTTTGAAAAAAGTTATTATGAGAGCGCTCCACTTGTAATGGAGAGGTCCCAAGTTCGATACCCGGACCAGGCGGATTTTTTCGGTCGCTCACCAGTCACCTAGCTGTGTTTGGAGATTTATGTTTGTCCTTTGTCCCTCTTGTTCCCCTTCTCTAGGGATTACTTTCGTCGTCGTTATTATGACCTCCTTTTTATGGTTACATACGTCTGGGTGCCTATAATGTGCATAGGAGCCTATACAGCATACATCGTCTGTATAATATCTTGGCTTATTCTTTGACAGTGACCTAGCCTGGATCTTTCATCTTGCTCATGTATGTAAGAAAATTCGTGCTGTGTCTTTGTTATACAGCACTAGATACTTTATGACACTATCCGTTCAAAACATTGTTGTACATGCTCTAGTCTACATTGTGCTCCGTTATGGCATCACCGTGTATGGTCGTTGTGCTCTCAGTTGGCAATTTTTAATTAATTTGATTCTGTTGTCTTTGTTAAGGAACATTTCCTGGGGCTTGGAAAGAACATTGATATATTTAAAGCGTTGCTTTTACCTGATTTTAACTCGCTATTGATGGAAACTGTTCATACGCATTTTTGGGATAGTCAATTTAAAATTCTATATGTACCTTCCCGCATTCTTAACCCGAAGAGCATTACCAGATGCTTCAATGGCTGACAAGATTTGGAAAAAGAGCTCGTAGTTATTTTGTATCAGCATTTCTGAACAAACTACACCCTAGTATTTTTAATTGAAGAATGAAATACAAGCTCAAGAAAGCCCCGCGAAATTTTAGTTTGTAAAGTGCTCACTAGTTTGCTTTTTTATTCCAATTTCTTTGTTTGGATTTTATTTTACATGTTTCCTTTTGCATACAGCTGGTTTCACTGAATGTAAGACGCTGCCAGTCAAGCCCATTGTGGCTTAGGCAGGTCTGACTTCACACTCGCTTTGTTCGTTTGCAATAAAATTATTATTATTATTATTATTCAATGAGTAAACTGCTTGCAACAAAGATTGGTTAGTATATCACGTATGGCTTGGGTTGAGCAATGTATAAGGCAGAGTGGATTTAAGTGGTGTGATAAAGAGATAGAGCACTGGCACACATGGCGTTGCGCTTGTCAGCCATGTTTGCTCATTTACATTGCTACGCCTAGTCCCTACGTAAGGATGTCCTTTCGTTTTTTAGGTTAATATTAAATAAGAGCTTGATAAATGTATCACTAAAGAGGATACCTGCCCAACGCTCATTGATGCTTGAAATTATTTGCCAGCTCACTGTTTGCAAAACAGTGTGCGTTCATACAATAACTGGGCACTGCACGCATGCAGACAAAGTGAGCCGATGGTGTGCACATGGTACATATGGTACTTCCACTGCTGATTGACATTAAAATGAGAAAGTTTTTTGGGGGATTTTATTTTGGGGGTAGTAGTAGAGTATTGAGACGAGGAAGTTAAAGGTGCGTTTTCAGCCAGAGGCCTAGTAGGTCACCTTTAGTGTCGGGCAAGGGTTTGGAAGAAATGATGATGCAGGGTCAGGCCGTGAAGAGCAGCACAGTTGGCACGCCTTGCAAAATTCGAGTTCCAAACGTTCATTCTTGAACCTGAGCACGTAAACGTCATGTTGCAAGAAGTTTTTATGCCTAATCTCTTTAGAGCTTAGCTCGGAGGTGGTGAAATATTAAAAATAAATAAAAAAACGTCGGCCATGTATTTTCTATGTCCTATACCAGCCGGCTCGTCCTCTGCTCACTGGTTTGCGAGCTTGCTCTCAGGTGGCTCGCTGAACGCAAAAATGCCGAGAACGCCAACTAGGGGCTGGCGACGAGTGAGGTGATAGCAATAATTAATAATTTTAACAAAATATACCAACGATGACCACCTTGGAGCAAGCTCGCAAACCAGCGCATGCAGACGACAAACATCGGAAATATGACATAAAGAAATTCTCGGCCGCTGTTTTTGCTTTATTTTTAATATTTCGCCTCCTAGTTCATAAAAAAAAAATTTAACAAAAATTCCTTGCGAAGAACGTTCGCTTGCCCAGTTTCTAGTATGTACGTTTGGAATTCCAGTTTTGCAAGGCATGCCAAACGTGATGGTCCTTGCGGCCTCACCCTGTAGAGGAAGAAGTGTGAAAGAATTTTTGGGGGGTTTTACGAAAGTCAGCCTCTACTGGCAGTGTACACCCTTCATACTCCTTTAAGAGCTTTCGGTCTCACAAATCAAGTGTACCCACAATCAGATTTGGAACTTTTGGAGCAGTTCTTGCTAAGTAGGCTGCGTCTGTTGTCGACTCCACTTCTTGCACCGTCTTGTCTCGCCGCCACATACTGTCGTGGCCACATTCTTTCGCGTCATTACCCCGGTGTGTGACTCGTGGATTGACTTTTGCGTGCACAGATACCTCAAACAGCTCCTTTGTCAGACTGGACATCTGGGACATCCCAGGCCAGGTGGACTTCTTCGACCAGGTCTCCGACTTCAAGAACGTCTTTGGAGGCTGGGGTGCCCTCGTGTTTGTTATAGACGCCCAGGTTCGTCCTTCCTTCTTTGCCGGAGAAGAGCGCGAAGCAGAGTTTTTGTTGTCCGAGTTCTAACAACAGTTCTGGCGTATTCTGACGATGGGCAACAAGCTCCTAATTGAAATGTGCTAGCTAAGGTGAATATTCCTAAAGTTCATTAGTTGATTTTAGGTAACTCGTTTAATGATATCACTCGTACACTCTCTTTGACATCCACCATGGTTGGTGATGTTTTCTAGGAGGAAATATTTCTTTATTTCAAGTGCCCTTTTTTTTTTAGAGTATTAGTTACAGGTTAACAGGAAGCTCCTACCAGTGGTGTAGCCAGGGGGGGAAGCTAATGATGCTTCAGCCCCCCTCGAAATCCAGCCAACCCTATAACATCCACACACATTTGGACCCCCCCTTCTCCCCCTCTACACTCCAACTCATATACATCCTAGCCACCTCAGCCACCCCCCGAAAAAATTCCTGGCTGCGCCACTGGTTTCTGCGCTTAAAAATTTACCGTGAATTGCAACATTGGCTTTTGACACGCTTTCTGTGAAAGTAGACTCAGTCTGTTCTTGCTGATTGACTTACATGCTGCATCTGTCTATACCACATGTGTTCAGACTTTTTAATCTCGAGAAACGAATGCCTTTCTAGATTAATAGCCAAAGAACCGTTCACGACCTCTGCATCGATGCACTAAAGCAGTGCAGAAGCCTAGGGAGCATGTAAACAATAATGCAGATATTAGGGAGTGTTTAGGACATAGCTGCGCATCAACGAATGGCTTAGATCCTCTCTGTGCCTTTAAACTGTGAAAGCACTTCACTTTGGGGGCAGTGATGGCCAAGGAAACTCGGGAGATCAGAGAGCTTCCGAGTTTTTTTGAATCCAGTTGTAGAACTATTGTCTATAGGGGCCGAACTATGAGGAAATGTGCTTCGAGAGTCAAAATTGTCAAATCGCTTCTGGCTGGTGTTGCTGTTCCCCAGGACGACTACATGGAGGCCCTGCAGAAGCTGAACAAGACGGTGACCATGGCGACCAAGGTGAACCCCGAGATGAAGATCGAGGTGTTCATCCACAAGGTGGACGGCCTGTCGGACGACCACAAGATCGAGACCCAGCGGGAGATCCACCAAAGGGCCTCGGACGACCTCGCCGACGTGGGCCTTGACAACGTACAGCTCAGGTGGGTGGGGCCTCCGACGTCTCCTGCACCAAAGACACGCCCTGGTGTTCTCGTTCTGTTGTTGACTGTGGTCGCCTTGACCCAAGTCCAGAAAGCTTTGGTAACATCCACCAGGTGCAATTTGGTCATTGTTTGATTTATTTTTTTAAACTTATGCTGTATTTTTTTATTTTTCTATAAAAAGTTGGTGTCTCTGTGATGTTGCCACAACATTGCCGCTAAACAATTAAAGAGACGCTCAAATTTTGTGTCCATACTCCTTTAGGATGTCCACAACAAATGTCTTCCATTTATATTAGTGGCTAGAAAGTCTTGTCACAAGAGACCTCCACAGTGGGCAAGATTTCGTTAAGGTGCAGATGCAAAAATTTGTGCAAAATTATGCTATAAACTTTAATCAAGCTCTAAAACTGTGTGTGCTTTAGTGTATGGCTGCTTCATAATTTCTGTTTAATATAAAAGTTAAGAGTACCCTTAAAGGGGCCCTCCGGAGCTTTCTGCGATCGTCTGTTTATGTTGTAATGTTGCATAGTACGTGCAAGTTAATATGTATACAAAGTTTTAGATTACAAAACCGTTTATTAAGCAGATGGCAGAAGAAATATATCGGGACTATTTTCTCTTGGAAGACAATCCCCCATTCCCTGCCTATCGCTAAAACTTGACCAATGGAAATGCTGCATCTCGCGGTGAATGCGAACGTTATTATTGCAACACTTTTTAAGCTTGTTGTAAATTAGAGTTTGAGAAAAACGTAAACTGATTGTGGTGCGGGAAACATAGTCCGCAACTATCGCTCCAAAACCAGCGAACTATGTTTTCTCCCTGCAAACTTGTTGCTAGGGGGTGATGCGTCGGCGCGTCGGCTCGTCTGCTTCCCGGGGCGTCTGCAGGCATGCGTTTGCGGGACACATGTTCCTTCTTCCCGTGGATCCAGACTCCGAAGCCAGCTTTGCGATCCTTCCACGTGAACGAGTCAAACTTTTCCTTGTCATCTGTGGGATGCGACTGCGTATTGCAGTAGCAGCGCGACGGTGCGGTGCGACGAACGACAACTGCCGAGCACAAAGTCCGGGTCCCTTGACGACGGTCTGCGCGTTTTCGAGAGATTCCTCCGCGGGTCGGCGGTCGGCCGCGTTGGTGACGCGCAGTGACGCCGGAATCCTTTGCTTGCTATTGGCTGACGCGTAAAGAGATGCCCCTCCCGTTTTCCGGGGTCATCTCAGAAAGGGGGGCGTGCCGGGGACTTTGATAGCAATTTTAATAGGGAAATCCTTCGCGCATGACCGTAATTTTATGATTTTTAAGATCCTTAGGGCCTGTAGATTGAGTTACCGCCATAAATAGACCATCGCAGAACGCTCCGGAGGGCCCCTTTAAAGGCCGACAACCGGACTCGAGATTCTGCAAGGCAGAAGATCCTCCTCACCATGGGGGGAGGAGGAAACAGGCAAAGGTGGACAGGGTAGAAGAGGGGAGAGGAGGAAGCGGGAGAAAAGTGGAAAGCGCGAACTGGTCGTCGGCCTTTAATTTTTGTTGCAATAGAGTAGTAGCATCACGGTCGGTGTCTAATGTTACATGTGTAAGATATTGCACATGTAACAGAATTTTGTTTCACTTTTAACAATAACAACCAGTGGCACTGGATGCAAGCACAAATAGTTTTCTAGTCTGCGTGTTACTGGTGGGAGACATTAATTCACAAATTAATTGTACCGGAGTGCAACAAGCGGTTCGTGGCCCCCTGAGAAAAGCCTAGAGAATGCTTGAATGCAGTCCTTCCTTCGCTGATCCCGGTATCGGTTGTGAAATGGTGGGTAATGTAAAGAACTTAAAAGACTTGCGTTGCAATGTGTTTTACCAACGCACACCAAGATTCAAACTTTCTGAATCCTTGCAGCTTCTACCTGACGAGCATATACGACCACTCCATCTTTGAGGCCTTTAGCAAAGTGCTGCAGAAGCTCATTCCCGAGCTGCCAACGTTAGAAAACCTCCTCAACATCTTTATATCGGTGAGTTCCCGCCCGTTTTGCACATATGTACGTTAGAGGAAACCGGGACAATTGGTTTGTAGGTTTAGTTTGATATTAACCTTGATAAATGCAGACTTGGAAAGGAGGGCTAGTTTCCAACTGTATCAAGGTAGTCAGATCACGGAAATAAACAGCGCGCAAAAAATACGCAAGGACGAAAGGAAGGTGCGAACGACACAAGCGCTGAACTCACAACTAAACATTAATTGAAAAAACACCAACGAAGTAAACCGCACTATCGCTTCAGCACGTGTCAAGATAGGCAATTTCTTTTTTGTGAAGAAAAACCGATGTTTGGCTGACGCATGCATCTTGCCCATCTTTTGTTATTGCATATGCTTCCACTAATTCTCTGGTAGTTTTATCTGTGCCCCTCCCAATGATGGTGATGTTATTGAATGGGGGGCTGGCATTTACAGGCAGCGCAATGCAGAGGCAAGTGACCGGAGTGCCCAGTCATGTTCATGTGCCCTGTCATTAATGCATCGGCCAGTTTGGCCGATGTACACTCTTCCGCAGCTTAGTGGGATCTTGTATACCACCCCCACCACACATCAGCATACTTGTTCCTGTGCCTTACGGCACATTGGCTCTTGCCCCCAGCCTTATCCGCAATTCTAGGGCAGAGTTGCGCCAACTTTTGAGGTGCCGAAAAAACAACAGAGACGTCAAACCGCCCAGCTACCTTTTTCAAATTGTGCGAGATTTTATGCATGTAAGGGAGCACCTGGGGTCTGGTTGTGGGTCTCTCTTTTTTCTGACTTGACCCTCCCTTTAAGGACACATGCAAAGGAAAAAAAACATTTTTTTTAAACAGCTTAGATGGAAAAAGGATATCATAAAACAATTCTACAACCAAGAAAAAAATTTTTGAGAACTATATTTACGGCACTATACGCATTTCTAGCTGGCGCCGGCGGGCGCCGCGGAAAAGTGGCCCTTGACGGGCCCATATTTGTCATGTGGTGCTTGCGCTCTTTCGGAAGCTTCCTATGGCCTCTAAAAGTAACTTATTCATCTTTGTTTGAAGTATAACAAAAAACTAAGATGAATAAGTAACTTTTAGAGCCCAAAGAAAACTCATGAAAAAGCGCAAGCAGACGTGATAGACCTGTGCGCCGGTCAGACGACGGCGGCGGCGCCCCGAAGCAGACGAACTTGTGCGGCAGCGGCGACGGCGGCGTGGAGAAACGCGTTGAAGCGGCATTCGCACAACGCTGAGCGTTGTGCGAACGCCGGCCTACCACGTGACCAGCGGCGGCTCCCGCGAGCGCCATCTACAAATTCGTATAGCGCCGTAAATATAGCTCTAAAAATTTTTTTTCTTCGTTGTAAAATCGTTTTATGACATCCTTTTTCCATCTAAGCTGTCTAAAAAAAATGTCACAAAGTACCGGCGCTACACAAGAGCCAATGCAAATTCCTTCTTTTTGCACATAGTATCTATCGTCATACAAGATTAATGTTGAGTGCAAATAATAAATTTGCAGTCGACATTAATCATGTATGATGATAGCTACTATGTGCAAAAAGAAGGAATTTGCATTGGCTCTTGTGTAGTGCCGGTACCTTGTGACATTTTCTTGGCTAAATGTGATTGGGCATTTAATGAAGACTTAGATGAGGAGTGTGTTAACAAAGTTTTTAGATACGTTGACGATTATCTAGTAGTCACAAGAAGGTCTGAAGGTGCCCCTGAGGACAGGACTGTAAAAGCAGTGTTGGATGTGTTCAGTCAGCATTCTGGGGGGCTAAGGTTTACCCATGAACTACAGGATGGGACACACCTCCAATTTTTAGACCTTAGACTAGATTTTGAAGAAAGTCACATGTGTTGGCTTTACCAACCACACTCTAAGAAGGGACTTCTCCCTTATGATTCCGCCCACTCTTAACTAGTAAAAGGAGCATTGCGTCCTCTTGCCTCCAGACCGCCTTGGAAAAGTCGTGCTACCATTCAATGTCAGAAAGTTTTAAGATGCAGGTACAGCGGCTGACAGATGCCGGCTTCCCAGCGTCAGTTATTCTGGCAGTGGCGCAGACGTTTGTAAAAAAGATTAAAGGAGGGTCAAGTCAGAAAAAAGAGAGACCCACAACCAGACCCCGGGTGCTCCCTTACATGCATAAAATCTCGCACAATTTGAAAAAGGTAGCGGGCGGTTTGACGTCCCTGTTGTTTTAGAGCGCAGCTCTTAGGCGCCCGTTTCCGGCTTGAGCGCCGTCGGCGTAATTGCGCGGTGCATTATGGGTAAATTTCCCCACTAAATCTAGCGGTAAAATTTGCCTGATAAATCTAGCGGAAAAATTTCCTTGCTAAATCTAGCGGAAAAAATTTGCCCGCTAAATCTAGCAGAAAAATTTCCCCGCTAAATGTACCAGAAAAAATTTGCCCGCTAGCGGAAAAATTTTGGTCACGTGACCTGGGGAGTCACGTGACACCCCGAGGTCACATGACCCCCTCCTGAGGTCACGTGACCTCTGAGGGGGCACGTGATTGCCCCCACGTGACCCCACCAAGGTCACGTGCCCTCGGGGCGGGTCACGTAACACCCCCCCCCCCCCCCCCCCCCCCCCGAGAACACGTGGCCCTCAGTACCCTTCCCTCGTCCTCCTCAAGAGCTGCGCTCCAATTTGGCGTTTCAGGGAGTGGTAAACGGCTTTCACTTTTTTTTCGGCACCTCGAAAGTTGGCGCAACTCTGCCTTAGAATTGTGGATAAGGCTGGGGGCAAGAGCCAATGTGCCGTCAGGCACAGGAACAAGTATGTTGATGTGTGGTGGGGGTGGTATACAAGATACCACTAAGCTGCGGTAGAGTGTACATCGGCCAAACTGGCCGATGCATTAATGACAGGGCACATGAACATGACTGGGCACTCCGGTCACTTGCCTCTGCATTGTGCTGCCTGTAAATGCCAGCCCCCATTCAATAACATCACCATCATTGGGAGGGGCACAGATAAAACTACCAGAGAATTACTGGAAGCGTATGCAATAACAAAAGAGGGGCAAGATGCATGCGTCAGCCAAACATCGGTTTTTCTTCACAAAAAAGAAATTGCCTATTTTGACACATGCTGAAGCGATAGTGCGGTTTACTTCGTTGGTGTTTTTTCAATTAATGTTTAGTTGTGAGTTCAGCGCTTGTGTCGTTCGCACCTTCCTTTTGTCCTTGTGTATTTTTTGCGCGCCATTTATTTCCGTTACCATGAACCAACTCGCCTACATCACGACACTAATCTAGTCAGATCAGTTGTACAACTAATTTTACTTCACTGCGTTAGCCCTTTTCATACCTAAAGCTTCACACTTCGTATGCGTTCTGTTAGCGGTCTATAGAACCTGTGGATGCCAGCATGTAGTTGCACAAAGCAGGGTGTCTAGTGACCGGGAAAACCGGCAATTGTCGGGGAAATTTTAATTACCGGGAAAAATCAGGGAATTGTCCGGAATATATTCAAAAAGCGAGGCCAGTCAGGAAAATTGAGCTGGAATCGCCATTGAGTGCCCTGAGCAAACACCTGAGGACTTGGGGGCAGAAAAATAGGCAATCAATTCTGCTTAGAGCGGAGCACGGGCTCTGCTTACCTGATGTAGAGTCTGCTACACGATGCAAAGGGAACAGCCGACAAATCCAGTCCAAGCCTTGGATTACATTGGTTTGAGGGCACGACATTAGGCTGGATCCAGTTAGAGCTTCTGGATATAGTAACAAATGGGAAAGCCGCAGACCCCAATTCAATTCAAGCATTAAGCCGAAAGTATCCGAAAGTGTGCATCTGGCAGCAATGTGCCGTGCTGCCATTCGGTTATTGACGCGTGTGTTTGAGCGTCGTGTTTTCATCGTGTTTCCGGAAGTGGCCTCTTCACTGAAGATGCCGGCGGCGAGAAAGTGCTTGTTTAATTCGGACTGGACGAACCCAAATATTTTGGTATACGCAAGTTTGATTAAGCCCGTGCAAAATGATGCTCACAGTGCTCATTGCTAAATGCCTTGTGTTATAATGGTCTTATATATTTAACCGCCTCTATGGTGGTCAGGAAATTTCGCCTGAAATTGTCGGGGAAAACCTGGAAAAGTCGGGGAATTTCAAAATAATAATTTGCTAGACACCCTGACTAAGAAATATTTACCTTAGTATATGTGACCCTGTAGCTTTGTAGCAAATACAAACAAAAAGCGGAGGCTCATCTTTGGTACTGCAGGGGCTCAGCGTTTCGGGACACTTGCGTCAATCGTTGTGTTGATCCTACCGCCACAGAACTCTCGCATCGACAAAGCATTCCTGTTTGACGTGGTGACCAAGATGTACATTGCCACGGACAACTCTCCTGTCGACATGCAGTCTTACGAGCTGTGTTGCGACATGATCGACGTCGTCATGGACATTTCCGGCATTTATGGGTATGTCCTGCCTTTTTTTTTTTTTTTTTCATTTGGAACCTTGCTTTGATCTCCGTGAAGAAAACCATAGTAGAACTCTATTTCAAGATTCTGCTGTCATGTCAAGGCACTGGCTCTAGTTGCAGAAGCTTTGCTTTTTTTTTTTTTTTTTGCACATGCACAGTTTTTGCAGCTTTCGTGGGAAAACGACTGGAACTGTCTTGCCTCCAATCGACGGTGTGGTTAATAAGTTCCAGGTTTCCTTTCTTTTCAACACTTTCTCTTTGTGGGAAAATGAGGTTGTTTTCAAAATAATGGAGATAATGAAGATGTTTGTTTTAACTTCAAGCAAATATGATATAGCTTCGCCAATACTGGAAACTCCTCCGAAAACCTATGGGAGCGGTGGTGAACGCGACAGTGGCGCCTCTAGCGCACTCGGAGTCTATGGAAGCGGACAACGCAATGGAAAAGCATAGGCTCCGCGACGTCCTCAAGCTTTGCGAGCCCCGTTTCTTCACCCCAACAGCTGAAACAATTCATTACGGTCAACACGTTTGCAAAGCGGAATCCACTGACTGCAACTGCAGCGACAAACAAATAACAATGCGCGCATGAACGAAGATAGAGCAGTTTATTTAGAGGTCTCAAACGCCGCTCAGGGGGATCACACGCGTTTAAAGGCATCTGGGAAGCGGAAAAGGGCGTTTAGCCACTCGTACTACGTCGTAAGAAGTTACTGTTTATCCGTTACAAACTGCGTTGTCACAATTTCTTACCTGGATAGGTGATTATTAAATCGTGCACAAACAATATGGTAAAATAACCAGAGCAAGCGCACCAGTCTCTGCAGCATTACAAAAACAAAAAGTAACAAAAAAAATGACCGTGCAAACACTTTCCGAACTTTGCAGAAAAGATGGGGTCCCCATCCCAGACGAAAATAAAAAGAAATGGAGAACAGTCGTGAACAGCGGTCAGCGATTGCAACGAAGAAGTTAGGAGACGATACAAAAATACAAATCACCCAGCAAAGACCTCCTTCAGCGACGACGATCGCACGGGGCATCGGCTGAAAATTAGCAGGTGGTGCTCGCCCTCGGTGTTGAGTCCAGAACAAGCAAAGCAAAAAATACACAACAAAACTATAAAAAAAAAAAAAAAAAAAAAGAGCTTAACTTTTTTTTTTTTTTTTTTAGCTGCATGTTGCACGTTTGTTTATTTGCTTTCGCGGCGTTGGTAGGAACTAAGAACAAAAGAGCTGCAATCTGCTACGTGCTAGCAGTGTGTGACCTTTTTTGCTTTCGCTTTTCTTTTCCCAGTGACTTTGGGAGGTTGTTTGTTTGCTCACTTGGCGCAGCAGTTCAAAAGTACATTCCAGTATACTTGTTGGCGTGCATGTCCAGGCAATCCTTTCACACCGTGCCTTTTTTTTAGTGTCGATCAGAGGCCTAAAGTGCGTTTTCAGCTGAACTTTTGTTTGGTGAAATATTCGTCTGTTGAGGCGTCAGTGGCGATTTTGAAGCCAAACTTGGATAGCTGTTCCAGTTTAATTTGAAGTAACTTAATTACTCACGTTTATTCGGTCTTCGAGAAGCGGAAGAAGGATTTTTCACCACATCAGAAAAACTGGTTTTTGCAGTGGAGATGGCCGGCACATGGCACGACTGCCATCTCCCAAGTATGCGCTAATGTATGCCCGAAGGCAGTCGGTTGATAAACCAACGATGACTCTTAGCAGACGTGACCGCGTACTCAAATAAAATCCAAATAGAAATGTATAACGAGCTTACACTCCTTAATATATTTATTAAGTATCAAAATGTACATATGAAGATTTCGGATCAGAAACTCAATCGAAGGCGAACATAGGAGGTTATTATAGACGACAGTGGAAAAACAACAACAACAACAAAGTTGCAGACGGCCCTCCAAACGTCTGGGCATAGCGTAGCAGACGAACCGGTGGTAGTAAGCGACGAAGCGAAGGAAAGAAAGTAAAAACTATGCCAAACAAGACAAAGCAAAATACGCGATGGTTCGAACGTCAAGTAGGCGCAAGAAAAAAGCAAGCAAAAGACATAAACGCAGGAGGAAGAACGACCGCGGCGGCGTAGCATCGCCTCTAACATAAAAAGAAAGTAGACTTTGAAAAATGGGAGGTGCACGACCGTCCATCGGCTGTTCTCTTTTGTAACTAGGCTTTTATTAATTTCAGTAATAGCATCAGATTTGCATGCGCACAATCGTCTTTTTCCAGAGCATACTGACATCGCAGTAAGGTACGTTGTTCAAAATTGCCTTTTGCTTCTTTATCCGGAGACGATCGGGATATAGCCAGCTCGCTATTGGACGAAACGGTTTTAAGCAATACAATCATGAGAAATTGAAATTGCAACAACAAAAAGAACTGATCGATATGCACAATAAAGTTGAAACGTAGCAATGTTCTAAAACATTTTTTACATTACCCTTTTCAAAGAAACAGGGCGAAGGTACATTCGTGTCTTGCCTGGCAGACATAAGTTCCGAGTCTTCTGGCGGAATGTTCTCTTCGGGAGAGCCCGATAATTGCACCCTACAAGCTGTAACATCTTTCCCTCGCGAAGAAAATGTCCTTGACTCGTGAGGTGGAACCTATTTTTTAACATTCAAAGCAGCGAATAACCGTGACAATTGTTTTTCATTGCTCACCTCGCACGGAGATAGGCAAAACCAATGCATTGTGGAGAATTTGTCTGCTAGCGGAGACTCCGAGCTCGCCAGGGGCGCTGCGATCACTTTTCGCCCGTGATCCGCGGGAGTTGCCAGTATTGGCTTACATGGTATTTGCTTCAAGGTTTACTTGAGTTCAGGAACATTATCGACATCAATTTAGGTTTACTCGAGTTCATGAAAATATGGTTTGCTGACAAGCAGGTGCAGCTAGGTTTCTCTTACCTTTCTAGAAAGCTGAAAGGTTTCCAGCTTTTTAGTAATGGGTAAATACTAAATGAAGCAGTACCCCCTACCGTATTTACACAAATCTAGGTCGACACATATTTAAATTTTTTAAATTTTGAAGTGGGGTCGACTTATAGTCGAACCAAAACATTCCACAGCCGACAAAAACGAAACAATCGCAAAATCAAGAACACGTCGGCTTGTTACGAGTTCATGTTGTACCTGTAGCATTGCACTATTCTGTGCGCTCATTTTACAAATTCATTTTACAGCGAAGCTGTTATGCGCTAGGATTTGGGAAAAAATGTGTCTGCGGATGTTGACAGAAAACTCCCCATTGGTCGTGGCAGGTATGAATAAATAAAAATAAAAAGAGGGGGCAGCCAGCGTGAGTCATCCTTCCTTGGCATTATTAGATAGTGAGGTCTTGATCCCTTGTTACCGTCTCTAGGCATCGTCCTAGAAGTCGTCCTCGAGGTTGTCCTAGACGTCATCCTCTGGGCATTGTCCTCTAAGCACCGTCCTAGACGTCGTGAAAACAACAGCTTCGCTGGTCCTCCATCTTCATGTAAAGTAGAAGGGCTCTACAATTTTTTTTTTTATTTGCGGGAACGAGTATTATGATAGCGATTCGCGAATTTACTCGAATTTTCGGCGGTGAACAGCGCACGGCGCGCCCACTCCCGGGGGTCGGGCGTGCCGTGCGCTGTGGCGGCACTTCTTGTAAGAGCCACTCCAGAGACCGCTGGATCAGCGTCTCGGCTGACTCGCTCACTCCGAATGATTCAAGGTCGTACGTCCTTCGATCGAGTGTCGAGATCGTGCTAGAGAGCTAACTATGTTTTTTGGTATTGACATGCGTCATCCGGGCAGTTTCAGTTTTCGGTGCTCGTTTGTGGCCATTCTTCACCCAGAAGCAACCAACTGCACTCTTGGTTGCAAGTTCGACCTGTCAGAGCGGTTGATGCTCCAGCGGAATCTGCAGTGGCGCGGGATGTTAAAGGGGCACTGACACCCCAGAGGTCATATTTCTTTTTGTTGTTGTTTAAAACGATGCAAGTTCTAGTCATGGACGCGCAAAAAAATAGTGCAAAGCAAACACAAATTTTTTTACGCGCGTGCGCGCAGTTTTATTTTTGACATTTTTCTCTTTTGCTTTTCACATCCTCGCTTCTTTTGATTTGTGACGTCAAATATCATGAAATTAAGAAGTGTTGTAGGCTAAATTTCTACAACATTTAATAACAGCATTTGTGAAACGTGTTTTTTAATGCAATTGCGAGCGCACTACAGCCCTTCTTTATGAAATACCGAAAATCGGAGTCTGGTGTGATGTCGTCTCCTGGCTTTTTATCCTCCCTCGATAAACATGGGGGCCCTCGACGCATGTAGCACAGGATGATCGGTGAGTCGTGGAATCGGACGAAGTGGTCTTTTTTAGGTGCCCGACGACCTCTCGGACTTCGAAAAGGAAATGGTCAGGCGGTCAGAACAACTAGGTTTGGTGTCTGTGTATCATAGTTTTGGTTGTGACTCCGCTGGGGCAGCCTTTCATGCAGAACCGGCGCGACAATAGATACTTTGTCGTCCTCACGTGTTCGCAAAAAAATGTGCATCTAAAGATTTTTTTTATGTGCAATGTGGGGAATCGATTTACAATTGTGTAAATACGGTACATATCAATATACTCGACATGGAAAAGGTTGTGATGCAAAAGGTGGCGATGGAAATTTATGTAGGTGTTGCATAAACCAGGCCCCAATACAGACCCTTGAGACATTCTGCAATTAAGGAGTTTAGGTTGCTCTTACAATTAATAATATTAATTATATCCTTACTCATAATAGGACTCTTATGACAGCCGAGTCTTACCATGCCAGAATTAGCTCAGTTGAAAAAGAGCCATTTATTTCCCTTTGTCTAAATTTCACTAAAAGTCTTTTATGCAAATCTAATCATTCCCATTGGTTTTGTATTCAACATATTCTTTATTACCTCCTTTCACTTTAGTGGCCGATACGCTGAATGGACACAAATGTTTCTCTGGATATCTTGGCATTTTGCTCGAAAGGGCATTTTGCACTTTTGAGCAGGCAGTTCGTGGCATTTTGCCCGAAAGTGCGGTCAAACAGGCCACACAAAGGTTGAATGTCGGAGTTTCCAAGTGCTTTTCCTTGTCAATATGTGTACATTTTGGCTTTGTGATATGTAGAGATTTTATTTGCTGGCAATGCTGAAATCTATTAGAGTAACATTGTTTCTTACCCACTTTTGTCTTGGTGGTTCCTCTACATAAAATTTTCTTACCCCCCCCCTAGTAAGAGTATTTTCAGAATATGCCTTAGCTTATCCTTAGAAAACAGAACTCTAATTTCTTCATTCGTCCTTACATTATCTGAATGCACCTGGACTGGTTTATGACCAAATATTTGATGAAGAGGTGTGTGATAAAGAACCAGTGATGTTGTCCAATCATCATTTCCTTAATATCTTTGTTGTACCAAACATGTATAGATCATTGAACGTACTGCAGTAACAAGCAGTCACCTTTAATTTTGTGTTCCACGTCTAGATTCAATGCAATTCTGCTAAATGTCGACTTTCAAAATCCTCCCAATTTTTTATTTTTTAGGCAATAATTGAAGGTTGAAGGACTGATGACACTTGGGCATATTACTAAAAATTTCAAAACATTGGATAGGCTGAAACTTGAAAGATTCTACGGAGGCACTATGGCACGACAGCCTCAAACATTTCTGAACAACCTTTATCACGTTTAAAGCATAATTTCAATACTTTATATCTGTAACACTGTTGCACACCATTACCAGGTCCTCTAGGCTACTTGCGGCAACAGGGGGCATATTAATGGACAGTGCAACTGCAGCGATTGCGACAAACAGCTTTTTTCTACGAGCGAAAACCCCGACGCCGCAATGTAACGCTCGGTCGCAACGAGATAAACTCGCGCAAGATCCTTGCGTCGAGGAAAACGAACGAAGTTCAAACGTTTGGCTATTGTGCTGACAGGCCACATGTCGTCTTGCATCTGGGAGAACCCTTTGTGTTTCCTTGCTGCCGTAAAGTTTGCAGGCAGATGGCGAAGGAAGCACGTTTGACAGCGAGTCGTCGAGCATCATCAAGCTGAACAATGGCACGGTGCTGTACCTGCAAGAGGTGAACAGGTTCCTGGCACTGGTCTGCATACTCAGGGAGGAGAACTTCGACAAGCAGGGTGAGTGTCAAGGGAAAGCATGCGCTTTGGTCTCGGGGATGAAAGGGAAACAACGATATGAATTGTTGCTTTCCCTTTACACAACAGGAAAGACTCGTTTGCCGAAGCAGCTTTTGGAGCGGGTGCCAAGCACAACTCGGTCATAGACCCTTTATTTTTTGGGGAGAGAATGGAACGAAGGTTTATTTATTTCTTCACCCCATGCAATGTGAGCGTGGCCAAGGGAAATCGTGCACACCCGCCCGAAACTGCGTCTTCGAACGGGTCCTTTCTATCAACGCAGAATGTGTTTTATCGACCGAATTTCACAAATATTTCTAACGATTTACAGTCGTGTCTCAATAATAGGGATACCCCTTATATGGACACCATTTTCGGAGACAAACGGGAAAAATATGTGCGTTCCTGTCGTTATTATGGACAACTGACATTGTGGCCGATTTTTGGGGGGGAACGGAGCTGTCCATACTAGCGAGAAATCGCTGTATTGTAACATTTCCTGCAACGGAAAACCAACATTGGAAAGCGTGACATCCACCAGAGTAATATGAAGTGGATATGCCCATAGGGAGCCGTACGAAAAACTTGAAAGAAAAAATTCTCTGGCAGGATTTGACCCCACAACCATGTGATTGTGAGCTAAGTGCTTTACTGACTGAACTATAGAGAGAAATGTTTTTTTCTTTATTGTTAGTGAAACACACATTGGGACTAAAAACGTCACATGCCCTGCTCAGTGCCATTGGAAATAAAAGAAAAAGAGACTGAACTATCGAAAGGAGGTGTTTACGCCAACCTCCATACGAGGGGAAAGGAACACGCAGTGCCTGCACTGTAGGTATATACAAGGTGCGACGCAGGCGAGTTTTCTGGTTTTTCCATGACCACGGTGGAAGAGGGAGGCATCGAAGCGAGGTCAGAAAGGAGGTCAAAATTCCACCCCGCGAGTGCGCGAGGTGGGGGGAGGGGAGGGGTCACGCTCAAGGACGGTCGGATTAGATGCGACTCTGTCACATCACCTCTGACCGTAGAAAAAATCGTAAAGGTCAGGCGAGCTGGTGAATATTAATCATGTTGAATTAACTTGAGACTGGGGTAGAGAAGAAACACCAAAACGTAGAAGGGACAGAAAATAGACAGGACGACATCTCTGACCGTTCTTGAGTGGGACCACACTTCTGTCATGCCTTGGATTAGTAAAGACAGCGCGCTTTGCGCTAAACCTGTCACGGTGTTCTGTCCCTTGCAGTGGCCAAGAGCAGGACACAACAATTATTTTTTGCATTAATGCGATAGCGCCGCAACCGTGGCGACAAAACATCGCATCGGCCCTTGGACGATGGTGCCACTGTGCAGTGGTTTGGTCAATCCTCGCTGGCTCTCGTCTCCCCCTCCGTGTGAATGTGCCTGGGAGCCGGACGATCCGCGGACGTGTCGTTTTGTGATGAATCCGTCCATGAATCATTTGGCGCTATGGCGGCTGCCTTTTCAACGCAAGAACCGGGAAAGCAAACGCACTGGGCAGGAAATTGGCACGTTTTCCTATGGGAGCTCGGCGGGACTGGCGCTTCTGAACGTAAAAGCTGGGAAAATGCAAAACCCAGGAACGTATCGTCGAGGCTTCACTGTACTTGGAAAACGTCCGGGGTGTTTTTTTGGGGGGTATCTCCAGTTTTCATGAAACCGGCTTCAGGGTTATGTATATTGCTTATTTCCATTTGTACAAATGATGGGGCAAGAGGAAAAAAAAAAAGCTTTAAAATGACGTTTGAGGAGTCGTCCCACCCATAGGCAGTTCGTGAGCTAACAGTTTGTACAATGAATGAACAAAAAAAAAAAAGTGCATTAAAACACTAAATTATATGGCAATTGAGGTAACAGTAAGACATTGCTACTGGAACCAGAACCGCGAGAGGTTCAATTACATTTGAGTATGTTAAAATGTTAAAAAAAGTTAAATTTTGCAACAACGTGCAACTTAAATCTTTAACATCAGAAAGAGTAAACGAAGGAACGGACAGGACGAGACATCTTTCGACTTGCAATGCAAGTATTTAATGAGAGGCAGTGGCGAATACCAAGAGCCCAAGGAGAGATGGAGAAATGGGGAAGAGGGAGGGGGTGAATCTCAACCGGTCCACCCGAAAGCTAACAAAGGAGGAAGAGCACAGAGAGGGCGAAGGAGAAAGGCATCAAACGGAGGAGTGCGGAAGGTTAGAGGGAAATTTGATGGCGAGTGCGTGCCCGAGTGGTTCAGTGGCTAGAGCCGTGCGGGTTGTCAAGGCGATCAACTGTGGCCACAGATGCTCGACGTCTCCCTTCAAGAGGGAAAACAAGGGATCAGAGTGTCGGATTGCAAAACCCTCAGCTATCTCTCGCTCGTAGCGATCACTGCTGGATCCCAGAACCCGGCCGAGGGGAACTGGGGTTGGCAAGATGGGCACACCCTACCACGAAGCGCTATAGGGTGCTGCGAGCCGGGCACCATCTTGGTGCATTCCCTCTCCTGCTCGCGCAACCTGTCATTCGGGCAAGGGCCCGTCTGCCCAATTACTCGCACCGTTTTATTCGGGTCCGGGGATTGTTAATCCGGCGGCACGTGGCACCCAATTGAAACTTGATTGGGTGCCACGTGAATAGGAATTTTAAGTCTTTTGTTGGGTATATCGTTCCGAAACTACGAAACCCCATTTATACCAGTTTGTGCAGGAGCCCTGAGGTGATGGTCTCTCTCGCGCTCCTCTGCAGGGCTGATCGACTACAACTTCCAGTGCTTCCGGCAAGCTATCCACGAGGTCTTCGAAGTCCAGTGCCGGGTCTCGCAGGCAGCCGGAACCCCGGGCTACAACTCCGTCGACCTCAACCTGAGCAACGGGTACCCAGAGACGCGGTGAACTCAACTCCTCGACCCCACCCTCGTGTACATACAGCCCGCTCCGGCCGAGAGTGTCGACGCCGCGGACACAAGTCGGAGCCCCCGTTAGCTTTTTTTAGTGCGTTTGCCGCTTCACCCCCTTCTTGCGGAGGGCCAGACGGTTGAACCCACTTCTGGTTACTAGAAAACAGAGCTTTAAAAGACGTGTTTTAAGAGTGTATACGAGAATGGATAGTATCTTTGCCCCACCTTATTTAATTGAAGGGAAAGAGTGGAATTGCGACGATTGTGAGGCTTGCAAATAAAGCGTGTGTTGGAGTGAGATCTGGTACCTCTGTCCAGCGGGAGATGCAGCCAGCATGTCCATTCAATGCCTCGGTTTCATACATGGGTAAATTACTTTCAAAATGTAATTTAATTACAATTACAATTACTTAGCTCCAAAAGTAGTTTAACTACAATTACAATTACTACTACGCAAAAGTAGTTCATTGCAATTACAAATTACTTTTTAAAAGTAATGCAATTACTTTACAATTACTTATTTCTGAGAGTTACCTTCCACATTGGGCCATATAACTGTAAACGAGTTATATGGCCGCTGTATAAATGACACGCATTGTACTTTCCTTTTATGAATTTTGTTAAATGGATTATAGAACTTAATAGTTTGGAGTAATGAACTCCTGCGTTCATATATTCTCAAAACATAAAAAATGGCGACAAAATTCACAGGTGCGAGGTGAATCTCCTTAGAGCGTATGCAAATGGTATCCAAGTCAAACCAAGAAAAAATAAACTTAAAAATAATACAAGGAAACAAATATGCGACAGTACTGGTATAATAAAGCTCACGTAAAAATGGCTAATAAGAGAAACTTGTAAACGACGTCAAACATTTAAAGGATACGACAACTTATGAAAACATTGCAGCCATGATGATTCGCTGCCTCTCCCTGTCTGTGGACTTGTAACATGCCGGATGTGGGTAACCGTAGCACACGAACTGTGGTTGCTTCCACAAAACTAGTGTCACAATAGCAGCAACTCTATTGCCAGGGATTCTGGGTTAATTCAGTGCACGGTAACACCCAAAAAGCTCCTGAGATAAATAATAAATTTAGGATCGTCATGTAGCTAATCATTAGGATAGCAATGATTGTATCGATGTTGTGCGTCTCATAAAGAAGGCCGATTTGAATTTAGCATGGCAAGAACAACCTCGAAAAATTCATGATACACTGCAAACGACTTTATTTTCGCGAATTTCGCGAATCGCCTACAATTCGCGAAAAAAAAATGTAAACACATTGGAATCTATATCGCGACCGCACCGCGTCGCGAAAATTAGAATCCGCGAATTATTCCAAAACTGAGGCCTCTTGGACGCCTCGATTTCACAATTTACTTGAGCGTGTTTCAGCTGGAAGATATAGACGAGCTATTATTATTATTTTTTTATAACTAAGTATTATTCAAAGTAACAAGAAAGTTGCCTACCTGCAAGTGTTTCCGCAAATTGGAGGTCGCCTTTCGGTTTATTGAATTTGTTTTCAGAAACGGTCCGGAGAGTTTGCTCCTCACGATTATAGTTTTTTACATTGGTGCTAATCTGTTTAGAGAATTTTTCGCAGCAAGGCCCCGGCAGCCTTTCCTTTTCCATTGTAGATAAGACTGTTGCAGCTTCTCAATGCAAAGCAGCACTGCGTGCCTCGGGGCGGTTCCACAGGCCAAGACGAGAGGACAACGCGTGGAGGGTCACGATAGAGGTGTAAAAACAAAGTGCAAGCCAAGCCCTCTATAAAAAAAGAAGCCTTCAACGAACAACAAATGCAAAAACAAGCTCCCTACAGCTAAAGCCGCGATTTGTAAGTTTTGGAATCTCGTCCAATCAGGCTGACAAACGGTTGAAAGGGTTAGGGAGAGCGAACACTAAATAATGAAGATTTATACAAAAAGGTAGACGAGGATTGGGAGAAGGAAGAGCAGTGTAGCAAGAACAGTTGGAAGTAAGGCAGGGTGAGTCGTGTTAATGAGACCTGCTGCTTCTTTACTTCTTCGCCTCGATGTTAGAGTAGCACGACTTACTGTTAGTGGTATCAACATACGAGATAGAGGAGAAGGACGTGAAAAACTCATAAAGAAAAGAGAATAATTTCATGAACAAAAAAGTTCCAAACTTGACTGAAATAAGTAAGCGAATATGCTAGCGGCGAAGACGCGTAAGGAGAACCTCGAACCTCCCCGCCTCGACCGGATGATGTGATCGGAGCCAACCAGCTCGACTTCGACCTCCGATGCCCCCGTGTGGGAATGAGAAATAAGAAAGACCCCTAGAAGCAGGAGCAACAGGAAGCAAACGAGACGAAGAGTCAGATTCAACTACGACAGGAACGAAAACGGACGCGAATGTTGCCCTCATTTATCAAATTATTTTTCAAATTCTTCATTAAATCGTTTTACAGTCTACAAAATCCTTCATTCCGTTCTATCCCAGCCTTTCTTTCCCATCCCTCTTTTCCATATTTTTTGAGCAGGTTGGGAGACACTCTCTCCCCTGTCGCTTTGGCTGTGCTGTCGTCTCCGTGGCCAGGGGGGAAAAGCGCCGCCGCCACAAACTCTTGCAAAAGTAATTGTAATTGTGCCTGAAATTTAGCAATTACTGACGCTAGAAAGTAATTAAATTACAATTACAATTCCTTTTAGCCAAAAGTAATTATTACAATTACAAATTACCAGGAAAAGTAATTAAATTACAGTAATTTAATTACCGTAATTGAATTACTACCCAAGTATGCTCGGTTTGCTGTTGCGGCCTTGGATAGAGCCATGGACGTCTCTGCGGTGGCTGTCATTAACGCTATTAGACTACCATTCCTTTATTGAACGGGCACCCGAAAAAGAACTCTGCCTGACAGCAAATCTGTGGCTTTTGGCTCGACAGGTATAGACTGTACCGCAGAAGCTCGAGTGATTGCGTGTCAGCGTAGAGATTGTGCTTTTGTTGTACAGTCCCGAAGGACCCGGGCAAATATCGAGCGTTCCTCCTTACGACGAAAACGACGCATGTGTAGCTGTGCAACAATGAAAATGGGAGACCAGCGAAACACAAACCCGAGATGTGGCGGGAAGGACGGTTCTTGAGAAGCGACTCGCTGACCGCCTTAAGTGTGAATGTCAGTGGTCAAACGTCGCTAGTTGGAAAGCGCGACCAGCGAGATTTGCAAGTGCGAAGGCACCTTTAGACAGTGTGCCTTGCCCGAAGGAGTTTGTTTTGTAGTGCATTTGAGCTGTACATAGCGCCGAAGGCTGGTTTGTGCATTTGTGTGTGACCTTCGGTGGTATGAGGTGTGTTCACACGAGAAAGAGGTCCTTTTTTTTGCTCCTCGGGATGTGCAGCACGTGGTAACAATGTCTCGCTTTTGCACGTAGCTGCACAGACGTAAACATCCCGAGAGAATGGCGGAGCTTTTGCTCGGCTGCACAAACCTGCCTTGGCGTGGGGTCTCTTTGCAATTGGCGGTACATTGTTTGCATGTCTGACAACTTTACAGATCTTGCTCTGCAAGATGGCGGTGGTGGTGTTGGGATCGCCCAAATAGTGGCTTGTGCTGTTGCGCATGTCGTTGAAGGCACCCGAAGAAGTCTTAGATATTCGTCAGTTGTCCTCAATCCGCTCCTCGTACAGCTGGTTCTTGATTCCACATACCTCGTGTTGCATCCACCCTCTCGAGAAGCATCTTTCTTTTAGCAGGAGGCGTTTCGTCGTCTTCTGTAGCAGCACTGCTGCCGTAATCACGCATCGCCGTTTCACGTACGCCTCCATTTTTTTACTCGTCAGCACACACCAGGCCATTGTTGAGAGTGCAACCGCTAAATGCGTCTGACAACGCTGACATCCCTCTCAGCTCCCCGCCGTTTGTGTAAATGCTCGAGTCGGGGAGCGAGTCCCGCTGGTTCCGCCGATCGCCGACGTCAAGCACATTTCTCCCCGAAAAGCATCTCTCGTGTGAATACCCCTATAACCGCTTACTTGGTGTTGCCATGGCAACCGAAGTCTGCCATAGCAACAATGAAATGTGGCAGTAGAATTCAAGGTGCTCTATCTTAGCAAGTCACACTCGAATGCAACTGAGCCAGTATTTAAGTATCGTCCAAGTTTGTTGACATGCGATATGATCTTACCTTTTGGAACGTGGTTAAAGGACCGAATGCTTGTGTTAAAGGGTCACTGACAACCCCAGTATCAATACTTTTCTTATGCGGAGTGCAAGTTCATCAGCTTCTTTTTGCAGGGGTTAGGGTGACGTCCAAAACACCAAGACTGATTGGCTTTGATTGAAGGATAGTGGGTAGACCTCAAGACAGCTTGCTTTGGGGTCTACCCACTATTCTTCCCACAGAGCCAATCTGAGCTCACTATTCTAACTGTGCTTTGTGCAAAAAGCAGACGAACTTGCGCTCTGCACTGCCTTGAATGCTTGATGTGTTATATAACTCAGCAAAAATGTCATTGCAAAAAAAACATTCCTTAGTATGAGAAAGAGTCCATAAAAAATTTCAGCCTTTCCACTCTCGTGAAGAAGGAAGACCAGTGGAGCTGTACTACGGTGGAATTTAAGTATTTATAATAAATGTAAGGATTAAGGTGTGATTGGGTAATTGGTTATGCGACAACCGTACTGTCCCCGGTTGTCTTTGTTATACCCCATCAACCGCCAAAGGCTCGTGAACGAGAGTCAAGGCACCACTAGTCGTTCCTCCACCACGTTCAACCTCGGTAGGTGCTCCGGTACGGGTGGGTGCTTGTAGCCGTTCACAGTCGCGAATCGGGGCACCGCGCCTTTCAGCAGGGAATCTCGGCCTGCCTGCACGCCGGTTCTTAGTAGACGTCCGCCGACTCGATACACTGCTGCAACGCACACGCGCCCATTTCCCAATTTTTTTTGTCCGATACGCCACCGATCGTGGGTGAGTCTACGGTGAACCAGAGTCGGTCGCACGCGGCGCACGCATACCTGCCAACAAATCTTGCGAAAAAAAATTTTTTTTTTTTTTGTAAAACCGTTGTTGGCAGTACCTTGCACCGCCACAAGAGGGCGATAGGTACTGTCGACGGCAGCGTCCTGGTTTTTACTCTTCGTCTATCCGGTGGCCACGGGTCCAAAACCAATCCAAAGCCCAAAGCCTGTGTTTGGCGGCGCACATTGGTTTGGCGTGTTGGGCCTCGCCGTTTCGGCTTTTTGGAAAACTTAAGGGTGTCGCAATTTGCATAATTTCCTGTCTGCAACAATAAAAGGAATATAGTATATTAATGTTGGGTGGTTAGTGGCCCTTTGTGGCTCCACTAAGCAATTAGAAAATAAATATATTTCAAGGAATTCTAACATTTGCAGTAAGTTACCTTACATCTGTGTGAAACAAAAGGGCAGATGAGGCTAAAGCAATTGAAACATAATCACCAAAACTTGAATGAAAATACAATATGTAGTATGAGTACTGTTAATCATGAAAGCATCTTGTGTTGCACACTTCTTTGCTGAAGCTCATACCTTGAGACAATCTTCGAGGCGTCAAGCGTTCCACTGCACATCAGTGATGACTGTATACCATGGTACGACAGCGCTAGTTTTGGTAGAACCAAAAACAGCCACAAATTTGTTGCTTTTTGAAATAGGTATGTTTACTTGAAACATGAATTGTACATCCATACAAAAGATAACACTTTTAAATTTATTGCACCCTCCAACATGATCAAAAACCACCCCTGCCAACCTGGGATGATAAAAAATAATGCATTCGTGGCACTAGAATGCTTTGCACTTGGTTCAAAATATATATGTGCACAAACTCTTAATTGCTGCACAGAAACGAAGGTATATAAACTAACAGATATATAAAGTTTTTTTCTTATTTTATGCAACATAGTACTTTCTCGTAACTCCAAAGAAATTAAAAAATCCACGAGACGAGGCACATAGAGCAATGTTGGTTGTGAATACTTTCATGACCTGTGGAGACTAGCAGTTCTGCTTCCGGTTCACTCGCACAGAAACCTCAGATGTGAGTTTGTTTGCAGGACAAATGCAATTTCTTAATCATCGACCCTACTCAATAAAGCAAATACACAGTCACAACCTAAATAGAAAGGGGAACTGGGCTCAGTGGTGTCACGAGGGTCAGCGGCACCCAGGGCGCTAGCCCGCCGCGACCCCCCCCCCCCCCGCTTTCGTGGCCCGCCGCGACACCCCCCTGAGCCCTACACCCGGGGCGGTCCCCCCCCCCCCACTTGTGACGCCACTGACTGGGCTCACTGACATGTAACATTCTCCAAATCCATACTACAATAGCAAAGTGTACTATATGATAACTGTTGTGTCTGAGGGTAACCTTGACGCCAAACGTCCTACGCCAACTACGGAAGTCTTTTTTCCCTACTTCAGTGATATTTGCTGTAGAATTACATTTTAAAAAAAAGAAGCTGCCAGTTTTCTACGATTTCATTTACTGGACGAAGTACGGCCATCTTTGGACAGCTACCGGAAACACTGCACACCTTTAGTTTCTGTAAGATGCATCTTCTGTACTTCTAAAGTAGTTGTGGTCACAAGACACTCGGAATGGATCTCAAGCACCCAGGCAAGTTCATTTTCCCCCTAGTAAAAGTGAACCTGTAACGCTCGGCCAACTTCAAAACGGCAGCCTCCCCCCCGGAAAGGGGCAGAGACTGTGACGTATACCTCTTCAAAAATGCACACGCACGTTCGCACAATAACGGCATTCTTTCGTCCAATGAGTGCGGGCAGATGGGGCTAGAACTGGACGCGTGACCTTCGAGAGTCATGTGACGCGGGATTGGCCGGGGTGGCTCGTAGCGTCCGCCGTGTTCTGTCGTAAGGTGAAACGGATTGTGGCAGATACCTGTCAACCGAAATTCCGGAACTCTGCTCCCAATGTAAACAAACTATGGCAAAAGTACGCCATCCGAACCAACGCCTTCTAGGGAACGAGGCTGCGGTGTCGCATTTTTTACGTAACCTGCCGGAGGTGAATGCGAAGCCCGGACCGAACGCAGTTGCTGCGTTGAGATATGGCTGGAACCCCCATTCTCACTCACCAAACGTCCAATCTGTGCTCTGCACCGATTGGACGTTTGCGAGGCGACCTAAAAAATGTAAACAACACGGCCCCGACGCCTAGGACGTCGTCCAAACCCTCGCGGCGGCGAGGCCCGACAGACCGATCCCAGGACGTAACAAAACGAATGTGGCGTAAAAACCGACACGGACGAGCCACCCCCTCAACCCTCCGGCTCGGCCGGCGACGCGCGGACGGCCAATCCGAAGCCGGAATGGACGGCTGCGGATCGAGAGAGCGGGCCTCCGCGTCAGCCCTTGGTGGCGTGCTGCTGCTGCGCCTCGTGGCAGAGCCTGGCGAGGAAGTTGTGGAGCACCTGGTGCCACAGGTTGGGGTTGTCCAGGTACGCCGGGTGCCGGCCGTGCGGGATCTCCACAGCCGTGCTCCGGGGAAGCAGGTGGAGCAGCGCTGAGCTCGTGCTCCGATCGTGCTCGCCAAACACGACCATCGTGGGAACCTGGGTGGAGAGACGAGAGGAGTCGAGCCGTGGAACTGTCGACGGCAGTGGCGAAAACCGGATGACGTTCCCTTCCTCGCAGACTATGTTACCGCGAAGGCAAGATGCGGTTAGTCTGAACATGAAATTCATGCTTTTTACGACGATGACTGTTGTAGGGACTTCCAGCTGCATTCGCGGTGTAGGCGTTGCGCCAGGCAGAATACATAGTTTAACGTGCGCTCGCGCGTGGGGCACTTTGTGACACCGGGCAAAGTGCACGCGCTTGTTCTGGCTTGGCGGCACTGTCTTCTACGGTTGGTGGGGAATGCCACCACACGTCCCTCACCGTAGAACTTGGTTTGCATGTACTGTCCGATGTACAGCAACCCACTGCTTGTAAAGGTACCGGCGTAAATTTATTCTTGGGCAGGGGTGGTGATTCATGTGTGCAGTGTGTTGATCACGAGGCTGTGTTGTGTGTGGGCGAGTAAATAAAGAGTGAATATGCTTGAAAGCGGGTTTTATACTACATGCAATAACAGCTATCACTGTCGCTTCTCCACACGCCGCAGCAAAAAGCTGCGGACTTTTAAATTTCACCACGACGAGCAGTTGTAGTAAATTAGTGAGCACAGGAAATTTTAACGCTCTGTTCGAAGCCCCGAATAAGCGCTTCCCGCCACACTAGTAGTTTGGGTGGCAGCTATTCAATTCTAAGAGAAAAACGGTAAAACTGGCAATCGCTTGTTTGTGCTAATTGTGCCGTAATGTTTACCTGTAGTTACAAAGGGGCTCAAACTCTCAAATCTTTCTCCAATTTGAAGAAAAAAGGCAGAACAAAAAGGCATAACCAAGCTAAGCCACCGAACATAGCGGTGGCTTAGCTTGGTTATGCCAGGGTACGTAGCATGAGCTTATGCGCACAAAATGAGAGGTGCTATCAAGTGGCTCCGGTGCAGCGTCAGACTTTGCTGCTGTGCAACGGAGGCGCACAGCTGGGCACGCAGTGGTGCCAGTGCGTCTGCCGCGGCTATGACGTCACTCCTCTAGAATGCGCAGGCCTGCGAGACGCTCGCGACGACGGCAGAGCGGGCGGCGGCGGAGCGTGCGGCAGCAAAGTGCGCTGCAGCGGAGCGCGTTGCGGCTCCGGCGCGCCAGCTGTGCGCCGTGTGAAGTCACTGCTCCTCGCGCATGCGCAGCACGGCTCTTTGGGAGCCACGCAAAACTGCTCAACCTTAGCCAGTGTAGCGCAGGCTACAAAACTAAGGTGTTGTTTGGCAAGACTCCACCTTCCCCCACAGCAGCAGCGGCAAGAAACAACAACAAAACAAAGTTTGCATCTCAGCAAGGACCTCAAGATAGAAAAATTATACCATCAATTTACAACTTAAGTATCTGAAAAATCAATAAAAAGATTGTGAACACAGAACGCACATTTTCCACACTCTCACATAGAATGTTTATATTATTTTTCTCTACAAAAATTTAATAGACGGGGAAGGGTGTTTTTAACATTGGATCACCATAAAATGTTCTGGAGCAGGGATGGGCAGTATTTCAAATACAATTGGGTAATGTATTTGACGTGGGCATTTAAATACTAAAACGTGGGTATTTCAAATACACTTGTAATTAAATACAATTTTGCGGGCGAAAATACATCCTGTTTTTATGCATGTGGTTGTAAGATATAGTCTCCATCCTTTATTCGGCCATGGGGCTTTTTTCTTTTTCTCCTCCGGCTTTATTTTAAAGACACTCTCCAGAGCAGGAAGAAAACTATGTTCTGCACTGAATGCAGTGTCTCTCAATCAAGCACAAGCGTTTAGTGACTTTGATTACGGTGCTAGTCCAGTGCAGATTAGCTAAATAAGTGCCTGTGACAACTTTTGATGCTTTCCAGCCTGATTTACATTCATATTTTTGCCTGGAACATTCTAAATGTGCGGATCGTCCAGATTTTCGTAACTGGTGCGAGTTGCAGCAATAAAAAATTCTTTAGCTAGTGCTGCGCGTCTTGGTCGTCTAGGTTCTTTGTTTGCCTATACCAAAATGTAATCGGCAAAAAGCTGCTTGAAGCTCTGTACTTTTTTCACCTATTACGTCCAAGCTGATTACATTTTTTTGTGATTATATTTCTATTACGTTACTAGAGCCTCGCACACTAACTCCCCAGTGTGCGATGCAAAATTAAAATGAGATACCCAGAAACCCGTTGCAGGTGTCCAGAAGTGGCTGACACAAATTTTGAGGAATGTATTTGGAGAAGCATTTGGAGGAGACCAAATACATTGGGATGTATTTGTATCTTGTACTTAAATGCTTTTCTGGAAATGTAATTAGATTTGTAATTAAATACATTTTTGACGCAGTATTTTGTATCAGTATTTCGATACATATTTGCATGTATTTTGCCCATCCCTGTTCTGGAGTGAGGCACAAACCAAGTATCCATACGGCAAGTGTTGTAAATCATTTCCCTAAACAAAAGGGTGGAAATCAATAGGAGCAGATTATCATTGTAATTGCAAGACTTTTTATATGTAAGAGATAATTTACAACTATAATAATTAGGAATTTATGCCGTATTGAGTTTATTAAAGAGTAATCTAGTGTGGTTATCGTAGCCAGCATGATATATAATACAAATGACTTTTCTAGAGGAAATGGATTTGTTTGATATTTGTTGAGGTTCTATTACCCCACACTAAAAAGCAATAATTAAATTGCACGTAAAAGAGTTGTAAATGAGTTTCAAAACTGAACTGGGTATTACTTATCTAAATTTGTACATGAAACCGACTGCCCTCGAAAGTTTCTTACACGTATGTTGAACCATTTTGTCCCAAGCCATAATCTGGTTAAAGAATACCCCTAAAAATTTTACGTTATCGAGTACAATCGACTCTTATTAATTCAAACTCTGTTAATTCAAACTTGCGGATAATTTAAACTTGTGTTCGTAGGTTGTCAAAACCTTAAGTGAATAAAATAAAACACCGTCAGCACATATAAAACTTGGGCACCAGCTCAGGATTGATAACAAAGCTAGAACGATGCTCACCTCCAAGCACCTGTTAACGAGCCGGGTCTATTTGATGAGGTGTCACTGTCGGAGCTAAAATTAGAGGATGTGACATCATCCTCTGACCCCTCACTACTTGTATCATCCACAAATTCTGCAGCCCAACGCAGCCGAATCACGCGACTGACGACGCCTTTTTGGAAGTGTTGGACGCGCGCATGTGGCCATTATTGACAAGATTTGGTTCCGTTTTGCGCCAGTGATTTGTTGCTGATAATGCGACACCTCGCGGGAAAAAGCAAACCTACACAAAAACTGAAACTAAAGTTCTTCAGATTTCCCCACGATGGCGCAACATGTTCCAGCGCGTTTAGAAGTTTAGCAGCACGTTTAATCTGTCGATCACACGTGATCTATGGCCTATGGGCATGGTAAGGAAAGAGTTAATGTTGCCTTCGGGTGACCTTCTGAAAGCTTGTAACGCAGAATTCGTTCAAGGGCTGGTTTCAAAGTTTATGGTCGGCGACAAGCCGAGAACTCGGTAGTACATGTGCGTCAAAGGGATCCTATCACTCTGTCAGCCGATCACTTCCACTTGTCTCCCAACGTCATTGACGTCATGACTTGATTGAGTCCATTCCGGTGACATAAGAAAGTTACCTGTAGTTGTATTCCGCAAAATTCGGCAGAAAGTCGGCCCACAGAGTTTAGCTGGCGACGAAGCGGCACGACAACGCTACGGCGACACAAATCCCAACTTCTGCTCCCTCAAAGGGACACTGACAGGGTATTCATGCTCGCCGAGGTTTTTGGTTGTACGTGACATATGAGAGCCCAACTACCCAGAACAGAATTTGCAGCTCGAAATTCGGTTTCTTTCCACCCGAAAACCGCCGATCGAGAACTGGCCGGTTTGAGTCGCGCTCACTCTCTTTTCCGTGGTTACGGGCCGAATTCTAAAGTTTCGACGCAACCACCAAATTTATTCAAAGTCGTGAATCATTGGACGCACACAGTCAATATTAAAAATAGAAAAGAATATGAAACCCATTTTTTGTGGCTTCCAAAAAGTTGCAAATACATTGATTGAAAAAAAAAAAGGTAGCACAGACAACCGGAAGCATTCAGTGCGTTCACTGCATAATTCTCAACATTGCGTCGTTTCGCGTATCGTGGGACCAGCGGTTCGCAGCGGACGACGGGCGTTGGACCTCTACTGCAGAACAGTCGTTCACGGTACCGGCGAATTCTGTCTTCCTTCAAAAAAGAAATTTTGGACCGATCAAAAGAACTGATATTCATCCCGTACGACACGCCCGACCAGCAAGCCGATTGCGCGATGACGTCGCCGAGTCGTCGTCTCTTCTCGAAGGTGAAGACATCGCTTGCTCAAACGTCAAGTACGAAGTGCGTACTTCGAGTTGAATACACACGTGTACGGTTTCTTTACGAGGTGCGAATGTGGTCTATGCTTGGTGCAGCTTGACTTCAAGCCGGGAGTGCATGTACTGAGGGGAAATCGACAGCAAACTTCCGACATACAGTCGACCTGCTTCATTACTATGCATGAAAGAGTTCCTTCAGTAGCTCAGTGGAAAGACGTCCGCTTCACACGCAGTGGGCACGGGTTCAATCCCTGGTGTTTTTTTTTTTTGTTTTTTTTGTCAAGCATTTTGCGATGTTTACATTTCTTTTTTTACAATTATCACTGAAAAAAACAAAAAAAAACAATTGTTGTGGACGATACATCGCTGAACTAAATGGTATGGGATTCCATTTTTGACACCTGCAAACTCAATGTAGTCACTTTCCACAAATGCAAGGAGCATATGAATCGGGTAGCGTCCGCTTTCCGAGCTTCGCGTAACTGTTCTACAGGAATTGTAGCCAGCCATTGATCTCGACCCGTTGATCTTTCGGAAACTTGTGCACTCTGCCGCACAATGCCACTTTCAGATGCAGGACATGTGAGGCAGCTCTTCACGCAACATCTTGGGAGCATTCTTTTCGGAGCCGATCACGGGAATTCACCACGGGCACTCACTACTAATTGCCAACGCTTAAATGTACAAAACAACTCATCTTGAAGTACAGAACAGCGAGCGGAACAAACATAACTGCAAAGGAATCGCACGGCGAATGAACGCAATTCGTCTGCTATGTGGGGAGGAAAAAAAAAAAATCCGCACGGTTGGTTGTAGCCACAAGACTTCCGCCACTCACTCTATCCTCTCCATTTCTCCGTGGGGTGCGGGAGGCGTTTTTTGGCTTTATTAAAAAAAAATGTGACTCTGTAGCAAAATATTAATTGGGTAGTATTCTGACACCATAATGAATAGCGTGACAAAAAAGAAAAAAAAATATTTTGGAGGGTGTCAGTGTTCCTTTAAAATGCGTTGCGCGTTAAAAGACAGACGCGAAACGAGCACTTGCCTCGATGCAGCTCAGGTTGGGTATGGTGTCGGGCAGGTGCACCTGGAGCGGGGTGTACACCTCGTTGCGGCCGATCCCCTTGCCGGAGCACGTCACCCCCAGCAGCACGTCCCAGCCCACGGGTGCCACGGGCACGAAGCCCGCCAGCTGCTTGGAGCGGCTCACGAGGAATGGCAGGCTTAGGCGCCCGCTCAGGCTCGGGCTCACAATCACCGGGTTGTGTAGCTGCAGCGCCGACAGCAGCCCCGCCACAAACTCCACTGGGTCCTCGATCTTGCCTGGAGGGGAGTTGCCAAAGCCTGCCCGGAAACGGGATGCGACAGTTACGTGGTGGAATTTAGATGGTGCACACGTCGTCTTTGTGGCGCGTCTGGTGCGACCGACTCTGAGCTTCGGACAATTAACGTTCTCCCAATCCGCCGGGGCTCCCGCCAACAAGTAACGTTGTTGCTTGTTGTATGTTGCGTGTTGTATATTACGTGTTGTATGCTGCAAAATTAACTGTCCCTGAAAAAAATACAGAACATTTTCAGCGCAATACTTACGTAGCAAACACAATTTTGAGCTAGGAGAAATTCCAAAAGATGCGCTTATATCGAGACATTGGCCTCAAACAAGAAGCATGTATCGAAATTGCAAATATAAGTTCCCCAAAATAAATATTGTATTTAAACATTTTTGGGGGGAGGGGAAGGGGGAGGCGGGGGAGTATTTTTTATAACATATGTGTCCTATCTAAGTACTTAAAAAACATTTTTTGGGCGGAGCTCATTGTCCCATTAGGTCTTCTCCAAATTGAAGCAACAAGCATCTGCGTCAGCAGCCGACTGCGGCTTGAGTTGCTTCCATGGGACTTGGTTCACTATTGACTCCAACTCCGAGGGCCCTTGGCCGCCTAAAAGAAATCCCGAGATCCCCCCCACAGACACTCTTGATGCCAAATAGGTTGCAAGTTTATCCATGTTGTCAAACGGGGCCAATTCGAAATAAAACACTGCACACTTTAGTCAAGATGAGAGAGACTGTAAGCATGGCTCACTCACTTTCGAAATGTGTCATAGCTAGACAAGTACTCGACCTCTCACCCGTCTTAGATCGTCAGTGCAAGTTGGATAAAAGAAAGAATTTGAGTCCTTAGGAAACCCGGCTTGAGAACCCTCCCTATAATCACGAAAAGCTCAAGAAATGCGAGATGTGTGTGAGGAGTACCATTCATCCAATCCAGTGTTGGGAAGTACACTGTACTGTACTACTTCAAGTAGGTTTAGAAAACTTGAACTTTACTTGAAGTACATTCTCTGAATGTACAAGTACTTTATTTAAAACATTTTTTGTGGTACTTTTTCGGGAAAGTACAACTTCAAACTTTAAAGTACATTCTCCAAATTCAAAGTAAAAAAGGGTGTATCGTCATGTGAAAATGCGCTACCATCTTTCGAGACATTGTTTGGTCACTTCTCCGAATGGGGTAGTAACGACTATGAGACCGACAGAAGATCCCCGATATGCACTACGTGGAAGTGCCAAAGCATAAATAATCACTTTGAACTATTGCAACATTTCAACAGCCACAAAAACGAGTGCGTGCATGTAGCAAACCGAACAATCAGTCGAAAGTGTTGGGCCTGCGTCAGATCCACAGCCCTCAGGTGGCATGATAAGTGCGATGCAAGTGTGGAGTGTAGGAATCAACGTCACAAGCGCGCTTTGCCGGTTGGTTTCAGTTTTGAAGCCGCAAAGAAAGATGACATTTCTATCCTAATAGCAGCCAATACAAACTTTTAAATAAAACTTTTACATCACAGCTCGACTATAATTAGGTCGATTGTTCAAACTATGATAGCACCCCCAAAATAAAAATGTAAAAAGTTAATTAAAACTGCTTGTTAATTAAATAGCTAATTAACCCATTTAATTTTTGTTTTTGTTTGGCCCCCAACATAGCACCAGGGCAAAGAAATATCCCTAACATGGGCTTCCTTTTCCTACAAAAATCTGGTCCCTCTAAAAAAACTTTTAGCCTTTCCACACATCCCATGTGTTTCTTCTTTGTCCTTGTCTGTTTTGCGCACTGTTTCCTACCATGAATTCCCATCAACTCGCCCAACTATCCATTCTTCTACGATAGGAGAAAAGGTTGTGCCGCCATCTATGAGTGACGGCGGCAACCAGACTGGTTGTCTCGTTGCACCCGTCGCTCATAGATGGCGGTAGCTGTCCAGATTTTGTGTTGACATTTGTTTGGTACCGGACACGAAACTGGGGAAACTAGCCCTTAACAACGCCGCTGTAAAAAGAAAAAAAAAAAAAGATGTTTACAAGTGATTTGGAAAAAAGTTCAGCATTTTTTTTTTTTTTGCAAAACTAAACTATGCATTGCCAAATATTCGGTTTCCACTCAGACATAGCGCCGGCGGCACGGTGTAAGATAATACTCTTCAGGTGAGGACAGCGCACTCCTCGCAACGTGCCCGATAAGTTCGCTCTTCACTCTCTCTCACTATGGTTTCAAGCGGCGCCGACAGGTGACTCGTCGACCCGTGGGCACGTACAAGACGGCTCGTGCCGCCTCATGTACCACACGCGCAGAGCTCCAGCGAGGTCGCCGCACGTGCAGAAAGACGACGGTGTACCGGGGTGTCATGGCAACGATATATTTTTTTTTGCTCTCACAGTTTCGCTGTTTGGCTGCCGGCGACACTGTCAGTCGCGGGCACGGTGGCAGCGGAATGATGCAGCCTTTCGGATGCCCGTCGAACGAACACTATCTGATCCCTCGCGCCACGCGTTCAGCCCCGCCGTGTCCTCACCTAAAGAGTGTATCTTACACCGTGGCCGACGGTCAGGAACAAAAGTCAATGTTTTAAAGCTCGCTGTTATCCAACTCAAAATGTTACGAGTGATTTTCGGAAAGCTTAAAGGAGCTGTGCAACGATATTCAGTTGGAATGTTTTTCACTATACACGAGCTTACTGGCACTAGTAGGACTCAAGGATACTCGCACGCAACGCCACTGGCCAAGAAACTCCTTTGTTGCGGTGAAATTTCAAGAACAAAAGCAATTATTTTCGTTCAACCTCTCCTTTGCGAAATTTGATGACGTAACGTGGGGATCGCAAAACACCCAAGTGACGATATTTGAATGCAGTTCATAGATTGGACCCGAGCCCTGCGTGGGCACTCGACTGGGGCTCGTGATAATTGCTAGCTCGAGAAGCATTCGGGTAGTCGCCTGCGTCCAATCGCTGCAACGACGACAATAGTCGAGCCATAACAATGTCTGGAACTCAGAGCGTGTCCTGTGCTTTGCCAACCCCAGCGCGTGGCTATGATCAACATTGGCGCCATATAATCGGCTCCAGATCGCGTGGCCGCTTGTTCTGGTTGCGAGTTGAGGGGGTGAACGCTGCTCGTTTTTCTTTAATTTTTTTTCTGGGACTTCTATTGCGTGAAGTGAAAAACGAACGCGTGTTTCATAGGTCATTAACGTCAGGGATCTGTTCGAAGCGGCATTTGCGCAAAGTACAAAAATTGTTGCATCGCCCCTTTAATCGAGAAGATGGGACTAGTTCCCGCTAGCAGACGGTGTTTGTTTCTATGTATTCGTGATATTATATCTCTCGAGATATTACGGTAGTTTATTTTGGAAACAAAGCAAAAGCTCTGCAAACTTATTTTTTTCTTTTTTTTCACATGCCTGGTACATACGCACGCACAAAAGCCGCAATGCGGGTACTGACCTGGCATGTCTATGGCCACGGCGCGGTAGCCCAGGCGGGAGAGCACACCCAGGGTACCCAGGGTCTGCCAAGTCTCCGACTTGAACGCCTGGCCGTGCAGTAGGAGCACACTCACGTAGGGGCTCTCGTCCTCGGGCCTCACTTCCCTGTAGAAGACCTCGAGGCCCTGCACCGACGGTGAGGGAAGAAGAAGGCAAAGAACGGAGGTCGTTGAGCGCGGCAGGAGCTCCGTCGTACTATGGTGCCTCCATGGAGGTAGGAAGCTTCTGGAGGTGACACGAGGACACCACAGGTGACGCCAAAAGTGTGGAGGGATGCACCCGCAACAATGACTGAAACCAAGAGACGCTATTGGATGAAAAGGAGAGCCAGCTGAACAGCTGTTTTGGCGACCCTTAGAGCCCCCCTAGGATGACCAGAACCGCTGTTGAGTCAGCTCTCCTTTCCGTCCAATAGCGTCTCTTGGTTTTGGTCATTGTTGGGGGCATGCCCCTTCACACTTCAGGCTTCACCTCTGGTGCCTTCATGTCACCTTCAGAAGCTTCCTACCTCCCCGGTCGTAGAAGTTGCAGGCACACACATTCCGGCAGTGTGGAAAAGACGCTCGGAGCGTGCAGCCGGGACGGTAGTTGGCAGGTTCGAGGCGTGCATGTTGGACGGTTCCGTATGCTCAGAGTGGAAGGAAACTTGAGAATGCAGCTGAACCAAACTGGTGGGCACCGACAAGGGCCTTCCTTTCTCCAGGAGCGACGTGAAACTGCTTAAAGCACAACGGCGTCCCCAGCCCAACCGCGATTTCGGCCACACACTCCATACGGGCCTTTCAGAATGGTGGAGACTTTACTCGTAGCACCTTTGGATGGCCTCCAACACGCCACACGTTTTATTAGATGCCCGATTAGGATCTAGGCAAAAAGAAGAAGCCTCCGTCAGATTGGGGGCGCCTCGGCCGGGATTTAAATTCACCTCCCGAGAATCACCTCACCGCAAAGTCGCCGAGGCAGCTTAGTGTCGAGAAATAAAAAGACGTCATCCCAGAGCGGGCAAGCCAGTGAACTTACATTAACGGAGACCTTTCCGGTGGTAGGCGTCACGCTGGTGGCGTCCAAGATGATGTTGGAGGGCACCTCCAACTTCTTGTAGTTGAAGGACCGCCACGAGCTCTGAACGTCGGCCAGGGACGGGTCTACGGGGCTCCTCTGTCGGGGCACTCGGCTTTCTTCTAGCAATCCGACGAAAATTTCGTAAAAAAGGAAGCCCAATAGAAACACAACCACAAGGACGAGACGACCTAGCGGGAAGACAGGCACAGGAAGCGTCTCGCTTTTGTTTCCACGCAGGCATTCAAGGTCACGTTCGAGGACACACTCACAAACACTGAAGGCCCGTCACACACTTGCAACTGACTATGACCGACTGAGACAAGACTGGTTTCCAGGTCCCTTGTGGCAGCTTACGACCGGCTGCACAGCAATGCAGCCGGTTTTAAGCCGTCGTAAGGGGCTTAAAAACCGGCTTTGCCTCAGTCGGTCGTAGTTGAACGGAAGCGTACGAACGGGCCTTAAAGGTGACATTCAGATTCGCAATGAACAACATGTCTAAAAATTTGGTTTAGCACTCCTAAGTTCCAAAGAACATCATACGTTATGGGTAAAAGAAAAGGCTTAAAATGAAAGGGGGCTTGTGTTTTTACTTAATAAAGCATATTATACACCTCACATCCCATATGGCTCCTTTTCTTTTAGAAGACAGAAAAACGATTAGGAATCACAGGTATGTCTCATTAAAGGGTAGCTGAAGAGGTTCCAGACAAAAACGAGTTAGAGGTGAATTCTAGAGTACTTTCATCGTGTGAATCTCAATATCACATTCGTTTTCCCCTAAAGATGTAACTAAACGTGAGGAAACACGAAAAACCTCCGACCAGTCATTACGTCATAAAAGGATCTTTTGGCCGCCAAGCATGTGTCGCTTTTGTGGGCAGCGAGTGATATTGCGAGGTTGCCCGGTATATTCCCCCACACTGAAGCCACCCGTCACATCTTTTTCTGACCTTTTTGAAAATAGCGAGAGTGCACGTGCATAGCTTTGATATGCGCTGCAGATGCAAGAGAGCGAAGATCCCGAAAAACTCCTTTTACGACGTAATGCTCCGGGAAGCAGGGGTCTCGGCAATACTTTGAAAATTAATTTCTGCATCCTCCTTGCACCAAATTGAAAAATAATCTCGATATTGTTAGGGAAGTGAAGACAACGACGGGGCAGTGACGCGCACGACCATCTCGTGCCGGCTCGGCCTCCGTAAATCATTCCATCTTTTGTCATCCCCTGTCCCGTCCTCTATGCTGCTGACAGCATCATTCTAACAATATGGTGGAGGTGAAGAGTCATCCCCCAAAAGTCATTCGTAATGCGAGTTGTGCGTAAAAATGAGACAAAAAGTAAGTATTATTGCAGTTTGTCCCCGAACATTTTGACCACATAACAAGGTATCCGTATTCACAAGGTTCGTATTAATGAGACACGACTGTACGTAATGGAGCACGTAACGTGCCGAGCAGTGTAATGCACCTCCCAAAATCAGTTTGGCTGAAAATGTCCACTGTGATAGCTGGCACTACCTGGCAGAAAATGGGGTCTGAGGACTCTGAGGATCAAACAATGCGCGGATTAGGAAGGAGACGGAAGAAGCGTCTTGGGACAAATTTGGTTGCAAAAAGATAAGCCACAATAGGAACAAAAAAGACTTTGGGGGAGCCTAATCTAGGTCACTGCAGCTGAATAGAGCCTGCAGGATCTTGCTTTCTTGGTCGGGGGAGTGTCCGCGCTCGCTTGAACGCATGCTCATGCATTTTCATACCAGAACCTCCTGAACTGTCGATTTCCTAAAATGGGTTATTAACTCAAACCCCCACCAACCAGGGCAAGCCCCCTGATGCTAATCTATGAATCGCCAGACTGAGCCTCTACAACTACCAAATAGAATATTGTTTCAAAGGAAACTGCTAGAGAAATACGAAGACCATGGTTAAAGAATGTTTCTTTAGACAGCACATGTTTAAGGCCTGTGCCCATAGAACTCGTATTACACCTTCACAGAACATGCAGAAAAAAAAAATACAGTAAACATTTTTTGCAATATATTACTCCCATTGGAGGGAGTGGCTGTCTTTATCTTTTGGGAAAAGTTAATCGTCATGCTAGAGAAGAATATTCGGGCCAAAGCAGAAAGTGACATAAAAACATTACATGGCATCGTAAGCTGCATAAAATGACTCATGAAAAATAAAGTGCAGAAGTAATGCACCTATGTGAAAAAATGTTCCAATTCAGTATTGAGTAATGGTAAAAGGCAAGATGATTCCATAGAGAATACATGAGCACTGGAATGCTTGATTGCTCTAAAGCAATCCATACAACTGCAGCGAAAACATATGCTAACTACTCTGCATACTCGCACAACGAAAAAATCTGTACAATCTAAAGTAGTAATGTCCTACCAAGCATTCCTGACAATCAGAAACCAGCTACAATAGGAGCCTGACAGCACTAATTGACCTTTCATTAAAAAAAATTACATGGGAGGGACTAGAAGCAACCTTGGTCATGTAGTGGGAAATGCTCAAATGTCCTGCCAGCGGAAGTACATGGATTGCACAAGCTGCACAGCAGTTGGGATAGTACATACATAAATATGCAGGAAACAGGAAACAGACTGACAGGGCCTGCCTCTGGCACTCGATATGTAAGGAGTCAAACAGCTGCTCAGATGCATTTAGACTGACATCAAATTCAACCACCAGTGAATAAATGCTCCGATTCCAAGCACAATTTATAACTTTTACTTGTGTTACATAGAATAATGTGATGGAATAATGTTTCAAAATTGAAACAATTTTATCGGCGCTGTGACAATACTTTGGTAATGCCCAATCTAGACTTGAAAAAGACTGCTAAAAAATGAACACCAATTAGACTGAAAACTATAGTTCTCAAAATGCAAAGAACAGGGTCCCGGCTCGATGCTGAGAGCAGCCTTGGGTACGTTACTTTTAAAAAAGTAATTAGCTACAGTTACAGATAGTCTGTAAAAAATGTACTTAAGTTAGTTACAGTTAGTTAGAAATAGAAGTAATGCGTTACAGTTCCAGTTACTTCGTCATAGTATCTTAGTTACTTTTATGATACTTTAGTTTTCCTTTTTAATCTAACTACCGTAATATTAGCAGAGATAGCCCATCTAAAATCAAAAGCAAAAGTAGGATAACTTTCAATGTAGCAATCAAAAAAATGTAAAAAAAAAAGGTTTGATTTAGAGTTTGTGACTTGCAAAACCTGTAATCGCAGGGAGAGGCGGGGTGATGAACTAAAGACAACTGTTTTTTCCAATCAGCAATGTACACTTATCTGCCGCCGTGGCTAAGTAGCACCATCTCTGCCGATGTCACCAATGGTCAGGGGCCTTGCAATTACAAGTGGGCTATTTTACGGTGTTTTTAAAGAGATTAAATTGTGCCAAAATTAGGGGTGGTTATCTTTCGGGGGTGGCATATCTCTCAAGATTTTATGGTAGGAAGACTGATGACAAAACACATCGACTACGATTCACATTTATTTGGAACTCTGGGAAAACTCTAATTTCACTTTCTTACATACACATTACTACTGCCGCATGACTTCCTTGAATCAAAGCGTTTGCTGCTTCGATACAAGATGGACTAAATAATAAATTATTTAGTTTATGTTGTAACGCATCAGTGACTGCTTTTCAAAGATCACTTAACTTCCCCCTTTTGATGCTTACCACAACCCTCGCTAAATAGGCACACAACAGGTGCGCTAAACAAAGTATTCAGGTGCAAAAGAAACAAAAAAACTTCCCTAATGGTGGTAAAGTTGTTGAGGTTGGAGAATACGGGGAGGGCATGACGTCAGCCATGTAGCTTTCCCAAGCCACCCTCCCTTGTCGCACGCCTCTATCTTATCCTCCTCGCCAATTTCTTCTTCAAATATGAACCACACATAACCACTCAAAGGAACATGGCTTTGTCGACCAACTGAGTGGCACTAGGTTCCACCCTCGTCCTGTTCATAAATCACAGCAGCTGCCTTTTATTTGGCAGCGTAACAATAAATTTAAGCATGATGTTTTTACGCTCGTTTACCATCATGCAGGTGAACACCTGCGTTCTAACAAAGTGCAGGTCTTCGTTTAGCTTGAAAACTGTGTTTTGCATCGATAAAAATTTAAATATGAATTTGGACAACCGTATTTTGTGAATGCCCGGGTGAAAGGTTTAGTGGACGATCACACAACTTCACAGTACATTTGGGAATGTTCTTAGTGTGCATTGCAACCAATATTGAACCAAGCAGTTGAGTTTGACTACGGTGCTTTATTAATACTATGTATTGCGACCAACGTTAGACCAACTCAATTTGACTTGGCAGCAGCACATATATACCTGGCACAACTGTCGAATTCATCGAATTTAAAGTGAACGAAACTCCAGTCCACTTCGATGAAGTCCAGTCATTGCTGCAACAAAGGGCCGAAACCCATTGTTTAAGCAGCTCGGTAATTCTGGGAAATCTAAGACAGTCGCTTATATAAGCTCACAACAGGGACACGCCGGTAAATGGTGAATGAAACTCCCCGTGGAAGGTTTCTGCAGCCGTTCACACTGCAAAGTTCCATCTTGGACTCAGCAATGCCAAGCACTTTTCTTTACACAAAATGCGCAGCAGATCCTCTGCTCAACCTCATTCTGGTTCATCGTCACCCACCAGGGTCCCTCATGACTCGCCAGTCTCGCTTTCACGCCGGATGGAGAGGGTGCAGTTCTACGGCGCACAAAGCTGGCACCATCGCACACCGCGTCCGCCCCTCGAATTTTGTTTGGTAAAAATTTCCGGACGCATGAGCTGATCACAGTCCGTCGTCTGCTCCTCGGCGCCTCGCCGCCTCGGCCTTGTCAGCCTCACCTACTCCTCGCCAACGCAAACCATACCGGGAGGAAGCGAGCAAACACTATGGCCACATTCCATACAACCAACCACCCAACTCACATGTGACAGGGGCACATGCACCCCACACGGGTGTAAGTGTAGCTTAAACTTTTTAAGGCTGGGTATCAAAAAAGTCACGTGGTGCCCTCCCTGTGCTGGAGAGCGCTGTTGAGGTTTCAGCCTTCTATCGTTGCGTGTCCATGCCTAGCGATAGTGTCCATAAATAAAAGTCGAAACTCACCCCAAGTGCTTGCAAAGGGTGGAGGAAGAGGACCTCCCGGC